ATTATCAGCAGACATTCGTATCTAAAATCATCCCAATATATATTTTAGGCCCTACTACATAGTCTATTGTAAGGCCTCTATAATTTTAAAATTAGGCCTTAGCATTTGTATTTTTGTAGGCCTAGCCATATTTTAAAAAAAATATCAGGTAATCTATTGTTTTAGTTACCATTAGTAGGACTATAAAATCAGCTGAAGCTAGATGTAGTAATGTGAAAGGTGACCAATTAAATTTTTGTAATTATTTAGCAATTTTATGAGGTTTTATGTTTTAAAAGATAACAAAAATGTTTCACCAAGGCCTACCTATTTTAAAACAATTTCATTAAAACTAATCAGTAGGCTAATAGGCCTAAATAAAGATTAGCAATGTTTCCATCAAATGAAACCAAGCTTGGTAACTTAGCAGACATATTTTTTAAGTCACTAGCTGTCCCGGCCATGCCCTGCAATGGACTTAGTCCGAAACGTATTTGTAAAGGACTGTAAGAAGCAAATACCAGATGCTGCCTGTGTTTTGGAAATATATTAAATTTCCCATTACTTTTAAATGTCTATAGGACTATGCAAATATTTTGAGAAAATTTATATAACCCAAAACCTAGCTCTAACCAACCACGAACACAAACACGAACAAACACAGTCACAATCACTAACATAAATTTGAATTTTTTTATAGGCCTAGTCTATGTAATTAGAATTTTTTTTCATCATCTATAATGTAAAGTGAAGTAATTTGTATATTTATTCAAATAAAATTATAGTTTTTGTGAAGGATAATACAATTTTATTTTGTTCTTTGCACTTTACATTATATAAAATGTTTAGTTAAAAAATTAATGCTTAAATTTAAGTTTAAGTACGAACATTCAAACCATAAGAATATTGCACAATGGTGATTACTTGGAGTTTTTTACTAAATTGTTTTAAAGACCTGAGAGTTTGATTTTTGACTGACTTGACTCAAGATCTAATATTTTAGTTGGTAACTGAACACAGTTTAAAATAAACCAGGAGTGATCTCCCCTAAACTTTCTCGAATATTCTTATATAACACTTATATAACACTACAGGGGATGGCAACTCAGGATATAGACATGATTTTTAATCATTTTTTAATTAAACTTTTAAAAGTAAAATAGAATCTCATAGAAATAAGAATTGCGCACCAAGTAAACGGCAAACAATATGTGTATATTAGTGCGGAATATTATCAGTACTTTATAAATTTACATGTGTTTTTTTGAGAAATCGGAAATAGTGTAAATTACTACTTCCAGTCAACCGAAATAACTAAAAATTTGACAGAAGGCAGAGAATTAGATCTTTTACTTTCATGTGAAATTTCATTTATCTATCTGAAACAGTACTCAAGCTATAAGCTTTTGAAAAATTGAAAGTAGAATAAGTTCCACTTACGGTTACCAGAAATCGCTGAAAAGTAGATACTGAACTACTAATTTGATACAATACTTGTTTATGAAATTTCATCAACCTAGCTGTAATGGTACTCAAGTTATCGGGTTCATCAATATTTTTCCAAAATCTTGTCTGAACTTTGTCAACATAAAGTATTTTAATCAATTTCTATTACAATTTATTAAAACAGTTTTCTAAAATGCAAAAAATGGCTAAAATTTGTTGACTCACATTGTTTTTTTTATAATGCAAAGTGTGACGTCATACCAACTGATTTGGGAATAAAAATATACAAAAGATAACAACAAACAATGAAGTCTAATCATTATAAAGGGGTGTGGGGCAATGAAATTTTGTATTAATAATTTAATAGTAGCATACTCACACTGGTATACATGAAATGGTTAGGATTTATGTTTTAGGTTATGTTTGTAGTACCTAAATATTAGTAGCATAAGTAGAATTATGGATTACTTTTAATAAGTAGTAAAAAAGGCTAATCAATAAATAGCCTACAGAAAATTGAGGATCTCTATACTTTCTGAAGCTAGACTAGGGGTTGATGTGCTACAGCCAAAAGATAGGCAGCTGCTTTATTTGCTGCTCTGACACAACTTTTTAAAAAATATGTTGTTGTTGCATAATTTATTTTTAATTAAAATTAAAATCACATAGTTCAAAGTGTTACTAATTCTGTTTTCACTTTGAACTTTGAGTTCATTTTTTTACTTTCCATTGCCTATCAGTCCTACCTTTTAACTTATTAAAGGAAGTACTATATGGATATAGTATATAGGCAATACCCAATTTAATCTTTGTACTATTTTCTTAATCAGTTATTCCTTAAAATTAAAGATATGACGTTAAAAACGTAAGCTGGAAATAAATATGTTCACCCGATTTAGAATCTAGATTAATTGGATTGCAATTGAACTTTAAAACATACATAGATTTTAGAATCTTGTTTTTACTTGTTCATGCAGGAAAAAATAACACAGATATTTTTACCAATGAAGGCCTAAATCAACTACTTAAAATTAATTTAATCCTAAACTTAGTTTAAAGAAAGATTTATTTAAAGCAAATTAAATAATACAGCCTTTCACCTTGAATATACCCTATATGAAATATTTATTCGTCATCAGTTTTCTGTCGATAACACTCAGTTTCATGCTGCCCCACCGCCAAAAATCTTTGTAGTGTAACCTCACAAGTAGGCCAATCCACCCATTACTTTTTTTGGATTTATTTCTGAAAAAACTTAAATAGTAAAACCCTCAAAACTGTCATTTTTATTAGTATAATATCTCTTTAAAAACATATTTGGTCACTATTTAACTCACTTTAATGCTTAAATGAATGTTCAATTACAAAGCGATCATGAAAATATTTTAAGCTCTAATAGTAAATAGTAAAATTACTTTGGTATTAATAATAAAAATTGAAAAGTTAAAGATAATAAACAGTAAGGGGACAATATTGAATACATTCTTCGAATTAATTTTTTATGCATTGTAATCCGGGAAATTGCTGAATTTTGTAAAGTTTCTGTCAAATAGTCCGGATGTTGTGAGGCCTATATAAGATGGCGGAATTTGCATAGCCTACTATTTGTGGTTCACTACTAATAGTTTTCCAAGGAAGTTTTTTTTTTACTTACTCTTTTAAAATTACATAGAAAGAATGTGTGTGCTTGTGAAGCTGAGATCGAAATGTCAGTTGAAGTTAATGGAGTAGATTTCTTGTGTTTTTATGTTAACATTTAAAGTTGAGATGAGGACAAATCCATGAAGTCTTTTAATAGCCAAACATTTTGCTACAATTATTACATAAGTTGTGTGTTCTTCAATTTTTAAAATGTTTGCTTACATCATTTTGTCTTGATTTTTAAACATTTAATGCAAGATTTATATTTGCCTTTTTTCTTTTCTTTTTCAGTTACACATGTTTTTAACTGCATTTAAAAATCATAAATGTATTTCCTTGTTTACATTTGCATTTTGGTAAGTTTTTAAAATTTTAAATAATTAATTTTGAATAACCACTAAATAAAACTATTTCCTTTTTGGCCTAAATCACCCCATGTTATTTGAAAATTTATCTATAATAATTTTCTATTCATCTCTGAATTTTTTCAAGCCTTGACTAAATCATCCACCGTTTCATATTAGGCATTTGTCGCAAGTTGCTGATTGGGTTTTGAACTAAGCATCGCCCTCTAATGACATTTTAAGAGTTGTATTTAGTATAGGCTGATAGAGGCTTGTTATGCAAGTTGGTGATGATATGTTTTCAGTGAGGTGTGTCGACTGATATTAGATACGCGTAACTGCTTTGTTGAACTCTAAATTCTTTGATCATGTATACCAAATTTGTTCATGTAGTTCAAAGATTAAAAAAAGGACAGCTTTTAAAAATTAAATTGTTGGTAGGTATTTTAAGATTTATTCATCTTTCTAAAAAGTGCCATATTTTAAAGGTGACATCTGTAAAAGTATATGGCACATCCATGCTCGTTCAAATTCAACCCAAAAACACATGTAGAGAGAAAATATCCAATTTTTTTCAAACCCCAAAAATAAATACATCATTTAAGTTAATTGCATTGAAGTTTGCTTTTCTCACTTTTTAATAAAATTAAAAAGGGAGTAATATAATATACTGATACAAAAAAATATAAAATAATTATATACATTTTGTTGGGGAAGATGATTCTTAGAATTTAAGTAGCCTATATTGGAAGAGTGCAATGGCTTACAAACTGTCTAGAATGTGTTTTCTTCAAAAGTTTTTGTAATTAGATTACTTCTTTTGATTTTGTGCAATAATTTTCTCACCTTGATTAGCAATATGTATTCTAGAGCCTTACTTAGATGGAAAGGGGAGGTATGTGCATAAATGACGCCATTGCTATTTGAGCTGATTTTACACCGAGACTAAAATAGTCACTTTTTCTCACAAAATTCCTGACCTCCTTAAGACTTCCTAAAATAACCCTAATTAATTTTAATGATAACTAACATTTGTCAGTTTAATTAAAAAAAAAAAAAAGCATTATGAATTTTATGTCATATTTCATAACTTTAAAGCACACCTTGTGCATTGTTACAACAGTAAAGTCCAAACACCCCCCACCCTCCATTCCAGGTGTGTGTTGGGCAATCACTTCTTAACCTAGTAAGAAATTATCCACAAGGGTTTAAGACAGAGCTTAAAATACTAATATGAAAACACAGTAATTTGAGCTATGCATTATTTTGTTTAAAATAATTATTTAAGACAAACCCATCCTTTACAGCAAATAAAATAATTCAGCCATTATAAAATTAGTTGCAATTAATTTTCAAAGTACCCCCTGTCAGGAAAGAACTGAGCAATTAGAAGAAAAAAGACTCTTCTTCAAAATGAAAGGGGCTTTAGTTCATCAAATAAAACAGTAAAATAAGTTGAAACTATAGGCCTAGCTATAATAATAACAATTTTAGAAAAAAAAATGTTTTTCATTATAAAAGTAACAAAAGATACACGGTGGTAGGCCTATAATTTAAAAAACATAATTATTATCATTTTACAAAAAAAAAAAAAAAAACACAACTGAAACTCTATAGAAAAGAGGCTAAAAAAAAAAAAATTAAAGAACATTTAAAAAAAAATTCTTAAAAAATTATAGTCTGTGGATATAATCTTACAAAACGGACTCAAAACTTCACAGCTTTATCTACTATCTAGATCTAGATCTAGTCTATAGAAATGTTATAATTTAGCCTTTGCATTTGAGATATTAATTATTAATTAAATGTATTAAAAATGTTCTTAGCATAATGGTATACTGCTGTATTAAAAGTGCTTACACTTTTAACAATACTAATGAATCGGTAAAATAGTTATAAATAGAATATGGGAGCGCTCCACCCAAAATTAATCATGTTGTATTACTGATTCCTAACAATGTATGCTCCCTATAGAAATTCAACATGGCCGCCCCCTGTTTCTAGACGTTGTTAAGGCAACATTTTAATGGTTTATAATGTATCATTTACGGCTTTTAGACCCAGTACGTTGTATACATCAATGTAGCAAAGTTTATTTACTCTCTTAATCATTACTTTTTTGGGTCAGAGAAATCTCCATTCCTCTCGGACCAGTGGTTGTAAAGGAATCCTTTTTTTTCTAAGGGGATGTGTAGTGATTTTTTTTTCTGTGTTGATCTGAGATCTAGATCTAGAATCTATCTATTCTGGATCAGTCAGTAGATTCATAGATCTCTAGAATCTAGATCTACCACTAGATTAGTAGATTTACTAACTATTTACTTAACTCAATTTAGTTTAGTAAAGTTGACCTAGACTGTACAGTATTAGATCTATTTCTATGTTCTAGTTGAGTTCTACCACACCCAGTGTGTACTGTGTACAGACATTATTAAATTGATGGCACACTCACTCATATTGCAGACAGCAACATTTGTGAGTCACAGTGTACTGGAACTGTCGTATTTTATAGGGCTAAGTTGAATTTGCTAATTTAATTTTATATCTTAGATCTAGAACAGTGATTCTTAACCTTTTTAGAGGTACCGAACCCCACCAGTTTCATAGGCACATTCAACGAGCCCTTCTTAATAGTTATATTGTCTGCACTGACAAATCTGATCGTGAATTGTATGAGTTGGGTGTGTCTCTTGACCTCCGCAAACTGACTCACTGACCCCCTGGTGGAACCTGGGTTAAGAACCACTGATCTAGATCATGTCCTGTAAATTGTAAACTGCTTGGTAGAATTTAACTTTTCCGGTATCTTTGTTTTTATTATATGTGAAAGCACAAGAAACCATGCAATTAGATATTAATGGTAGAATTTTTGGAAAACCAGAGTGGAACATGGGACCCTTTATTTTTGCACACACAGCTTTCATTCAATCACAGTTCAAATTTAAACTATTTGAAATATTTAGCTCAAAATAGCTAAGAATGAGCAACTATGGACTGATGTCTCAATGAATAATATCAAAATATTTATCATAGCATAAATGTTTTTTTTTATAGTGATGAAAAGCTCCATGTCTCCCTTGGTCTTCCATTTTCTTTTTCCTTGAGGTGTCCATTTTAGCGCCATTCCTGCAATATCATCTGGATTCTTTCTTGCCCCATCCAGCACCATCTTCTTTTTTCAATTATTTTGGAAACTGCTTCCATTTCTGTTTTTCCTAGTAGTCTATCTTTGGATTCCTTTAATCCCTCGCAACCACTTTGGAAAGAGTCCAGTGATCTGCTGATGTTTAAGAATTACCATAAAATAGTTACTGTACTTCACAGTGAATTTTAGGGGTCGGCGTGGATGAGTCGGTAAAGCTCATGGTTGCTAAACCGAAAAGTCTCATGTTTGAACCCTCGGGCAGTTGAGGCTCGTCGGCTGGGAACAGCCACTCTTCTAGGAGAGACAACTCCAAAATCAAACAACTGCTGCCTTGTAATTTGTTCTTGGTTGGACAAAGGCTATGGAAGCAAATCCAAAAAGAAAAGCAGGCTTAAATCATAGTCAATGGTGCAAAACCAGTTGACGCGTATCCTTAATTGTGTTGGAGGGGGATCCCTTCCAAAACTAAAATAAAGAACGAAGAAAAAGAACAGTGAATTTCTGTGTTGGATTTAGTTAGCCATTTATAAAATGACTGATGTTTACCTAATTATCTTTAATTTTAACTTCAGGACTCATGCAATCAAAGGATGGGTTGATATGGATGTCTGAGTAATACATAGGCAAATCCACCACTGCCATAACCATGACAACAACAACAAATGCTGAAGCAGACCTCTTGCAGGTTAACCATGTGGTCAAAGAAAGATTTAAAGTTGTGAGTTAAAGACTTTTTTCCATTGTTTTCTAACTTTAAGAAACTGATGCATTTTGATAACCAGTTATGTTTAAAAAAAAAATTTTTTTGTACTTAGCTATTTAATTGTTGATATGTTGCTTTATTCTTTATTGAATATTTAATACAACATTTTTTAGCTTAAAAAAATTGGGGGCGGTGGATTTGGTGAAATTTATGAAGCCACAGATCTAGTCAGCCGTGAAAGTGTGGCTTTAAAGCTGGAGTCTGCTAGACAAGTCAAACAAGTTCTTAAAATGGAAGTTGCCGTTTTAAAGAAGCTGCAAGGTTTGATACAATTTAAAATGTAGTTGCCTGAATGAGTTATTCTCCTTGATAAATAAAAACTTTTGGTGATATTGATATTGTAAGCTTAGCCTAACAAGGTCTCAGTAATTACAAGTCATAACCTTTTGATTTGAAAATAAATATAATTTGTTTTTAGGTAGAGACCATGTATGCCGGTTTATTGGTTGTGGTCGTAACGAGAGATATAACTACGTGGTGATGTCGCTGCAAGGAAAGAACTTGGCCGAACTGCGGCGAAGTCAGGCCCGTGGTTGTTTTTCTCTCAGCACAACCCTGAGACTTGCCTCACAGATACTTCATGCTATAGAAGCCATTCATGATGTTGGATTTTTACACAGAGACATAAAACCTGTAAGTTTTTAGAATCATGTATTTGATTGTTGTGTGTGTATTTTTTGTTTGTTGATGTTATATTTATAATACATATTTCAGTCAAACTTTGCTATGGGAAGGCATCCTAATCATCGAAAAGTGTACATGTTAGACTTTGGTCTTGCGAGGCAATATACAACAGCCTCAGGTGAGGTAAGACAGCCACGGTCTGCAGCAGGCTTCAGAGGGACGGTTCGTTATGCTTCAATAAATGCACACAAAAATAAGGTTAGTTTGCATAATAAGATACCTTAAAGTGGTCCAAGTAAATATCTGACTATATATAAAGCTTGTTCCTTTAACCTATCTAAGCTAAAAATGTAATCTATGCTTATATTTTCTTTCTTTTTGCCCCAATTTGTGTAATCTACTTTTTGTTAGAATTATATTCAGATGTAGAAAATTCCTTAAGTAAAAGTGTTTTACCCAAAAGCTCTTTCAAAGGGAATAAATTTAAGCGAAACCTATTCAGTTTATTATTATCATAAGTTATCAGAATAGTCGGTTTCTAATGAAACTGGTACATTGTTTTAACCTCTTTTTGAGCCCTTATCTATCATTTATCATAGTCGAAGCAATATGTCAAAAACTACCTAAAGCTCCAGCCAATTTTATGACATAATAAGCTAATCCAAGTTAGACTGTCCTTCCCTATATACTTTCTGTTCATACTTAAGTGAAAGGTCTTATTCTTTGTTGTTTCTGTTTATATTTAACAACCTTGTATCTATGTGACTGGTCTTGAAGGAAGTGTAAGGGTTAACATAGTTAAAAAAAAAAGTCTTTAAGTAAATGCTTGCAAGTTAAACAAATTCCCCCAACCTTGTTGCATCTAACTTATCTTAAATCAAGAAGAAGAAAATTAGTGAAGTTTGAAGAAATGAAATAATGAATAAAGAGTATGTTTTTTAATGCCACTTTTATTTAGGAAATGGGGCGACATGATGATCTTTGGTCCCTTTTTTACATGGTTGTTGAGTTTGTCTCAGGCCAGCTGCCGTGGCGAAAAATCAAAGATAAAGAACAGGTAAGTTTAAAATTTCTCTTTTTTATGGCAATAAAGGTTTAATGACATACTGGTATTGTTATACTCATGATAAATTAAAAATAAGTGTTTGTCTCATCAAACATTTTATGTCAACTAGAAATTATTGGTACTTAACAAATAATAAGCATTTTCATGTCTCGTCAAATATATAGACAGTTAAAGTATTAAAGTGTATGCCCCTCATACAAGCAGACCCTTGTTATATGTTCTTAGAATACAGTTTTTGTGACAGTCATTTATCATTGGTTTTGGATTTATTTTCCATGGAACTTAGTTACCACAGATTTAGTCAAAGTGCCAGACTTTTATTGCATACATTTATCAATGATCCTATAGAAAATAAGCAACCAATAATAAATAATAATAAATTTGAAAATTGTGTTGAACATTGAATGTTTTATTCCGTAATTTCTTTTAGGTTGGTGTAATGAAGGATAAATATGATCACACCAATTTGCTAAAGAATTTACCAAGTGAGTTTCGAGCTTTTCTAGAGCACATTCAGTCTCTGGACTATTTTGATCAACCTGACTACAACATGCTTTCTAACCTGCTGGACCAGTGCATCAGGCGTAAAAATGTTCGCGACTCTGATCCATATGATTGGGAAAGGAGCAATGTGGACACCTCTATTACTATAACAAATACGTCTGCACTTCATGCACTAAAACAAACAAAGTAAGATTATGTATAACTTATCAGTGTACTATTTTGTTAACCAATAATTTTTAAAAAAGGCTTGAACTAGTGATAAACCAATCTTACACTACAGCTTGTGTAGCTTATATGATCTAACACTCCAATACTGTATGAAAGAAACATGCCATGCATATACATAATTTTCATGAATTCTTCATAAAATATATCTCTTTAATAATTTCAGTGTTTTGAACATGGGTCCAATTACACCAGGACATGGGGCCACAGAAGTTCTTGATGAAAATCTGAGCTACCAGGATGGTGAAGAGCCATTGAAAAAAGCAGAACTTATTCCCCTCAATGAGGTAGACAATCGTTATGTAGAGGAAGGTGTAGTGGTCCTGTCTCGGCCAGATGCTGATATTCCTCCAGCCAAATATGAACAAGATACAAAAACAAAAGAAAAAAATAAAGACACTGATAAGGGAAAGAGTCAAGAAAAAGGTGAACACATATACAAGAAAGGAATTCATGCAGATGCCATTTCATCAAAAGAAAGTGGTAATCGCAGTGGCACTGTCAATTCTCATTTAGTAAAGCAACAAGTTGTGAACAGCGTACGGGCTCCCAGTTCAGGGGCTAGTTTAGAAGGAGGAAGTCATCAGGTCAGCTCTCTTAAGGTTGGAGATAAAGATGTCCCCTCTCCAGGTGACCGGCTGCCCCCACCTGGGCCATCAGTTGTTTATGGTTTGCCTACATCAGGAAACCCATCAGGTGGTTTAGCTGGCAGTAGGAGTAAATTAGTGAGATTGCATGAGGGGCCTGAAAGCAGTGGAGTTGATTATGGTGGGAGTGAAAAGGCTGGTAGCATTAGTAATGTCAATCCACCTTATATTGCAACTTTGGAAGCGGGGGAACCCAGTAATGAAAATGAAAACATGCGATTAGAAAGTCACCCTGACCTAGCCAGCCGGGCTGCCATAACATTTGCCCTTATGCAAACTGATGATAAAACCCATACTCAGTGTGATGATGCCGGAGAAGAGAATGCCACTCGTGCTGCACCCTTTACTATGGCCAGTCAGTGGGGTGCATTTGGCTCGAGTGATGAGGGAAGTGATAATGAAGACAGCGAAGATGATGGTGGAGGAGACAAAGGGAAGAAATCAGCTCGGGCTAGAAGATTAGCAATGATGAACACTTTAGCCGATGAAGATGATCATCAGCTGGATAGTATGGCTAGAAATTCATTAGTTCTTCTAGATGAGAGAGATGGTCATGAAACTTTAAGAACATCCTTAGTATTTGAAGATGATAACACAGACATGATGAAGATGATGCAGTCTAGTGGTAGTAGAGGTGAGGATGCTCTTGAAGATGGTCCAGATATAACAGGCAGACATTCAGAACCCATTCATCAACATACTCACACTCAATCACAAGATAAATCTTTCAGTTCTAGTCCACGTAAAATGCCAGAAAAACTTGCCAAAGATATAGATAACAGAATAGGATCACCTTTAAAACAGAATACCTCTGGGAGCCCATCAAAGTTTGTGTTTAAAAATCGTGATTCTGGTGAAGAAAAAAGGAATCGCAAGCTTGTTGCACTCGGTAAGCCTCCAATCCATTCTTCCAGTAAAAGAGACAAAAGCTTAGACATGGCTGTCTCAGGGATGAGTGAGGGGCCAAAATCTTTAGGAACCACTCACTTCATCTCTAGAGATTTGAACATGCCAGTTTCCAAACCCAAGTCTATTCTTAAAGACAAGAACACAGTGATGAGTGAACGCAATTCTAATGTAGATAATCGCTTTAGCACAGACTCGTCTATGTTGCCTCCAGACAGTAATAGTGATTTAAGAGTTGTGGTCACAATGAAAGATGAACCAAATGCTGTTACACCACGGGAACAAAGTCCACGGCGTCCTCAAAGCTCTCGCCATTCATCTAGCAAGTCTAGAGAAAGTGAGTCTTATGGGGGTCAGCATTTACGGAGATTCTCCAGGCAAGCTGTGTCTTCTACATCCAGAGGATTTGCTGAATCTAGATCTCTTGTCACACCAGAATCAGACAGTGGTCCTGTACCCAAGCCCCCACCTGGCCATGCTCCAAAAAATGCTGTGGTGACTGCTAGGTAATTGGCCTTTCTTTGTTTAATATTTTGCTGTTGTGCCTTCATGTGAATTACACATTTATGTTGTCATTTAAGTTCATAATTTTGGTTGGAAAACATGTTTTTTAATTGATAGTTAAGTCCAGAAAATAAAATTCAAAATTTTGTAAGGGGATTACATTTTTCACAATTGTTTAAAATTCAGTACAGTTATTTGATCTTTTCACTTAGAGTTAGATTTAATTGCATTTGAGAGACAATAAAAGGTTAGCATCAGTTCAAATGGTTCACCATTTAGACGGTTTCGCTTTAGTCTGTCATAAAACTCCACTCAACAGCAGGTTTATATTTTACTTCAATTAAAGAGCATGGTTTCAAATTCTAAGTTTTTTTTTACTACACGCTTATACTTAATTATTGTTTCCTTTTGTTTTGTTGTGTGCATGACAATATTTTAAATGTACAATTTACACATTCTTTGTTTAATGATTTCAAGGGATTTCATATATGGAGATTCAAGTGTATACTTGTGTAATCTTCAGGAAGTGAAGATTTTGGAAATCAGTATGGTCATAAAGCTGTTAACATCAAATTAATAGGGGATACAATTGATATGTAGAAAATAAATCACAGAAACTCAGGAATGTAATTTAATAATTTGAATGGTGGGCAACCTACTCAAAATGTTGGACTCAAATCTTCTTGTCATCTTTGTTTTAAATGTAAAATATCTTATTGCTAGTTATTTTGATTTGCTTTTACTCTTTCTTTAAACCTGAGGAAGGGGGTGGGTGGGTAAGGTAAGACATGGCTGCTGACTTAAATGATTTGCATTTAAGCTCAAAAGGAGGCTAAGTATTTTCATACCTGACTAAATGTTAGCATGCTTATTCATTGTTTGCTCAGTCCTATTGTGTTCTGAGTGTATGCCATTTGTGTTGTTTGCCACACCAGCCTGTCCAGCCTAAGACAAAGTTTAACCACATTCTGTTTTTTGCTCAAGTAATTTATTGATTAAAACACTTTGACTAGTTCAGCCATCTTGAGGTCATACATTACGGCTGGTGTTTTTATGTGTTTCCAGGCGCCGTCGTTACAAATTGGCGTCGAGCAGCGTGAGTCCGCGCGAGGCCAACAGCCCCTAGCATAGTCCACCAGAGCTCCCTGTTGTTTGTTAGCTACACGTCTTTCTCTTCTCATGATCTTCACGTTTAGCATCCATTTTTACATGCACTAAATCATTGGAACAACTTTTTACCAGTTTAGGTAGGATTATTTATTCTAACTTGATGCTATGCTTTATAGGATGGCCCTTATTTGCTTCCTTTACATGAATTTTATTTGCTATTTTATATTGTTGAAGCACTTTTCAGTATTGCATGAATTGAACAGGTTTTTTTTTACACACCTTAAGGGGGTATATATGGTATTAATTTTCAGTTAATGTGTCAATCTCAAATGACACTTTAATAATTTGTTTATAGCAAAAAGTTGGAAGTCAACCTAAACTGTATAGATTTGTTCCTTAAGTAGATTTTCCATGCCATCGAACATGCATTAAAAGCTATTACAATATTCCACTTTGATATTGAGAATATCTTGTTTCTAGGGGTTTGTTAGGACATGTATTTACAGAGGTTTATCAAGGGACCATCAATTATACTAGATATTTTAGATAAATTAGTCTGCATTCTAAAATTATGTCCATAGCTATATTAGAGGATCTCTAAAGTAAACTTTTTGTTAACATCCACAGACAGGCAGTAAAGAGCTCTAAACGCACCAATTGACTTTGAGTCAGTACCATCTTCCACTAGTGCAGATATCCAACTTTTTTAGAGACATCCAGTTCCAGTGAGTCCATCAGCTGGTTGTTGATACAATGCATGCATTTGAAAGATCTGATGTATCTGTTTAAGATTTGCTCCAAAAAATGATATTACCATGGTTTTATTTATTGTCATGTATTAGAACATTGCTTAAATTAACAGATAAAAATAGATTTCTTTTTTTTTTACAACTAGAGTACAGATTAAAAAAGATCATGTGAACACATTAAAAAAGATCATGCACTATTTTATCATCTTTTATTCTTTGTGATTGGATTAAATTTGCAACATTAATGGAGGTTTTCACTGTACATTTTGTGCCTAAGTTTTCCAAGACTTTCTTAATAGCAGTTTTTACTGTGGAAGGTAAAAGGTATTTTTTATTTAATATCTGAATCACAGTTTTTAAAAGATGTCGAGTTTCTTGTAAAACCTGTAGGGTTTCATTTTCGTTTTAAAAATACATACAGTCCAACCTTGATTGAATTAGATCCTTTACATTGTAATTCCATAAAGACAAAATCATACTTGATTTTCACATGTCATGCTGTCAAATATTCCTTGTATAAATTACAGAAAATTATTTTTGTTAGAATGAAACATTCAGTTTTGCTGTTGCATATTCCTGGTCCAATAATAACGAACATATATTCTAAAGGAAATAATTTTCATTTGCTAAATGACTTTTCCAGCTGATGATGCTTATACTGTTTGTCTCTTTTCTACTTGATGTACATTATATATTCAATTCCTTTGCTGATTTGTTTATTCAAACAATTTGCTAGAAGCATTTTGCCTGTGCAATGACCAATCTTATGTAGTAAAGAATCAAATAGTACAGTGAAGAAATCCATCCATTTATACAAAAACATTCAAGCAAAGTTTTTAACTTATATTTGACAATCTTTCAAACTATGAAATAAAAGACTAAAAGTGCAATATATGTACCTATAAATCCCAACTTTTGTGTCAGTTTATTTTGCTAAAGTCCAAAGTTGAGTTCACTTTGAATTATATAATTTGTTGAAGTGAATTTTTACATTCTTATTATTAGCTTTTTTTCCACTTATTTGATTTTAAATTTGTTTTTATTGTTATGACGTATATTTTGTTTACAGCGTTCAAAGTTTTAATTATTTACTTATCTCTCTGCCCAGTAACCTAGATAAGTTGTAATATGAGTTACTGCTTTCTCTTTCTGGGAACCTAGTAAAAATGTGATGTATTTATTTGAGCTTTCTACTCGGGACCATACTAATGTGACTTGCAATAATGTTCTAACTTAAGGTTGTATACTGTAGATTTTTGTTTTAAAATGTGAACAGGTTTGCAGTAGTATGTTTGATGTGACTAGAACTTGTGTGTCTTGTCTAGCAAGGAAACAGCCACACTTTTCTAAGTTTAATTATAGTGGTAGATGCTTGAAAGGTTTTAAACTGAATTACAATTTTTTTCATATTATTATGCAATTGATTGCCTACTTTTTACTTAATATAGATGTAATAAATGTTTAGGGTAATGCTGAGCCTGTTGCTTACTATTAATGACTGAATTAACTGAAAGCATTTATTTGAGTGTTTTAATTATCAGTTGAACATTTTAAAGTGCATAATGTTGTATTAAGACCTCCTTCTAGCCAACTTGCATTTATGATATTTATTTGTTGAAGAATCCATGCAAGAAAATGTTTTGAATGATGATATCACTGTTCAACACAACTTTGGACAGTTTTAGTTAAGAGAATCTCATTTTTGTTTGTTATACCAATTTGTATTTGCCAAGATGAAGGTTATCAGACATTAGCATTTCTGAGCATAACCTCCAGCTGCCCATCTGGAGTGATGATGCCGGTTTCTTTGAAATAATCAAATGTCCATTTTAAAAAACTGCTTGTTACTTGTAATTTAATTTTTAACATTTCTGAGACTGAAATAATTCATTAGCACTTCATTCTTCGCTGTTGTTTATAGCAATAGCACACAAATGTTGCTTACAATCTCCTTTTAGATGTAGTTGGTAAAGATTATTACTTTGTGCCATATATGATTTACCTTTTTTAGAAATCAGCTTAACCAATAGTATTATATGTGCTCAACTAAGTGAATGTTGCAATAACAATGAACAGACTATTTCAGAAACACTCTTTTTGTCTTAAAATGATAAAAGAAAAATATGACCTTCATTTTGGTCATTCCTCAATTACCAAGGCACTGGCCTAAAGAGAGAACAGATGGTAAAGTTCTGTCAACACCCGCACCTTGCTTGTCTCATTGAGTAGATAGTGTTTGGCTCTATAGGAGTTGGGCAGATCTTGTTTGGCTCTATAGGAGTTGGGCAGATCATGTTTGGCTCTATAGGAGTTGGGCAGATCATGTTTGGCTCTATAGGAGTTGGGCAGATCATGTTTGGCTCTATAGGAGTTGGGCAGATCATGTTTGGCTCTATAGGAGTTGGGCAGATCATGTTTGACTCTATAGGAATTGGGCAGATCATGTTTGGCTCTATAGGAGTTGGGCAGATCATGTTTGGCTCTATAGGAGTTGGGCAGATCATGTTTGGCTCTATAGGAGTTGGGCAGACCATGTAATAACTTGAGAAAAAGCTCATCTGTTTTCTTAAATTTTAGACTTGGTTTAACTAGTCCTTTTATAGTGTGGTTTAATTGGATTTACCTTTGACTTTGAGTGTATTTTGACTGAGTCCCACCAAGTCTGCTGGCTTCCTGTATTTATACTATGATGATCTCTATTGAATATGTGCATGTGATGTGTGTCCAGTGATTGGGTACTTTGTGTTTTAAAGCTTACTGTGATTCAATGTATTTTGTTTTGGCAACATGGGACATTTCTTGTCTGATCACTAGACCCTTTTATAGTGACTTGAGTGTGATTTTGCAAGTAATTCCATCCATCTTGGAGAAAGGGCTGGGAGGTGCATATCTGCTTGTCTTTATACAAGAATAAAAAATGAAGAATGTTTGCCTACTGAAGAGTTTTGTTTTAGCTATCATTTTAAAGACTAAAGTCATTAAATTATGGTAGTTTTAAAGTGGCACTTCTGATTCGTTCTTGTTTGTTAACGCTGACCAATGGTATAGACAGCGAGACTGGAACAAACACATTCTGAGAATAGATTACAAAGGTGTTTAAAAAAAAGTTGCTGAACAATTTGTGTGAATTGTATATGTTGTTGATGATTTAAATAACTGATAAGGGTGTCAACCCCTTCCAAAATACAACAAATTCAAAGATTTGAATACTTTATTTCAAGCACACTTGGCAATCATACACCTTTACATTAATTAGATAACAGCTATTAGTTGGTTATGTAGATTCGGGTGCATGAGTAGAACAGGTAGTTATAAAGTTTGATCAAATGTAACCTACCATGAAACAATTACACAGATTCATCTTGAAAGGTGTACTAGTTTCAAGAACAGGTAAGTGATGGAAACTTTTTAGAAAATCTACATGTTAGAAATGACTTTGGGAGTAGCAAAGTTGGCTGGGGGGGGGGGGGGGGGGAGAAAGAAAGTACACTTTGGGCAACCATTGGGCCTTTGACGAACTTTGGGAACAGCCAACAGAAACCTTACACAACCAATGGGGGGAGAGAGACTGTCAGCTGACACCTTATACAACCAATGGGGGGGGGGGGGGGGGAGAAGAGAGACAGCCTTACACAACCAATGTTGAAAACAGCAATTTTAATTTTTTTTTTCTTCTAATAAAAACCAATACATTTTTATAGCTAAAAGATATAACTGTCCAAAACATATACTGACACCCATCATTCTCTAGAGAGTAAAGATGCCACTTACCATTTCCAGATATTCTTTTCAAAATACATTACAAGGTGCTTCCAGGTGGTCAAAATTGGAGCCAGTGCCCATTTGTTGCAGAAAGCAAGACAAACAAACAGACACAAGAAGACACACATAGATGGACGATATAGGATTTTTAATGTATGTAACATTTGCTTCATTTAAGCATCTACAAAAGAACAGTCCAAATACATGTACAATCTAGTCAAGCATGAACAGGAGGGAAAAAGTCATTGCATTATGTCAATATAATACACCAATGGTCACTCCAGTTAAATTCACAGAACACAAGATAATAAAGAGTGATACAAATTCAGCCACTCAATGTCACACTGTAAAAACATTTCATCCTTTTTTAAAAAGTTATGAAACAATTTAAGAACTTATCTCTTAAATACAAATATAAAATTAAGAAATAATTAGACAATGGCTAAGACTTTTTGTATCCTAAGGTGTATAATTATATAGAATTATTTTTCATTTGAAAAAAAAAAATATTCTCTATTTATATTAGTTGATCAAGTTAGAAAAATTGTGCATGAATAGTTAGAAAATCAAGCAAATGGTTTCTAAATAGTGAATAAAATCTTGAGTGCAGTATGGATAGAACCATCAATACTGATTGTGTCAGGTCTCACTATAGTCTAGCATCCCACTGCATTCAAGCTTTTTTCTCAGGTCAAGCCAGTGTAGACTGGAGGACTGATTGCTTACTACACAAGCATTCAAACTTGCTGATAGGTCAAAAATAACAAGGTAAACAGAGAAAAAATGTTTCTGTCCATCAGTCAAACATTCCAGCTAAGGAAATTATTTGAGCCGTCAGATGCACAACCTCTAGACTGGAACACATCTTCCAAAGGTGACAAATAAAAATATATACCAACCAGGGGAGCAGCACATTATTAAAACAATTGTTTAAATGTAATGAGCACATATTCTCACTTCCTTAAGTGGGCCACCAGGACAAGGATGGCTGAGTGTTACAAGTGATGAGTTAAAAGGAAATCAAACAGACGTCTTGTGCTTGTCCATTCAACTAAATGAGATGTGCTGCAAAAAAAAAAAACATCACACACAAGTTTAAAACCATCTGGCCTAAGGTTGGTTCTACAACAAGCATGGAAATGAGCACACAGTTTCTACATGGTGGGTAAGTTCTAAATGGCTTGAAATCAAAGATCAATTTCTAACATTTTCAGACGGGAAATATTTGATAGAGGGGGGTAGTATTTTAGGGGAAAATTTAAAATGTGAATAAATAAGATGACATTCATTTATACAAAGTGAAAATAGGTGAAATGAAAACATTCAACTACTAAAATAAAGTGACTACAGTAGGAGAGTGATGGATCATTTACACAAGCACGCTGGATTATTGCAGGTCAATGAACAAACTACAGCAGCTCAAGGCAGCAAACCAAAGGGCACATAGACAACTGACCAAAGCTTTAAAATACCCCATTAAATAAGTGGACCACACTAATCAGACATTCATTCACTAGTACTGTACAATGAGTCATCACAAATAGGGACAATGGATGGCCTGTTAAAGAACTATCAGCAAAAACTCTTGAGAGCAAATCAAATAACTATGTCAACAGCACATGGATCTAAAAAAGACAATGCTGTGATATTTTTTAATGAACACCCCCTCCCCAACTACATAAAAGATGGACTCAACAGTTTTTAAATGGAGCTCTCCCCACCTATAGAGATGCTGTTTAATTATCTTAATGTAGACTAATCAATGGAAAGTTTCACCTATTTGCTGAAAATTTTGGCACATTGGTCAATTGATGAAATTACAAGCTCTACAGCCTCCCCCCCCCCCCAAGCATATGCATGTGTTTATGCATGCATGTATATATGTTTATATACACCCATACATATCCACATTCACACACCAATGAATATTCATCTTTCAACACTGACATCAAAGGTTCAGCCTTAAATCTAAACAAAAATATTTTTAAAAAATATAAACAAAATTAAACAATAAAAAAAGGGAACAAATTACTTTGTATTTGTAAATCACTATTTATAATATTTATATTAATAATGATGATGATAAAATAAATATGTATTAACAAATGGCTCTCTTTGCCTTTCACACCTCCATAACACATATACAGATCAATGACGTTAAGATTTCTTATTTGTTTTCTTGCTATTCATTTCCAACCTATCCAATTTCTTCCAGAGTTCTTCTCTATCTTTCTCTTTTTTCTTCTCTCTGTGGATAGAAAACAGGTGAGACAATTTAGCTAACTCTAAACTAATTAGGTGAGACAAGATCATTGGCTGACTCTAGGTAGGTGAGACAAGATCATTGGATGACTCTAGGTAGGTGAGACAAGATCATAGGCTGACTCTAGGTAGGTGAGACAAGATCATTGGCTGACTCTAAACTACCATTTGGCTTACTTTTGTCTTTCAGCCTTGTAGTTTGCTGTAAGCTCATCAAACAGTTTGCTGTTCATTTCCATGAAAGTTTTCAAGACGTTGTAAACAAGTGCCACTATTGTTTGATTCCAGTGTTCCTTGGAAATGCGGTAGAGAGCAGGAAACATAATAGGGAGCACAATGCCAGAATTTTCTTCAATCAAGTTCATTATGTACTCATTATTCCAGAAATACAATGCCCTTTCTGCAACCTGTAATGAAAACAACCTTTTAATACAAAGCAGCAAGAACTAGCTGAATGTGATAACACCCTACATAGAAGCAAAGTAAATTAAGACATGTTCCAAATAATGTGATATTAGGGATAATTAAATATTTAATTACTTGAAAATGAGGACTTGAAACACATTTAGCTATCTGGCGAAACAAATCATCCTGAATCCTCTGAAACTGAGTAGGTTCAATGACGTCCAAAATTTCCTCTATTTCACCTAAAAACATGACCTGCAAGTTGAAAAGTCAACACATTTTTTATAATTGTCTTTTTACCATGACCTAGTTTTGACCCTCTGCTTCATCTTAACAAGTGTTTCTATTGTTTTTAGTATTGTGCAAGTAGACCAAGACACTTGTGTTCAAATTAAAGTAGATGAGAAATCAAATATCTTACCTCTTTCTGGCTGCACGTCTTTGGCCAGAACTTCAATAATCCTTTTATCACCTATAAACAGAATAGAAATAAATCAATACGGAGCAAGACGGCTTAAAGCAGTATTTATCATTGCAAAGTGCAGACCAAGTACTTAAGATTTATCCTTTTTTTGGAGAAATTCATCTGGGATTGATAGTTTAATTGACAGGGGGTAAGGACTTAGATCTTTCTAAGCAGTCTGTGTTGAGATTGCCTTGTCTCTAAATTTTTATATAAGGAAGATCAAACATGTATATGCCTAAATATACTTACATCTTCTGTTAATGAAGCATCTTTTTCCAAAAATTGAACAACACAATATGCAAGCTGTGAAACATGAGAGAAAAGTTTTCAAATGGATGATGGGAAAAATATTTAACAAGGCCCTAGCAAAATCTACATTTTTAACCCACAAACTGTCATAATTGGCTGATAATCGTTAGTTTATGGATGATTTGCTCTAATGGATCTTAAAAAAATCATCATTAAAAATGTAAATAAATGATTATCAGACATGCCTACCCCTGGCAGCCAAAAGTAGGAACATATGCGCGGACACTACTTTACTAAGTCAAAAATAAATAATTAAAAATAAGTCTAATGACATTAGTAGGCTTCTAGTTATATATAACTAGTCTCCAGGCTACAATTAAATATTAAAAAAAAGATAATCAGTATCCTGAGAATCCCCACCCCCCACCCCCTCTCAGTAAAAATACCAGCTTTGACTTAACGTTACTGATTTGATTGTTTCTACCTAGCTATGTTCTATGCTATATGAAAAACAAATGGTTAAGGCTTCGTATGTAATATAACATACAAGAGTTAAGACCTAGATCTACCTAGTAAAAGTCCTAATTACTTCTTAGTAGTTACAACTTACAAGATAGAGGTAGATCTGTATCTAGATCTAGAACTTAACATGTTAGTCATGATTTTATTGTATTTTTCTTCCTGCATGTTATTTTAGGCATAATTTAAATCTACAATTCAATTGGAAAAAAAAAAAATGTTCAGAAGCTAGATAAACCACATTATCTATTAGTAAATCTAGTATTTGATATTGTAAGTAAACAAGGAAAAGAAAACATGGCCAAAGGGAGATAATTGCTAATCCCTGCTCTTTTTTTCAATTTGATTTGTTAATTTTCTTTATTAATTAAAAAAAATAAATAAAATCTGAACAAACTTTGATGAAAATGAGATGGCAGAACAGGACACAATTTTGTTGTAAGAAAGCAGAACAACTCTGCTTTTGGCGGGACGGTAGGCATGTCTGGATTATGTTGGTAAAGGGGAAATAACTATTAAAAATGATTTCCCTTTCTGCTACCAGTATTGGAGCACTGGGTTACTTTGTAGCCTACATAGCTAAAATTTCCATTATAAAATGGGAATGACTATTTACACTTTTTAAAATTTGATTTATACGAGAGAGAAAATAAAAAGATAACTAGATATTCGTGTTTGTGGTTTTCGTTTCAGTATTCATTTTTTAATACAAAAAATTTAATTAAACTTTTAAAATGTGTACATTTGTGTCTTTTTTAAAAAATGCTATTTTGGGAGTGAGTGCAACGTGAAAGTCACAAAAAAATGGACACAAAATGGGTTTTCAAAAGAAGTTTATAAAGTTCTATATTTTAGAAATCATGTTGTCTATTATCTAAAAAAAAACAAGACCTGCGGCGTATCATATGCAGCTATTTAGTTGTTTTATTTTCTACTTTTTAGTAATTCATAAGTTGTGAGTTCGACATTACATTAGATAGTCGGCTTGCGTCGTGGTGTCCATGAAAAGAATTATATATATAGAAGATTTTGACATTTGGGACAACTAATGATGAGGTTTTAGGGTGGGTTGAATACAGATGTTGAGTAGTCGGCTTTTACTTGTCCTGTAAACATCAAGGTCAATTTCAACATACACAAGATAAATACAAATTATTTGTGTATCAAAAGATTTCTAATCCAACTTTCGGAAGATGTATTCAAGTAAAGATCTCAGATTAAATTCAATAATGAATTTTGACATTTTTAACTGCACTTGACAGTTAGTGGGTTAAAATACAATTGAGCAAACTTATACTGACCTGAGCATGATACAGACTTAAGCTGCGAGACTTGTGCAGGGGAATTAGTACTTTCATTAGAAACTGACGATGTTCTGCTTTCAGTGGCAATGCAAACCCGTTGATAATGCTCCCCAATATTTCTAGGAGTTCTCCCACACCATTAAACTGCTCAGTTTCATAAATAAACCTACAATACAAACAATTATTACTCATATATCTGCTTCATCAGCCACATCCGCACCAAATAAAAAATATATGTGCAGCTACCTTTATTATTCATTTATTTTAAGCAAAATATTAAAGTATGTATAAGTATTAGGACTGCTCAAGGTGTCTAGGAATAGAACATTACATAAATTTTTATTCCTGTGCTGCATTTTTTCCTAGTTATTAGAAAAAATTAGAAAGGAAAAAACCACCAGAAAAAAATAATCTAGCAATGGTGCACGATTACAAGACTTTCTCTATACTTAGTATATATATACGAGGTAAAAAGGGAAAATAGCTTAATAGGGTTGGGATGAGGGTTAAAAATATATACATTGCCATATTCCCAACTGGCTTATTAAACAATCTATGTTAGAGTTGTAAATCATTACCTGAGAAATATATTATTAATCTGCTTCCTTATGAATGCTCTTAAGCCCAAAAATTTTCCATATATTCTATGAAGAACAGTCTTGAGAAAATCTCTTTCACGTGGGTCTTCACTGTCAAATAGTTCTAGAAGCTGAAAAGGAAATAGTAATGTAAGCAGACAGACTAACTTATTTATGCATACAATGTTTCAAAAGAAATATTCTCATAAAAAAACAGGGATGTGACTGTGACCCGACCAGGATAAAAAGAATTTTTTGCACCCAACCCAAGATGTTTTATTGCAATTAAAGCGGTCACAAGCCATTCATTATTATACAAATTAATAGTTAATAATAAATTTCTTTTACTCTTTAATAACAATGAATGTCCTTTCTAATTGCAATTTGTTTCCCTTTAAAATTTTTTTTTATATTTAACTATTGAACAAGCTGGTATTGCATTTCTTCACCCACAAACTATTAACAAGAGACAGTTGTGGGTCACTGTGAGTTAAGTTTTGAAATCAGTAAGCCAACAACAGGAACATAGTTATTTGAGACAGTGACATCACTTTTGATTTTCACTAAACAAACAGTTTCAAACAAGAACTCTGGGTCATGGTGAGCTAACACAAGCTTAAAAATCAGCGATAGTTGAAAGGGATGGGTTTATCGAGTTCTCGTATTCATGTGTAAGGATTTTTAAAAAATCAATTAAATGGAAAGCAGAGTAAAATGGTAGTGGGGTTAGCTTTAAAAACAGAGGGTGAATTCAAATGCTGGTAGATAAATTATAGCTAGACTACAGTGCATGTAAGATTAATGGTAAAGAAACAAACCCCGAGAGATGTAGGCTATTTTCTATTTAAGAACAAGATTTTAGAATACTTTTCCTTATTTCTTTTTTTGTGAAAATATTAAACTGGAAATAGCAGAAAATGTGGACTGAAAATTCACCAATTCTGATAAAATTGGAAGTACGCCAAGATTTGGAAAAATTATATAACATACAGGGGTGCCACTCATTTTTTAAAGTGAATATTTTGCTAACCTCAACGTCTTGTTATTGAATAATAAAGCCCACCATATGCACGACCCTTAACAAATTGCCACTGTTACTGTAGTTATACAGGGCTTTGATTATTAACAGCCATATAAAAAATCTAAAACCCTATTTTCCCCATTCAACACAAATAGAGAAAATAAGACGGGAGGGGGCAGTGACAGCGGCAATAATCTCAAATACGGTATTTCAAGGTTTTTAAACATTTTACAACAGTTACAACATTTTTACAACAGTTAAAAAACAATTAGATCTAGACCCTGATGAATCGTGTAACTAAATTATAGCAGGCCTACATATTGTTTGAATACCCAAAACGATGTACATCTAGTTTTTTCTTAAATCTAGTAGGCCCTAATTAAAAATAACCATGTTTAATTTAGATGTAACAGCGCTTGTAGACAAGCCTAGACTGTGAGACACAACGGCGCTCGCATGGTCGCGTGTCATTGGTCTTACGGTCAGCGCGACCTTGAAGTAGCAGACAATAGGTGGTTTGTTTTATGGATATACTTGTAGCAAAAAGTGTCCGTAAAGTTTCATACATAAAATTGTCCTTCAAATCAATTAGCTTTTTCCTTCTTAGGGCAATACCTTATACAAAAAAGAAAAATGTAGTCGGCGCAAAAATTTTCAGCCTTTAAAAAAAAAAGATGATCTGCTATGCTTTAGGCTAGTAATGGTCGGACATAGTTATTTTTATCACACAGCCTAGAGTAGCTATTGGATGACGGCGCGTAAACAATGCGAATTTTACCCCCAACCCATATCGTCATTAATAGCCAGACAGCCACACCACAAATGACATCAAACATTTCCGTCTACAGCCTCACCCATCTGATACAGCCCATTTTTATTTTCTCCATAGTGCTTGTGAGATTGTTGGTGACGTCATATGCTATTAGTTTTTTCCACTAACGCAGTAAATAGGCCCATTGGCATTAGGAAATTTTTATGGTTAATAGCTACATATCTAGATCCAGCACTAAACTATATTGTGAGGTCATGGTAAGTTAAGATAGGCCTAGGAGAAAATATAAGGTCGCAGTGACAGAAATTTTGGCGTGATGTCGGGTATACAAAAGTCAGAAAAATGACGGTGTAATGATAATGATTCTAGGTTTAACAGAAGTGGATATTGTATCGTCGACGCATTCGGGAAAGGCGGTAAGGGTCATAAGTGGGAGTCTTGATGATAAAAACAATTTCTAGAATGCCAAAATTTTCAAGCCTAAAACGATCTTAATTTTTTTTTTTTAAAATGCAAACTCTGAAATTTTAAAACTCAAATCTTGTGAATCCAGAAAGGAAAAAAAAATAATATGATATTCGGTTGTCTGATATGAGTGACAACAAAAAAAGGAACAATAGCAAATAAAATCTTGACCTAATCCTTATGTAATACTTGATTTCTTAAAAGAAATTTGTGGAATGCGCATGTCAGCCATCACAGTAAAGGTCATTTTTTTAAATGTAAAAACTTAAAAAAAAAACAACAATTGGCAGAAAAATTAGGAAAAATATAATGGGCGAAGAAAAATTGCAGCTCAAACGTAAATAACGGATTTCCACTCAAAATTGGAAGGCACACACATGAAAACAAATCCTATCACAGTGAAAAATGTAATATTTTAAAAATTTAGAAATGAGATGGATTCTTAGTGTTTGATTAATGAAGCCAGTTGCTCACCTGAAGAACAAATCTTTGGTCTATATACTTTTTAGCCAAACTGGGCTGGAAGTCAGGAGATTCTAGAAAGCGCAGAAAAAACTCATACACTATCTGTAGAGGAAAAAGCATGAACTGCATCAAAAAATGTTTACAATCCATAGTTTAAAATGTGTAAATTAATTAAAATTAAAACCACAATTCCCTTTTCCCCATAACTGCACTGACATACTTGTAAGTGAGGCCACGATGCTTCAAGAGTTGGGTCATCTTCCTCTGGGTCAAAATCAGGGTTATCATTAGGAGGAAGAGTTCGGAAGATATTGCAGGCGATCTAAGATGAATTTTTTTTAAAAAGAAATCATTATCAATCAATGATGACAATTTAAATTCAACAATCATAGGAAGGTAATCAGTAAACATGAGCTCTAGCAACAAAGTAGCTACCTAAGCTTATTTATGAACAGAAAAAAAAAGCTAAACATTTTTAACAAGACTTTTGTTTGGCTCAAGTAATAAATTTAAATGCTGCAACTATAGCACACAATGTTGCCAAGAGCACAACTCTAGAAAAACAAATGCACACAAAATTCTTACCATGCGAACAATTTCTGGGTACACAGGCTCTGTAAGAACATTTCTAGTTGCAGTGATATAGTCCACTAATTCATTGAGTGCTGCACGCTTTATTTCTTTGCTCTTCAGGTCTGTTACAGGGTCCATAAAATCAAATACAACACAGCATTGTTGTAGTTTCTTGATGAACAGCTCAAGCTGTTCAGTCTGTGGTGTGTCTGCACAAAACAATTTTTTTAAAAGTATAATCAGTAGCAACAGATAGACATCTTCTAATCTAATATATAAAGCTCAGTTCTGTATGTAATGCATTTGTATGTCGTTGGAAGTGTACGAATTTAAAAGTTAGAAAATTATCGTGCGCATTTGTCTAAATTTATGAGCTAAAAAATTACTATTGAAAGTGTTGGGAAATAATTTTCATTTTTCAAATTATAGTAATAATTGTCGGCATGTTCATTAAACACAAGTTTTAAAAAAAATATCATCTTTTACAAAAATTCTAATTATGTCTTTATTTAGTCCTATAGCACTTACTTCCCTTTGATAAATTAGGAAAAACACAATTACTTCCCTTTATAACTTTATAAAACCATTGCATTCCGTGAAAATAATTTACTTTTTAATTACTTTGTTTTGGTGTTGGGAAAAAAAATAATTACATAATTAGCGGGGATTAATCAAGTGCAAATGTAGGTATTTTACGGATAAGCTTGGAGTATTAAAATTGTTTATTAAATTGAAACAGGCGCGTTCGTTTAAGTGAGTGCAAAAGACTGTGAATAAGTTGGGGTACTATAGTCGTTCATTAAGCTAAAACAGGTGATTCCGCCCCGGGCGTTTATGTTCGCGTTAGTGTTTTCTTTGTGTTTAGGTGGGTTTGCGTTAGTGGTTGCGTTTTAATTTGGTTCGTTTTTGTTCTTTCTTTTTTCGTTTTTGTTTGTGTTTTTTTTGTTTGGGTTTGTATTTGTGTTTTTGGTTGGTTTTGCGTTTGGATTTGGTTTGTTTTCGTTTGCTTTTTTCGTTGATTTTTTTTTTGGTGGTATTGGTGTTTGTGGTTGGGTTTGTTGTTAGGTTTTTGTTTTCGTTTGCTTTTTTGTTTGTTTTTTATTTGTGTATGTATTGGTGTTTGTGGGTGTGGTTGTGTTTGTTGTTAAGTTTTTGTTTTCGTTTGTATTTGTAATTGTGTTAGCGTTATGTTTGCGTTTTGTTGTTTTGGTTTTGGTTGGTTGTGGTTTGGGTGGGCAATGCCGGGTTTATGATGATTACTAAACACACAGGTAATGGTCTTTAACAGAAAGGTTTTTCACAGAAGCCAGAGCAGGGCCTGGCCGGGACGGCTAGTCTTAAATATTAACTAGTTTAAATTTACATCTTACAAATGACAGAATATTCAGTGGGTTTGCTGGTTGAAGAATAAGATTAGATTTACTAACCAAGTCCTCTCATTCTAATTGTTTATGCATGTGTGCTAACAAATTGGAAGGATCAGTAAGATTGGTAGTAAACTCAAATATTAGGAAACTGCCAGCCATTCAGCAACAACAGTTGGGCTGTTAAACCTGTAATATTAATAGCCTAACAACACCACTTTCCTAAACATTCAGTTTTGATTTCATTACACACACAATATTAGTTTTATGGACCTATGATGATAGCAATGCTAATATGGCGACAAAACGGATAGAAAAAATAGTTTATCTCTAGCTTTTGCACTAGATTCTAAATAGCTTTGTTGATAGTACATAAATGATTATTTTTTAAAATGGAACAACATTTATTACTCACAATGCTTATGTTCAGTGTTCTATATATATTTAATTTTTATTGTATAGAAAAAAATAGATGTTCCCCTGTGCTTCGAAATACTGGATCATGGTTTCCAGTGAACTTTGAGTAGCCAAATGGCCTGTATTGCACACAGCAAAACCCACCTCTTACGTCATAACAGTTTTTAGATGTTAAAATAAATCCATATCTTAACAATCAGCAAAAAACCATTGAGGAACTGCGTGGTCGAACATTCGACTACTAAAATCACATTATACCTGCATACAATAAGTGTTAATTTATATGCTGCTGAGTGCTTGCGTTTTTAAAATTCGCAATTCATCAGGTAATTAAGTATAGGTAATTCTTTATTGTTACTTTTTATGTAAATAAATCAGGTGTGATCTGATCTAAACTTTCAGGTATATTCTTATATTACAGTAATGGGGATGGTACTTTCAGTGCTACTGGGCCATAGAAATATTTAAAAAAAAATTAATTTTTATAATCTTTATTTTTACTTTCTCGTATATGAAGTACAGAGAAAATAATGTAATTGCGCAAAAAACACAAATCTCTACATTTTACACCTCATTGAGTTGGAAAAACTTAGTTTAGCAGTTGTGAAAGTGATAATCTTAACAAAATTTCCTGTATAGGTAATATACCAAATTTGTAGTTCTGTATCAACTTTTGAACTATTTCTGGTTACTAGAAGTTGTACTCATTCAAAGCCAATAACTTCAAAACTTGTTAGGTGGACAAAATTTCACAGATATATAATACATTATATGCGCATGCTTCTGTAAAATTTTGAACAATTTCCAGTAACCGGAAGTGGTACTTTATTTCCATTTGAAGACAACTTGAACACTATTCAATGTAGATCTAATTAGTCACATTTTCATTAACAAGTACAAGATCTTGTACTTGGATTATTTTCAATTACAGAGTGACCTCAAATAACTGAAGTGGTAATATTCTATAACACGAGTAGTTATGTGGATAAAATTTTAAAAGTAGATTTATGATCTTTTTTCTCTTGATATTCTCAAATTTTAAGTGATTTTCAGTGAATTACTTTACACTATTTCTTAAAAAAGATCACTTCCATAGGACTAGTTTCTTCAAAATTTTTCAAGCATGTCTACACTCGATGACAACAATGCACCGCTACATAAAATTTGGCTGAACTAGATGTTTAACTTTATAAAAATAAATATTTCCTTTATAAAACACAAATTTTCCTGCTCTACTTTACACACATTGTGTATGTTCATTAAGTGTGCAACTCTTTTTTAAATGGTTTCTATCTATTTAAATAAAACGGGAGTGATCTTCCCTAAACTTTCTCGAATATTCTTATATAACATTACGGGAGATGGCACATCACGATATAGACATGATTTTTAATTACTTAAACCTTTTAAAATAGAATGGAATCTTGTAGAAAAAAGAACTGCACACCAAGTGAACGAAAAACAGTCGGTGTATAATAGTGCGGAATATTTTTAGAACTTTATAAATTCATATTTGATGAGAAATCGAAAATAGTGTAATTTACTACTTCCGGTTAACGGAAATTACTCAAAATTTGATAGAAAGCAGAGAATTAGGTATTTTACTTATATGTGAAATTTTGTTTTTCTATCTGAAACAGTACTCAAGTTATAGGCTTTTAAAAAAATTGAAAGAATAAGTTCCACTTCCGGTTATTGGAAATCACAGAAAAGTTGAAACAGAACTACAAATTTGATATAATACTTATATATGAAATTTCATCAACCAAGCTGTAATGGTACTCAAGTTATCGTGTTTACAGAAAGACATACATACACACACACAGACATAATTGCAAAAGTCCAATTTTTCCGACTCGATAACTTATAAAATGCCAAAATTTTGATATATCTGGATTTATAATTTTTGCCCGATTAAAATAAGTCCTCTATACTCCGGATGTGATGAAGGATTGAGGTGTAAAAGGGTGAAAACTCAAAATTTAATATGATCGTTGTGGATGATTACTAGACTTTCTATGTATTCTGTATACGAGAAAGTAACAATGTAATATAGGATAAAATTTAAACATGGAAGAGAACGGTTGAGGAAGAGGCAAAAACAGCTGGGCTCTCATGGGCACAGATTGGAGGAGCAGCCCAAAACCGAGTCCGCTGGAGATGTATGGTTGCAGCCCTTTGCTCCCCAGGGGCCACAAGGAGTGATGATGATAGGTTAAAATTTAGGAGGGATCACTCCCACTTTATTTGTAGCAGAATCAGTATTTGCGCACCAAATGAACGTAAACAATGTGTGCATAACTGAGCGAAAAATTAGTACTTTATATAGGAAACTGATAATTTTTAAAAAGTTATCTAAGTCACATTTAATGTCTAAGTACATAGACATCTAGTCTCAATCAAAGTGAAAATTTTTAAACAAATCAGTCTTGTAGAACTAGCATTTTTTGAGGAATGAGAAATAGTGTCAAGTACTACTTCTGGTCACCAAAAATAACTAAATTTTTTTATAGAATCAAGAACTCTTAATAGCTATGTATACAATTTTGCTCATCTAAATGAAACAGTACTTATTATCTGTATTTTTAGAAACAAGAAGTAAAGGACCACTTCCGGATATCAGAGGTCACTCAAATTTTATAGTAACCCAAGTATAAGATCTTATACTTATAAATGAAATTTCGTCTATGTAACTAAAACTTAAAAACTTTACGCAAGTTGAGGTTTTAGGGGCAAATTCCAGACTTTCAAACTGATAACGTTTTAGCAACACAGAACAATGTAAAATTTGAAGTATTTAATTTAATTGCAAGTGATCTATTAACATTTAATTTATTAAAAAAAAGTTGAAAGTTGTATAGGCCTTTTTAATCCAAATATTTTAGCTGACCTAGCCTTTGCGCAGGGTGTTTGACTTGGAAAGTAGTCAAAAGTTTTGCTACAAATTTGATTTATGACATATATGAAATTTTGTCAAAATAACTGAAACTGTACTCAGGTTATTGTGTTCAGACAGACACACAGAACTGTAAAATTTAGTTTTCCAACCTAAGGAGGTGTAAAACAGATTTGTAACAATCTAAAATCTTGATTTTAACTTTTGCCCAAATTCAATAATTCCTGTTTATCCTAATATATAAAAGCCGATGTGCACTCTTCTCTCTCTCTGTTTGCAAAATATTTTCACAGGATATGAGATCAGTATTTCAGCGATATATGGAGAACTTGATAGGGGCTTTTGTTGAAAATAATATGTTAGATGTTTTAAATGTATTACCTAAATTTTCTTTAAAAATGGAAAAATAAAAATAAAGGCATATTCGATTGTAGAAACAGTTTTTATTATACAACCGGAAAAGTGTTTATAGTTGTGACCAGTGGTGTTGCGAGGTCGGGTGCCACCCGGTGCGGCACTTAATGGTGTCACCCCCAGAGGCATAGCAACTCTTCCCGGAGACAAACTTTAATTTGCACCCCTCCCTCAAACTTTCGATTTGCACCCCCACCCCCCCTCAAATTTTCGATTTGCACCTCTTAAAAGACTATCCAACACTCAAATTAATCACTTAAGTGGAATTATAATTTTTCTCTATATATTTTGCTATTTTTTGCCTTGGTCTCACACCCCTAAATGGTGTCACCCAATGCGGTCAGCACAATTTTCTCGGTCAAACTAATACAAATTACTTAAAAAAAAAAGCACAACATAATGACAATTGAATAGCCAGGTTTTCCTAGCTCAAACTCAAACATCATTTGAAAAATAAATGAATAAATTATATTAAAACTAATATCAAACAAAATAACGCATTAGAACCAATCACGTGAGTTGTGATTACCCACTGTGCATTAAAAATTAACATTGATATGTGTCTTGTATCCAAATCACCTGTATGGTAACTATTACACTATCATTCATCTCAGCCAGCGGGGCAAAATTATTGGGTTGATATACTTAGAGCAAGTGTATAATAAAGTTAAATTACACTATTGTTTAATACTAAATTATAGCCTAATTTAGCCAATATCATTGCTAAACAAAGATTTATATAAAATTATTAGGTTTTAAGACCTGAAAATAGTTTATTGGCCTAGATTCGAGATATAGATAGAGCTAGATCTACAATCTAGAGCTGGTTTAAGTCTAGTTTATCCGTAGCTCTAGATACATTCCTTGTATTATCGAATTAAATGATCTGTAAAGCTAAAAAGCAAAGATTTATATAAAATATTTAAGGACTAAAATAATTTCATAAAGAAGCTAAATTATTTAGTGTTTTAATTCTTATTTTTTGTTTCTAACTAATTAATTTCGGTTTGGCCAATCGGTAGAATGTAGATCAAAATAAATTTACTGTATACTCAAATTAGAAGAAGTGCCAAGCGTATCCTATTAATAATAGTATTGGAACCTAATAAAAATAGCAAACAGACATATCGTTAAAGCTATAGTCGACAGAAATTTAGCATTTATAAAGCATTAAACTTTTGAATGGGCAACATGGTCTTCCATGGAAGCTGCCATGTTTGCTGTGAAAATAAGTAACTAAATCAAATGACGTTACAAAGCCGGTGAAAGTATTTAATCTTTTGTGAAAATAAAGTACTTGTTCTGAACAGACTGAACTTTTATAATTAAAGGGGTGTTTCTATAAATGAATATATCAATAAATCAATTAACTTCTTTAAATAAATTTGTATTTAATTTAATAGTTTGGGAAAAAAGAACATTATTCTGTACATTAATACATATATTACAGTACAGTTCTACACATATTTATTTAAATACAATTTTTATCTATTGTCTAATTTTCAATCACAAAATCTTTAAAGAACGCTTATTTCTGTATTCGCTCATTCCTTGGAATACATCGCAAATATTGAATTCATTTTTTACAGCTCCCGCAAGCTCGGCAGCTAACATTTCCAGATTATCAATATGTAGCCTAGGCCGACGTAAACACTGAATAGTAAGCGAAAGCCAAGGTGAAGTAATTTAATTTTCCCTCTCTTTGTCCAATTGGTTTTATGATTTTTAGTCATCTTTTTTTTTTTTTTCATTGATGAACAAACTTCAACAAAATCGGAATGACAGAATGAGATGTATTTTTTGTGTGTAATACAGAAGGTGGGATGGTAAGCATGTCTGCTGTAATCATCAAACTTATTATATACTATACTCATACTGAATTACATTGGCCAATAAAACAATGGTTGGACCAAATGAACACTTCCTGGTTTTTCCAGTAATGCCTGTTAATAAAGGGGTTCTCAATAAAACACTGCTAGTCTAGCCAAACATCATTTCAATGCAAGACTACATGTAGATAAATGGGCAACCATCCATAGCCAGAAAAAAAAATGCAAATGCAACTTTATGGTTTATGATAAAGAAATACAGGTTTTCATATCAGTCAAGTGGCAGGCTGGCTCAACTTTCACCACTATATGGATCTCCGCCTTAAAACTAAGCTAAAAAAATATATATATGCGAGTCTATGAAGGATGTTGAAAATTAAGATGAAGTCACTTTAGAGAAAAGAAAATAATTCCTATTAGCATGACAATGTCCGTGTTAAGATCGATGTTCACCAATATATTTTAGTGCTAATCAAATTAAAAACATTTGTTTCTAATAATTAGGCCTATTATTTAGATGAAGTCATAGATTTTGAGACAAATAAAATAGATACAAAAAGAACATTGAGATAATACACAGGAAACAAAAATAAACATCAAGATTCCATAGGTAACATTGATCTAGAATTCACAACCATCCAAATTTGCACACCTTTACTTTTACTTTTTCTTGACATGCAGAAGCCATGAAGTGAGTTAGGCCTAAGCCTTCTCAATTTTAACAAAATAAAAAAGAATTATTTTAAGGCAATGAGTTTGGGTCTTTTTTTTTTTGCTATCTGTTCTTGAAATGGATATAATTTACAATAAAGTAGTTTTAATAAAGAAATAATTAAATTAAAAAGTGTGTGAAACAGGCTAACAGCTAACAAATCTTGCATTCTACAATACTCTGACCATGTTCAAGAGGCAACCCTGATTTGAGTAGTGAAGTGAAGACCTGGTGCCCAGTCCATCATAAAGCATTAGTTGACTGATTAGTTACACAAAAGCAAAGCATGAATTAACAATCCAGTTAAATTTGTATTTCACATTTGCAATTCACAGTTGTTACCTTTCAAATGAGGTAAAGCCTGGAGTTCTGGTGCAGTATTTGCTCGATAGTGTGATGAACCTTGTGATCGCTTTTGTTTCTTGGATTTAACGGCTGCTTTCGCTGTAAATGGGTCAATGCGATCAGCTAGCTTTGCCGACATGTTGACTAAACTGTTAATGCGGTTAAACCGCTGTAAATAGATTAGTCAATTCACGTGTGCATCAATTGTTTTTTGTTATTGGACATTTGCAGTCTCTACAATCAAATCCGTGGATACACTTGACAGCACAACTAACTGTGTTCATACAAGTAATGTAGACCTTTTTGTAAAGTAATTACCGTTTTTACAAGACTGATAATCGGCTTAATCTTAAACCGGTCAATATCTTGCAAATTATAGAGAAAAAACAGATAAATAATAGGGAAAACAAAATATCACAGTGTGTTGCTACTCAGATAATGGTTGCCCATTTCTCGCCTTAATTCAAGCACATTGAGATTTAAACGAGATTTGTCTGTGACCTTGACCTTAATAAGGTCATTGGGTTATTAAAGGAAGGCGTGATTACGAATGAGCAGCCACTGACATTTTGAAAAATGTTAAAAAAAACTAATTATAAATATTGTGCCAATGTATAGGTCAAATAATGTTCTCTTAATACATTTAACAAAAATATCACTAGCAGTAACGGTGTACATCTTCGAATAGTACAGAATGTACACCAAAACTATGTGCACTAGCAGGCACCCACGATTTAGCGATCTAAGGGATATAACAATGTAATTACTCTCTATCTTTAAGTGTATCTAAAGTTTTCCCCCTTTTATTTATTTATTTATTTATTTTTAGTTCGGTTTTTCAATTTAGATTTAAAACAGGCGTACGCAGGGGTTGTTAGAGCATCGATGGCTGCTCCCCCCTAAGATTATTTGTAGCTTTGTGGCGCCTATTCGCAGATTAATTGAATACAAATAAGAAGCTACAAAAAATGCTCGCCTTACTTACAGCAACCACGAACTTAAATCTGTTAACAATTATATTTCCTTGGCCCAACAAATGTTATGAAATATCCATATTTTTTTAATGACTCGTAACATGATTACTTCTCAGTGCCAAGCCGAGCACAAAGCAGAGGCGTAGACCTAGGGGGCGTGCGGCCGGGCGTCGACCCTTGTGGAGTGCCAAAAGGGGTGATTTTTTTAAAGCTCATTTTAAGCTGCAGTTTTGAATTATAAACAGTCAAAGTTAAGAAATTTAACGGCTATTTTCTACCTTGATTATGTAAAGGTACAAAATATACTTTTAAGAAACAGTGACCGCAAAAACCGCTTTCCAGTTTGTTATAGTTTGGGGGGGGGGGGGCGCTTTTTCGCCTACTACAAATTTCCCTCTAAACTCAGATGAGACATATTTTTTTTCTTAATTTATTACTCTTTTTTTAAAAAGGGAATTTATTGGCGTCGAGTAAAGTTTTAGGGAACGAAAATCATGACTGTAATTATTAAATCTTTTACGTACTGTCGCGCGCTCACACACACAAATTGAAAATTCGCCCCCGGCGCCGGGAGGGGTCTCTTCTCCTCTGGCACAAGGCAGAACGAGACGTCTGTTGACAGAACATGTCAACCCACTTTAGCAGCTCTACTTGTGCACGTATTCTTTGCTTGAGGTTTGAAGCTGATGTTTCGTTACACTCTCCACTATCATTGGGTTTTAGAGTCGCTACCAGTTTTCACCAAGTTTGTACATGGGGATTGCGGGGAGGGGGGGGGGGGTGGAAGGGGCATACTTAGTCTTTAGTTTATTAGGGTTTATTTTCTCCTGGGGGGCATTTAAAACTTTAATTTTTTAATAATTTTTTTTTTTTTTTTTGGCACACAAACAACTCAGATGTTTGGACATATTATAATAGAAAGCTAATGTGAAAAATCATGGAGTTGTACTCTAAATTATTAATGTGAACATTTCTCTTGGTTAGTTCCCTTAGACCGTAAAAAAAAACAAGGGATTTGCAGGTTGAAACTTGTCACTTCACATTTTGCTTCACTTGAAATAGACAAAACTGTGTTCCAGTGGCGTCTCTAGGTCGGGTATCACCCGGTGCGGTCCGCACCCCCCGCCCCGCCCTCGCTACACCTAAGCTGTGTTCTTCTATATATGCATCATATTAATAATTGATTTCAAACCATTCGATTTAACCCCGTTTGTTAAGAAATAAATTGGCAATAAAGCTTGTTTACAGTTTACAGATAGTTGGATTTCGGTGAGATAGACTAGATATACTTTGTTTGAAACGGATGTAGGACATTTGGATAAAAGATGGACATGACAAATGGCAAAAAAAAAAAAAAAAAAGTCGACTTGCCATGGAACATTCAGGTTTTCGGGGTAAGGGGAGAGGCGAGAGCTAAAATAAAAAAGGTGCCAGCCTTTATATATATATATATATATATATATATATATTTATATATATATATATATATATAGAGAGAGAGAGAGAGAGTACATCTTAATCTTACTAGTAATAATGAGTCGGGGAAGGCGTCGTTGGATGGTAAAGCTTACGCCTGCTTAACCGAAAGTCTCGAGTCTGTAGAACGTCTCTGAGTCCACCCAGCTCTGATGGGTACCTGACTCTAAATCCACCCAGCTCTGATGGGTACCTGACTCTAGTCCAGATAATGAAGGAATCTATCCTTTCTGTATTTTGTTATTGTTAAAGTTAATATGATTAAAATAAAAGCTACTTTTTTTTTTGGTGTGTGGGCAGCGCTGTAACGTTTTACTACACTCTATTAGTACTTTGTTAGGACTTGGATACATAGTACTTTGTTAGGACTTGGATACATAGTACTGTTAGGACTTGGATACATAGTACTGTGTTAGGACTTGGATACATAGTACTGTATAAGTTGTTTCGGAGGAAGTCACGGCCTCCAAGTGCACACCACAGCCTTTGGGCGCTACCCCCCCCCCCCCCCCCCCCCTGATATGTAAAACTAATGTGATGCCAGAACCTTTGTGTACATGGCTACCAAATATGTAGTACTGCATATATGATGAGCTGCTGGTCAAAATTCTGGAAGGGGGCTAACTCATACGTACTGGCAGCCCACTGTATACCGTAGGGTGCTCTTAAAAAGGAATGTAAGCGCCAAAGAGCTCATGTGGAGCATGTTGCTATAGGTCACACGACGGCCAGCGGCGTTATGACTGACTATTTAAACAGTACCCCTGATATCCTATGCAGGAGCATGTTGCCATAGGTCACACGACGGCCAGCGGCGTTATGACTGATTATTTAAACAGTACCCCTGATATTCTATGCAGGAGCATGTTGCCATAGGTCACACGACGGCCAGCGGCGTTATGACTGATTATTTAAACAGTACCCCTGATATTCTATGCAGGAGCATGTTGCCATAGGTCACACGACGGCCAGCGGCGTTATGACTGATTATTTAAACAGTACCCCTGATATTCTATGCAGGAGCATGTTGCCATAGGTCACACGACGGCCAGCGGCGTTATGACTGATTATTTAAACAGTACCCCTGATATTCTATGCAGGAGCATGTTGCCATAGGTCACACGACGGCCAGCGGCGTTATGACTGATTATTTAAACAGTACCCCTGATATTCTATGCAGGAGCATGTTGCTATAGGTCACACGACGGCCAGCGGCGTTATGACTGATTATTTAAACAGTACCCCTGATATTCTATGCAGGAGCATGTTGCTATAGGTCACACGACGGCCAGCGGCGTTATGACTGATTATTTAAACAGTACCCCTGATATTCTATGCAGGAGCATGTTGCTATAGGTCACACGACGGCCAGCGGCGTTATGACTGATTATTTAAACAGTACCCCTGATATTCTATGCAGGAGCCCAATCAGCTGACCCCTGGTGCTATGATGGCCACTGCAGAACTTGGGCGATCAGACCCCCCTAACCCTGGGTAAAAACTTTGGAGTTAGTTAACAATAAGATAGAACATAGTCGTGCTAAAGAGAGGGAATGTGGTGTTGTAGGGTCGTGCTTATGAGAGGGAATGTGGTGTTGTAGGGTCGTGCTAAAGAGAGGGAATGTGGTGTTGTAGGGTCGTGCTTATGAGAGGGAGTGTGGTGTTGTAGGGTCGTGCTTATGAGAGGGAGTGTGGTGTTATAGTGTCGACTTATGAGAGGGAATGTGGTGTTGTAGGGTCGTGCTAAAGAGAGGGAATGTGGTGTTATAGTGTCGACTTATGAGAGGGAATGTGGTGTTGTAGGGTCGTGCTAAAGAGAGGGAATGTGGTGTTGTAGGGTCGTGCTAAAGAGAGGGAATGTGGTGTTGTAGGGTCGTGCTTATGAGAGGGAATGTGGTGTTGTAGGGTCGTGCTAAAGAGAGGGAATGTGGTGTTGTAGGGTCGTGCTAAAGAGAGGGAATGTGGTGTTGTAGGGTCGTGCTAAAGAGAGGGAATGTGGTGTTGTAGGGTCGTGCTAAAGAGGGAATGTGGTGTTATAGTGTCGACTTATGAGAGGGAATGTGGTGTTGTAGGGTCGTGCTTATGAGAGGGAATGTGGTGTTATAGTGTCGTGCTAAAGAGAGGGAGTGTGGTGTTATAGTGTCGTGCTAAAGAGAGGGAGTGTGGTGTTATAGTGTCGTGCTAAAGAGAGGGAATGTGGTGTTGTAAGCAACCATCTACTTAGGCTGTATCAACACTGATGGGTCAGCTGTATCAACACTTATGGCTCAGTTGTACGAGTTCAAACATTGGTAAACAAACAAAAAAAAAAGATGACAAACCATAAAATTCTTTCTAAAAAAAAACATTTTATTTTAATATTGGGCACAGCCCATTTTGGTATTTGTACTTCATTAATGAATAAAAAAAAGATAGCATTTGTGGGTTTTAAATAGTTCTAGTAATATTGCTTAGGAACTCTAAAAAAATGTAAATTTGGTTCAAAGGTGGTTTAAATTTTTCATTTCCTGTACAGGCAAAGAAATATATACAAAATGTAAGTAAAAAATGTGCAGTGTATCCCCTAACTCTTAATATAAGAACATTGTGAAAAGAAACTGTTATTTACAAGTGAATAAATGCTCAGTCATTACAATTTTCTTAACAATGGTATTATCTAGCTATTCACAGTTTTAATGTTAGTGTTTTTTATATTTTTGCATTTTGAAGAAATACTGAAAAGAAGGAGAAACCAAATGCCAAAGGAAACAAAGCTACCAAGTATAGTTGTAAATTATATGCTTTCTTCTATATGCTGATGTAAACTGAAAAAACAAACAAACAACCCATATTATAAATGAAATCCTTTGTCTTTTGTAAAATGATTTCACTCCATTATTTAAAAGTCATTAGAGAAAAACATTTTAAAAAAATATCAAAGATTTACAGCTAATGATAGGTTTTGTTCATTTTATTTTGTTGTTGCATAGAATTAGTGCAAAAATATTTGTTTTAAATAAATAAAATAAAAAATTGACATCCACAATGTTATCTTTTACAGGCATACTCCTACATGACTTATAGTTAACAAACTCAGATTGAATTACATGAAATCAAAATAGAAAGTCAGGTCAAATGTAAATATAGTAGGTATATTGACATGTTATTGCCAAAGATTCAAGTAATATTAGGTTAGTTGTTTGAACCTTTATACACTTTAAATATCACAGTGCAATAACATCAGGTACATTTTATAAATACATGAGTGAAAAAACAACTTGCGGACTATCATTATGATTTTTGTATTCATATCCCAGTGACAATGCTTGCTTAGCCATTTATATTACCCCATACATTAGTTTTAATCTATTTGCTATATTCAAATACTAGAAAACGATTTTCTACTATAATTTGAGACAAGACATTTAAAAATCATTTTAATTACCCTAAACACATGCAACAAATAAGGCAGAAAATATGCTTTAACATTTACAAAGTAAAACTTTACACCAGTGCATTCTGGCTAGCTATACCAAAAAAGACCCTATTTTTAAAAATCTTAAACAAGGAGATATACACCACATTTCTAATGTGTGTAACCTTAAAACCAGTAAAGGAATAATGCAAAAAAAAAAAAAAATAATAATTGACTACAATTAATAAGAAACAAATTTTGTAATTCTAAAAGATCTGTTTTTAAGTAATTCATACATTTTTTAGTGATTTCAAACTTTTAGTTCATTAAAGTTACATTTTTAAAATTCATAGCTTTTAAAGGGCCACCTACATTTTTTTTTTTAGAAATTTTGTCAAGAAAAATGTTTCAGAACTGGGAATAATATCACATAAATATTTGCTTAAATAAAAAAACACACTAAAACTAGACTTTAAAAAAAAAAAGAACAATTATCAAAGCAAAATACCAATGATCATTTTAAGGCACATTTTATATTAAAAAGCACATTCAACTTGTTTATGAAAGAAAACAAACAATGCTTTTTAAACAAGCCACATTTGTATTTTTTAAAATTTTTATCAGACCAACAGCAGTTTTGTTTAATTTAGTTATAGTTAAATCAACTGACTGTCAGATGTTTCACAATTAAAATATTTTGATTGCTTTTGGTATCAATTGACACTTTAGATCAATGTAAAGGTATCTTATAGTGCCTCATGTCAAAAAATAGGGAGAAACTAAACCAAAGAGTAGGGGCTACAGATAACATACTGCTGAGAACAACTACATGTTCAGCTGGATTAATAATTCTTGCCAAAAACATAATTACAGGCTGATATCAAATAGCCTACAGCTTTTTTTTTATCAGTACCCCAAATCATACAACAGCTTTAAGTAATTAATTTAACAAGATTAAGGTAATAAAATAAGTAATGGAAAATGTGATCAATATATCAGTGGTGATTCTCTAAAAGAAAGTTAACTAAATGAAATACATTTTTTGGAAACCACTCAAGATACAATTAATGGATAAAATGCATCTAATACGGGCAATATTTTAAAAACAATTCAGAAATAAAGGAACAACATGATAATATGAAGGCATAGAAATAATTATAAATAAAACTTTCCATTTAGATATAGGACGTTTCTATAAAATGCTAAGTTAAAAAAGTCAAGAAGAGCTTGCATATTGAATGTTTGAGAATAAAATAATTAGGCTATAATTATCAGGTAAGCTCATGTGTTTAACACAAAATAAAGAGATTTTATCCATGCCACACTTGTAAAAGCTAATTGTAATAGAAATATTTTCTAAATAATAGTAATTTAGCCAAACTACTAGACTTAATGAAATTTGTGAACTGTACAAAATACCAGCAGTGTCAATAAGAACAATTTAAGTTTAAGGCACTACCCTTTAGTAAAGAAATATACTTAAAGCCACTGTTTAATTTGAAACTCATAATTCAGAAAAAGGTAAGATTCTAGCTGAGGATGATATCTCATCACAATTAGCCTGTGGATTAGATGGCTTTTCTGGAATAGTTTTGTTTTGACCACCTGAAGAAGTAAGAACTATGTATGTTTTTCCAGAAAGTGTGCTAACACTTCGAAGGTGCAATGGAGAGCTTGTATTAGTCACTTTAATTACCTGAATATGCTTCTGGTGAAATTGATTATATGCAGCAGAATCACATTTATTTAAATGTGAACAAGTATCTAACTGTTTTTCAAGAACAATTCTTCCCGGTAGACAATTTTCAGCTTTAGTAAGAGAATTATTTGATGCAGTTGAGTATATTGTTTCTACCTTTTGAGTATGAAGACTAGAAGGAGTTTCTGAATCTAATAAGCTGTTTGTTGGCATTGCTGTCTCAGCTTTAATATGAGGAAAATCATTTTCCATACTAGAAGGGTTACCAATAGGCTTGAATAAAACAGGAAGGGAACAGTTGGCACTATCATTAGGGAATGAAGACATATACTGATTTTGACAATAGATATTCTTGTTAAATTCAATATTTTCATTAACAGGGCTTTTTGTGATTTTTTTGTTGGTATCAAGGCATTGACTTACAGGTGTCTGAACAACATGAAGTAAATTGGAAGGTTGTGAAGACATTAACTGTGAAGGAAAAGGAAGAAGTTTAATGTTTCCCACTGTTAAAACTTTCATTGAAGATGAACAACTTTCCTCTTTATTTACCAAATCAGCATTGTAAGTAGTTTTAGCAGTACCACCATGCCCCTTGCTTGTAGTAGCCTCAGTAAAAATTGGATGCCTGTCAACATCAGGTGCATTACTGTCATGTGATATATTTTCATAACTTTTGAGTTCACTTGGAGGATTTCCTGACTCATGTTCAATGTCATTACAGTTAACAAACTCAGATTTAACTACACCCACTTGAGAATTTGTAGATGATATGTTTTCTTTTCTCCAGGCGTTAATTACCTCTTCATCTTGTTCTTCCATACAGTCTGCACTTAAGACATGGCCATTTCCTTTTATGCAGTTTTCAGCATTCATATATTTTGAGACAGTAGCCAAAAGATTCAGACCACCCATCATACTTTCTGTTGACTTGGCTTCTTGAATAGATGATGTGGTATTGCGTACATCTCTTGCAATACCATAAAGAAGTTTTGAAGCTGAAGGTCTAATGAACTTTTCAATGTTAAGTTCTGAAGAAAATGTTTTATCTTTTGCTTTATCTTCTTCTAATTTTACCTCAGTTAAAAAGTGCTGTGCTGCAGTCAGTATGTTTTCATCTATTGCACTCTTTTTTTTCTCCATCTTGAATTTAGTACTTGGTACTAATGACTTTGGGTTACTCTCATTTCCTAGTTGGCGCTTGCACTGTTGAATCAAAAAATAATAATATATAAACATGAGTATTCAGAACTGTATACATTTATTTAACCTGGGAGTTAAAACTTGTATGAGAGTTAATAAAAACTTGTATTAGAAACATGTACAAAAATAATTTGGTCACTTTTATTTGAGTGGTTTTATGATTTGAGATATTTAATTTATTTACATACTGGTACAGAGTTTGAGAAAAGTGTAAATTATAAAATTTTATATAGAATGAGATTTTCAACTAAGTAAATAAGATGAGATTAATATCTAGCAGTGTAGTTTTAACACAATAATATTTCAAATGTTCATTAAAATTAGATGCAAGAGTTATTCACAATTATTTTAAGTAACCTTTGGGTAGCTACGTGAATGTTTAAGGTTTTTAACATTTACAAATTATAAAAACAAAATGACCTTGCTTCTCTCTCTTGCTTTAAGCCTAGCAGCATAAACCTTTAACCGTGCCTCTTTTTCATCAATTTCCTTTAGTTGGTTACTTCTGTAAGCAGATAAAACACAACCATGAATGTAATAGGAAAATTATATATATTTATATATATATATATATAAATATATATAAATATATACTTACACACACACCACACACACATACTAGCAGCATATTCCAGGCATTGTACGGGTTATGGGAAATATAGTTTTCAATTAAATGCCTATGCGTAAATATGAAGCTGAAGAAAATATACATAACACTAACCACAAATATAATTATTAACAGATACATATATCCCTATCCCAATCCTTATTGCTATCACTATCACTAAGACATAGGCCTATCTGTTTCCCTATTTAATTTTATTTTCTCTATTGCTATCTATAGTGATTTCTCGCTATATTCTCTATCACATTTCATTTTCACTATCGTTATCTCTATCTTGTCCTGTAGCTATCCCTAGCCTTTTCCTTATCCCTATTTGTGTCAGAATCCCATTTCATTTTCCATAACATTATCCTTAACAATTCCCCTATCCTATTTCCTTTTTCCTAGCACTATTCATTTCCCTTTCTTATTTCTGTAACTATACCTATTTCTTAGCTGCAACCGTTACGTTAACTGTACCAATTATTTCTTTATCTCTTTATCTAAATGAATGGTGGGTGAATTATATGGGTTTAATGTCCTACTGCAGTTGTTGGCCAGGGTTATGTTACTGGGAGTAATCAACTGGTAAATAAGATCAATCTTCCCACATTTTCTTATTCCTGTCCCTTTCCACTAATCACACATCTTACACATATCACCTATACAGACTTTAATTTAACCTAAGCGGAATGAGTGAATTAATTTATTACACTTTACTAACAGTTTGATCTACTCTAACACTTAATCCAACACAAACTCCAATCTACCTTAACCTAAAACACACATTTACTTGAATCTCATGTATATTGCAAATACACACAGACTGGTATTATCGCCACAAATAATAATAATTTCTCAAAAAACTTAATGGGACAGGATGATCAAACTAATTTATTTGTGATTATTTTGAGATTTAATAACACTTACCTAATTTCAATCTAAACTTGGTACCATAAACATTTAAAATGATTTAACTCATAAAAATAATCTAACTGTAACATATTGTAACACTAACCAAACTTAATTTATTTTATGAGATCTTTCGAAAAATTCTATTCTATACATGTATATGTATATATATATATATATATATATATATATATATATATATATATATATATATATATATATATATATATATATATGTATATACATATATATATATATATATATATATATATATATATATATATATATATATATATATATATATATATATCTCATAAAAAAGATAAAAGCTGCCATAAAAGCTGCACCTAAAAGCAAGTCATAAATACACATTTTTATGATAATTTGCCTGATTTTAAAAACATGTTGCCATTTTAATGTTTTTTTCATGTGACATTTATTTTAAGAATTAAAAAAATTAAACAGATTTTTTATTTGGTTGCATTTTGTAAAATAAGTAAACCTGAAGTAATTATTAACGTGATTAATGTGTTATGTCTCATTCATACTATCTGACAGTAAGTTTTATATTACTACTATTATCATTCAACAAACGCAGCTCCCACCAGATTAAGTAAAATAAACTATGAGAATAGAAAGATGTAATAAATAAAGCATACCCTTCAACAGTTAACAAGTCTAGTGCTAAATACAGCTATAATGAATAAACAGTTGAAAGTGATAAAGCCATACTATAACATCTCTACTATAAATTAAACTAATCCCATAAAGTAGAATAAACTCAATAAAAATATGAGCCCAAAATTATAATCTAAATAATCATCAATTAAATAATCAGTTTTTGTCTCCCCTGTAAAACCAGTAGTAATTTGATTAATAAAAATCAAATAATTATACAATAACCTTGTTAATTCCACATGATGAAACTGAAGGAGATGTCTACTGTAAGTGTTACGATTTGAAAAACGTCCTTTACATCCTTCAACCATGCAAACATAATGTTGCTCCCCTGTGTGTTGTCTAGCATGACTCTATATATAGAATAACAATAAAAATTAAAAGCCTGTAAGTATAGCTATGACTAATAAGTTAGCATAAGATATTTCTTGTTCAATAAAAACTGTACTCTTTGATAAAATTATTCTGCAAGACATAAAAAAAAATATTTGAAAAGGTATTGAATAAAATTCTCAGTGGCCTTAATTATATTGCTAGATTTATTAAAAAAACAAACAACAACAAATGCTTCAAAAACTAACACAGAAATAACATCTTAGTTAGGCTCACACACTCTTGAAACTACTCAATTCTAGACATGATGGTTACTGAGCAGATAAAAAAGAGGTCAACAGTTTCTGTGATCAAGGTAAATGAAGGTAGTGAGCATGATTTTTAATGCCAAGCTGTTTTTACTGGATGAACTAAAGCCTAGAATTAAACTTGAGTCTTAAGGGTTATCAATCCTGCACCCTTCAGACTGACTATGCTGTCCCCTAACTTAATTCTTTCATTGTTTAACTTTATTTTGAAATGTTCAAATATTTTTTATAACTTTTAAAAATATTTTATTAATATTTTTTTTATTCATAAGTATTTAAGGAAATATGCTAGTTTTTTTTATAGTATTAAAAAAAAATGTATGATCCAAAGCCTTTAGACTACTTTTACCATGTTTGGCACTTGAAAGTTAGTATTAAATAGCAAAAAGGGGTTTGAAAACAATTTCATCTGTCATGGAAACCCGAAAAAATGTCAGCCGTTTGAATATTTTGGTACTTTAAAAAATGCTAAGGCTTTTTTTATTTATGCACTTATAGCAATCAAATTTATGACTGCTTATATTTTAGTATACATTAAAACTTTCGTCACGACAACTTTATGATACTGTTCAGAATTCTACATGGTCTGAAAAATTGCACTCTTTATAGTATGCAAAAGTTTTTAAATTTGCATATTTTTAACATTAACCTTTTTCTATAAAAGCCATTACAATTCTCTAGTGACAAATGTAGCATTGTTACATGAACAAAAATCTGAAAAGGAATTTCATTTATCCATCTGAAACAGTGCTCAAGTTATAGGCTGTTGAAAAATTGAAAGTAGAACAAGTTAGATTTCCCGGTAAAAATCTCGATTTTCGTTTTTTGCACGATTACAATACTTCCACTATAGGCCTACTCTGTATACGAGAAAATAAAAATAGCAAAATGTAACGAAAAGTAACGAAAATACATTTTTTTTGAGTAAACCGTAAGCTTTGGGTATTTCTGAGATGACGGAAAATACGATTATCAAATACCTGAGACATCAAACTTTCAAATGATGCCAAATACAATAAGAAATGGATATTGAACTTTTTAAAGAGAGCGTGTAAGATTGGGGAAAACTTATTATTTTTTAATTAATGGGGTTATTAAAATTTTCCCCATTAAAGTTATTATTTTCTAAGTACAAAAATGGACAAAGAATCCTAAAGTGCAAGAAACCCAGTATAATGAAAAATCAAGATTTTCATAATTTTTTGAATTATTCTTGATCTATACTAATCAATTCACAGAGAAAGTGTTTAAAAAAAAAACCATAACAGATTCAAAGATTTGTAAAAACTAAATTATAAAAAAATGGCCAAACTATATTTGCAGAAAATGAGATTCTTTACAGTTCTATTTTTAAAAAAAATATAAAAGATGAAATTCGAACAATAAAAAACTACTGTTACCTTTTGATGATGTGTATGATTATGCGTTTTACTGCAGCCTGGTTGAGTGCATCTGTATCTAGGTATACCAACTTCTTTTAATATATGATACTGCAATGAGTGTTTTCTTGTGAAAGTTGCCTCTTCCATGTTAGCATCCTTACATCTACTACATACCCAAAATCGGATACCTGTTAAATTTTTTACAAATGAATCATAATAACAATGCATGAAATCTTAATTTAAAGAAAAAATTATATGTTGTTTTGCAATATGACTCCTTCCAACATCACCTCAGGATTTTTGTCAAAAAATCTATTCAATGTTTGAAAGATTATGTTGTGGGTGTCCTAACATTGTATAACAAATTTCATCTCCATTGGTCAAGTATTATGCAAATTATGGCAAATGTACAAAAATGTGTCTCAATGAGTAAAATGTCAGAAACACCTCATTTATAACATGCAATTCTGGATTCCTATTTTCATAGTATGATGACCCAAGTTTAGGTTATAGACGTCAAGTAGAAGATAGCAGAAACAGAGCATAGCGTCAGAGGCGTATCCAGGTTTTTTGTGTAGGGGGATCGAAAATAGCAAAAAAGGCACCAAATTTGTAATATCTTCTATATAAGTATATATATATATATATATATATATATATATATATATATATATATATATATATATATATATCTATATACTACATGTTTGAATATTTATTTTTTTGTTTGTCTGATTTCGTACTGTAGAGAATCTACGCTATATAGAGAGCTGTAAAATAGTATGTTGGTAGAGAACAATTTTTCTTTTCAGACAGACTGTTAATCACAAATTTATTTAAAGACATTAATTAATTTATTGATTTATTCATAGGTAGATTAACCACATTTATTTTAAAGTTTTAGAACAATGGCTTAACTTTGACTGAATAGTGACGTTTGATAACTCATTTGTTTGTTTGTTTGTTTGTTTAATTTGTTATTGGGGAGAATCTGCATTATGTTTAGAGCTGTAAAATAGGATTTTGGGTGGTAAATATTGTTCTTTCTTACACACACTGTTAATTACAAACTAATTTAAAGCCATTAATTAATTTATTGATATATTCATTGGTAGATTAACCACATTAATTATAAAAGTTTAGAACAACGACTTTAGTAATAGTAAAAAGATTTATTTTCTTTTTACAACAATGTTTTCAATTATTTTTTCTTAAGGCCTATATGTGAATGATAAGGTTGACTATCAGGACCTCGCGGGGCACAGGGCAGGTGAAATAGAGTTCACCTGTTTCTATGTTCTCAGCATATGAAGGGATAGTGTGGTCAGAGCTATGCTCGGCTGGAATAGTTTTTTTAAAAAAATACAAACATGTCTGAGACTTGGCGGGGCACTGGGCAGGTGAAGTAGAGTTTAGTAGAGTTATTTAAAATATAAAAAAACGTCATTTTGAATGTGGCGTCTGGTTATTTTGGGATGATAAGTGCTGACAGACGTGATGTCATTTATGGATGACCCCCAAAACCCACAGTTATCTAACTAGATAACGGGTAGTCTAGTATATATATATATATATATATTAGCTGTATGTTATTGCTTCGCTATGATGTAAAATAAATTTAAAGTAGCAACCTGAAGATATAAAAAAAAACACACACAATGTAGGCCGACAAAAAAAAACAAAAAAAAACGTATCACTCTAATATATATATATATATACATATATATATATATATACATACACACACACACACTACTACCAAAAACAATGAACGCAGCATAATCTGTTTTGTAACCCTTGTAAAAAAAATTACATAATAATTCCTGGGACATAAATTAAGACAAGCGCATAGGGGAAATAATCAATATCTTAATATAAATATGTATATGTCTACACATTTTATTATAAATATCAAAACAAATCAATAATTACTTAAGAATCTAATAAAGTAGCTTAACACTATTCGTTTATACAAAAATATTTTGTCTACAATCAGAATTAAATATATTGTCATCATAAATGCTAAAGTATTACAGCATAATGAAAGTTTTTTAAATCAGAATTGGTATAAAAGCTAGCTTTTCAATTTAATTGTAGAACATTTGGAATAATACCCTACATATAACTAAAATATCGGTCTTAAATTTCAGATCATGAACTTTTAAATTAGCTACCGACTTTTTGTGTTCTTTAAAGATAATTTTTTAACATAATGAGAAGGTATGGGTTAGATCACTGTATTGCTCACACACCTTTTACTGGTAATTGCAAAAACAGTATTCACAGAGATTTACGTTTCTGGCAGCTTGGTACTTTAGTACATCATTATGCGTTTTCCCAAATGTACTTAACAGATCAGTTCGGGGTGGGTTGGGGGGAGGGGTTCAACTTCATTCACCACTGTCCAGGCACTTTAGGTCAATTATCAAACCCAGCGTATACCTAGGTGTGACATTAATGTTGCTCTAACCAATTGTGGTGGTGAGGTGGGGGTGGATAACCAACTCAGAGTGAACATAGCGTCAGTTTTTAGATGACCGTTCTAAACATAGGGGTCATCCATAAATGACGTCACGCTTTTTTAGACGATTTTTACCTCCCCTCCGTCACAAAAAGCCAGACCCCCCCCCCCCCTAAAATGACGTCACACCTCAGCCTACAACCCCCCTCAAAATTGCAGTTGAATTTTTTTTAAACAGCTATATTTTCCAAAATCTTGTCTGAACTCTGTCAAAATAGAGTATTTTAACCAATTGTTTTTACAATTTATTAAAATAGTTTTCTAAAATGCAAACTAACGTCTAAAATTTGTTTTTTTTTAATACAAAATATAGCATTATTCAAATATAATATAGATCTAGATGTAGTAAACTAAAATAATAATTAATAGAAATTTGATACTGCTTCATATAATTTGTAATTGCAATCAAACTGTCATAATACTACTATTTCATCGTGATGACGTTGTTGACCTTGTCAAAATTACCCAACCGCTATGCAGTTCGCCCATAAGTAAATTTAAATAGAGGTGCCACATTAGTTGTATTTGTGTCTGTATTGTAATTTTAAAAAATAAATTACACAATTTAAACTGTATATATAAAGTAATTATGTTTGAAGTTTTATATGTAACATTTTCTAATTCAATTATTCATAAGCAAATACATTATACAGTTGCCTTAAACTTAACACCCCTCTTGCTAAGTGGTACTACCCGTAGAGGTTTTTTAAACATTGCACTGCATCGTAATGGTTATTTTTGAACGACAAACTGATACAGCTGCTAATACGTGTTGTAAATGTTGACTCTACTAGTCTATTACTGTTATAATTAATTGCTGCATGAAATAAATCTTGTGATTTGCATAGATGTGCCGACCAAAGATAATTTTTTAACAAATATCAATGTTTAAAACTTTAAATTTAAAAAGTTTCCAAAAAGGCACCACTTTGCTAAAAATGGCCAAAGGGGGAGCGGCTGCTCCCCCCCTGCGTACGCTACTGCATAGCATAGTTAGGTAGACCAATAGAATAACAGGAGATGACCGGTTACTTGGGACGGTCAGATGACCACTGAAACGTGGGTCAGCGGTCAGACAGAGGTAACGCTAGGGGAGAGACGTAGAAGTTGAAATTAAATGTAGTGTCAGAGTTTGTCATGGAAGTGTGTAGAGAGAAATCAAGTGTTAGTTGTAGTTAGATAGTGTTAGTAGACAGTCAGGTATTAGGATGTAGTTAGGGTAGGAGTCTATGTCATGTGTAAATAAAGAACTGTATTTTATTGAATTGGATCTTTTGTGTTACTTCCACACTGTACCAGGCTTACGTAAGAATAGGCAATCCCCGTGGAGAGTATGTATGTATATATATATATATATATATATATATATATACACATGTATATACACACACACACCGTATGTTCATTATGGAGCAGTAGTTATATATATAGAATAAAACTTTAACAACCCCACCCTCACACTTTGTATTAGAATAATGCATCTTATTTTGAAAAAAAAAAACAAACCCCACAATTCATAAGCCTTCTAGAAAATAGTAAAATAATTTAAAAATTAAAAAAAATAATTTTCACCTAAATGAGGTCAATGGGTTTTAAAAATAAAATTAAAATGTTGAAAAAGATGTGCCGGTATACAAATTAAAATTCATGTTTTTACCTAGCAAATGTTTTTTCTAAATGTCATGTGTACAAATTAGACCAGGTGTCAGAAGGGAATAATGTTATTTTCATTTAAACTAGTTCCAATTCCCAACTAACACTGATGTTGATCAAAGAGGTAAGAACTTAATTGAGAGAACCGATTCTAGATTTAGTCCGATAACAAAAGAAAAGAGAAGGCACATTAATTTTGCTACTAACCTCTTATTTTCTCATTGTCTTCCCTTTATTACATACCTGATAAGCTCACCAAATGACTGTAGAGTGAGGTACTAGCAGTATAGTGTTTACCACAATGTCTACAGTATTTTGGCTTTAGCTTTCTTGGGAAACATTCATAATCTCTTAGAAGCATTCTTGCATAAACCTGTTATAAAGTATGAGTGACGTGATTTAAAAAAAAATTGAGTAATGTTATTCTGAAGATTCACTGCTAAATAATTATTTGATTTTTGGCAAACACAACTAATAATTAGGTATATTTAAAGGTTCCATGAAAAATGAGCTCAGGACAAATGATCTCAAGGAGAAATGATCTCAGACAAAATATCACACGTCAAAATATGTAAAATATATGAGACGAGCCGGCCCGTGGCATATCATACGCCGCTATTTAGTTTTTTTTTTTACTACTTTTCAGTAATACATAATTTGTGAATTCGACAGTACCAACGCTGCCACTGAAAATATTTCTTTAAAACACTATAAGTAGCTCGTTAAGGACGATACCCCCCCCCTCCGTTAAAGTAAACTCCACTTAGTTACCCCCCCTACGTTTAAAATAGTTTCAAACTAAATTATCTGCCCCTAATAGCCATCACTAAACCCGGCTCCGCTTGTAAACATTTAGCGTGAACCACAGCTCATCAGACCATGTAGGGGTGGGGGTGGTAGGGAGCACGCTTACAGCTTGTTTTGTAGCGTCTCCCAGAAGAGAATTATATATATAGATGATTTTAGTCAAAGCAAGCATTTTAAAAAAATGATTCTCTTAAGGATTTATATACTTTATAGACATTATATACTTATAAACATAATAGTTGTGAGAAAAGGTTTGTCACATAGATTAGTTACAGTATATTAAACATACAAAAATTGCAATTAGAAATGTAATATTCGTAGATTCAAACTATGTTTTGAGACAGTGTAGGTGGGCTTGCAGATCATAAGACAATCCTATCACATTAGGTGGAAGTAACTAAATCAAAGAGGATCACTCATCTATTGATGGAAGGGCTATGAAAACATACATATACATACAGCAAGGTGGCCGCTGGGAGAAGACATCTGCCCTACTCGGACTATACAACTATACTCATTAGTCAATAGTTATATTTCGGTCACACCATAGTGATCAGGTGACACATGCTTACTTTAAAGACAGGGGTCATAGCGGAGCTAAGTTACTCATAGTGTGCATGCAAAGCACTGTTAGTGGCAATTACTCAGCTATGACTTATTTACATCCCAGAGGGCATATGCATTTTTAAGAAGTCAAATTTACGCTAGACAACAAGAGCGAAGATGTTGCACTTGTTTCACTTGTTTTGACATTAATGTGCTTTAAGTATATCATCATTTTATTTGTTTTATGCATCATTATGTCTAATACTTTCATATAAAATGCTGTTTAAAAAAATGTAGTCTTATGATGGTTTGTTGATTAAGTTTAAGTCATTTGTGTAGTAGCCCTATATCTCATTTAAATAAAGTGTAAATAAAGTACATGAAACCCTTATGACGTTCAATAAAAAAAACTTAAAAATCATTAAGTACATAAAATCCATATGACAACAAAACATGTTAACTTAAAATCAACTAAAAGAATCATAAATACTATAAATATTTTACTTGAGATATTTTGTCCATAATATCATTTGTCTGCAAGATACTTTTTTATCTGGGATGTTTTGTCTGAGATCATTTGTCCTGTCAGCTATTTAAATTATGTTTGAATTTAAAAATTATTATTATTGTAAATAAAGACACTTATTTTGTACTAGATAAATGGCCCGAGAGAAATACGAAATAAGTTGATAGTGTTTTCTTTTTCTCTAAACCAAAACCATATAGTATAGAGGCTAAATGTAGAAGTTGCCACAATACTTTGGTAACTTTTGATCTACATGCAGTTACTGCACATGCTTACAAAATACAGTTGTAGTCATAACCTAAGCCTTGCATCTAAGTATTCTAAGATCAAACTTGACTAAAGTCGCATTCAGAGTTTCTTTCAGGCAACTCTTCGGAGATAGTGTTTCTTTCAGACTTTTTTCTCAGGGGGCGGGCGCAAAAAAATAGAAAATCTACATGCAGACCACTTTTAAGATTAGACAAATTTGGTAGTAGTGTTAGTGTCTGTATTATTAAGTATCAATGACATCATTATTAATGAGTATTTTTTCAGCAATGGTTTTAAAGTACAAGTTTAATCTAGAATCAATGATGTCATATTTCGTTTCATTTTGAAAACTTCCTACATGTTCCATGTGGCATTAAGGTCTTTTACTATGCACCTTTTAAATTTTCTAGTGTTTCTCTCGAGCGCTCCTGACAGGCAGAATAGCAAACCTATTATATTCGAATGTCATTAATTTCTTTACAAAACTATCAACTCTTTAATTGTGTGAATAAATGCAAAAAATATCCAAACATTTTAATAAAGACACTTTTAATAAAGAAAATGCTAACACAAGATTAGAAACCATAGTGGCTATGGGTAACCTTTTTATGATATCTATCATGTTTGCTAAGCATGACATTTTTTATTGTATCACCATTAAAATACTCACTTTGTTGGGCTATTATTTATTTATTTTAGAAGGCCTCACTTCTAATAGGTAAATATAACAGTTGGTAAAAGTTTTAGTATTTAGGAAGGTAAATGATGTAAAAAATAATATATTGTGATTTTGTTCATACATTTTAAAAGTTTTAGGCACTTCACAGACCAAGTGTATTGAAAATGAGAAAAATGCCAACTGAAAAAAATAAATAAAAATAAAACCAACTATAAGAAATATATGAAAACACTTGCAGTAAGCCTCAGCTTAGATTCTGAATCCTGAGAAGAATCTAATTTTTTCCAATCCTCACTGGTCAAATGATCTAGGGTGTTTTTTTCTGCTTCAGTTAAAGGATCCTGGAGTCGTGATAAAGTCTGATGATCATAAATCTGAACAGAGTCCATCCACTGTCTCATGCCCACTGTAAAAAAAAGTATCAATAATGGAAATTAAACTTTAAATTTAGTCCAATGCATGGTAATGATATTTAAATGACAGTCTATTCTACATAAGAAAACTATAGCAAACTTATGCCATTCAATGACAACTAATGAACCAGTATTCTTCAATTTAGGAGATGTCAATACTAAAACTGTGTCACAGAGGTTGAAGGATTGTGCTTGATGATACTGCATGTTCTTTATATTGGTGAAATAAAAGGAGACTTTTTTGGAATCTTGAAGAAAATACACATTTTTAAGAATCTAAATAAAAATATTTAAATAACTGAGACTTAAGACTAGATTTTTGTGTCAAAATAGGTATTGGAACAATGTTGGCTGTCATATCAATAGTGCATTGGTTCTAGTAGTTTCTTGTTATTACTTGTAATACTTAAGCGCACTTTTTTGGGCTAAACAATTGAGAGTGATGTTTTAATTATTTGAAATAATTTAAGTTTGAGTAACTAATTCATTAAGCTCTCAAGCAAATATATGGCAGCCTATCTGAACAGTATAGTTTTTTGAAGATTGAAATTAGTTTATTTCTCATAAAAATATAAGCAATTTAATAACAGTGAATAATTAGGTGAATATTTTTTAAAACATACAATGTGCTATGAAAATTTAATAACAGTGAATAATTAGGTGAATATTTTTAAAAACATACTGAGTATTTTTTCTTTATCTTCAAGAGATAATTCTTCAGAGGGCTTTTCTGCTGCAACAATATCATCAAGGACCTGAGAAATTAACAATTTTATGTGAAGCAGATGAATAGTTTACAGAGTAGCTTTGATTTTCTTTATACCAGAAAACTATCAATTACTTAAATAACATGTAGGTTTACTTGAATAAGAAATTTAAAAAAAAACATTAAAAAAATTATTTTTTATTTTCACAACACTCAAATCAGTAAATAAAATGAAACCTACAATGCTTACTACAGCCTTAACAGAAAAAAAATCGATAGAACAGATAATGTACTCTATAAAGATGAAATGGACTCTTTGTCTCTGTATGTATGTAAAATGTTTGCGGAAGACATGCATATAGTAAAATACTTGAAATTAAAAACTTTCACAGGCAAACAATGATGTCACATGAAACTAAGAAGAAATAATTGTATAAAGTCAGAAGAAATGAAACTAATGAAGTTGAAGTCCCGAAAAGTACACAAAAAGAATGACGTAATTAGTTGAAAATAAAAATATAATTGATAGTCAAAGTAAAAAATAATACACAATAATAATGACGTCATTGATAATGGATAGTAAAGACACTAACATTGCGTTTGTATTTAGTTAGGTTTAAGTTTAGAGTTAGGTTTAGGGTTATGTGTGATTTTCTCAAAGATCTATATTTGCAGATAGACATTTAATTGGAAAAGTAATAATATTTCCTAAACCCAGGCACCATATAATAATCCTCCTTCAGGAGCTACTGATAGTGTTTTAAAGCAAATATTTTCAGTCACAGCATTGGTAGTGTTGAATTCACAAAATATGAATAACGGAAAAGTAGAAAGTAAAACAACTAAATAGTGGAATAAGCTATGCTGTATTAACTATACGCTCATATTAATTATATTCTGCTTGCAACATACATTAAAAATAAAATGTGAACCACCCTCACCTTTTCAATGGTATGCCATAATGAACGGTCAACAGCAAAAAGTTTTGTTGCAACTTTGTATTGAAAAGTTTCCTGTCTAGAAAAATAAAAGCAGGTGATTATATGACATTACTTTTAAAGTTAGAAAAAAACATTAAAGATGATTAAACAATTCAAAAATATTTACCAACTAATTATCAACCAAATATTTATATAACTTACCCAAGCTCCCACTAGTATTATTTGTTTTTTAAAGCCTTCAGAACTTAAGGCCATATCTTCCTCTTGCTTTCTATGTATTTTATATTACAATTGCATTTTTCTTAACTATTGAAATGCCAATAGTTATGAAATTTTTTTTTCAAAAAATATTTAGTGGTATTTAAATACTTAAATGCATTTACAACAACAAAACACTGTAGTAAAAAATGATACTGAATAAATGATGAGGTGACTTTAAAAATTTACTAAAGCACACACCAGCGTACCCTATCTTAAATTAAGAATACAATTTTTTTTTATTTGTGTTGACACATTTAAAAATGTTTGGTTCAACAACTAAATGAAAATACAATTTCTTTAAACTTGACCTATATGTGCTGAGTAATAAAGTTAAATCTTCTTAGACAGCAATAATTAATTTAGTATTATAAGGGGTCATCCATAAATGACGTCACGCTTTTTTTGACGATTTTAACCTCCCCCCCCCCTCCCCCACACGTCGTCACAAAAAGCCAGACCCCCCCCCCCCCTAAAATGACGTCACACCTCAACCTACAACCCCCCTCAAAATTGCAGTTGAATTTTTTTTAAACATCGATATTTTTCCAAAATCTTGTCTAAACTTTTACAATTTATTAAAACAGTTATCTAAAACGTGAAATAACGTCTAAAATTCGTTTTCTAACATTGCTTTTTTATAATGCAAAAATGTGACGTCGCAACATCTGACCCCCCCTCCCCCTCATCACACATCGTCACAAAATTATGGACCCCCCCCCCCCTCCCCCCTACGAGTGTGACGTCATTTATGGATGACCCCTAAGGACTTATTTTCAAATATTCAATACAGTTTCCATTTGCTCCAATTATTTGCCATATTTGAAATTAGGAATTTGGATTTCATATTCATTAGGTATAGGCATTATTAACTTACTCTTTTCCAGCATGAAATGTCTGAGTTTCACAAGTTCTTTTATCACCAATTTCTTCTGTTTCAAAGTTTTCAATTTCAAATTTTATTATTGGAATACTTTCTATTTTCACTAATTCTTCTGAACATTGGTGATCTTTCTTGCTTTCTGATTCCATATTATGCTCCAATTTTGGTAAAGCCTTTTCATTTTTCTCAGATTTTTCACAATATAAATCCTTTAATTTGGTATATTTCGTTGCCTTCACTTTAGGTTGCTTAATCTTGCGCTTTGGTACAGTAACAGAATCTTGTTTATGAGAGGTCTTCAATTTTTTGATTGGTACATCTTTATTAACTGGCACTGGAGCTTTGTGTTTCACAGTTGCTTTAAAATGAAGAATTTAAAAATTACAATTTAAAAAGTAAAAACAAATGTTAAAATGTAGGCTAATTAAACACTAAACAAATCTGTGCATACTGTGTTTGTATATATTTGTTTAGAAATCTGATATTTAAAAAAAAATAAATACCATATTTATTTCCTTTAAAGAGTTGATTTTTAGTGCGAAACTCTTTTTTTGCATCTGGTGAAAAAGAGATAAAAAAGTAGGTTAGTGAAATAATTGTTTCCAATACAGGTTGCAATAATAAACAAAAGTAGCAAAAAAAAATAAATAAAATAAATGACATGTCAATTTAAAACAGCTTTTTTGAAGAGCGTATAATCATTTTTAAATATTTGAATACCTTATTTATACAGGTTCATAGGCAGACTACAGACAAGCTTACCCTGACAACCAAAAGTAGGAACAGTCATACAAAAAAAAGTGGAATTCGAAGCAAAGAGACAGGGACATATGTGCGGATGCTACTTTGCTAAGCAGAAAATAAATACTTAAAATATGAGAAAGACAGTAGATATGAGAATTAGGAGTAGGTTTTATAAAAAATGATATTTAGCCAGCATATAGTACTTAATTTCAGCTTACTTTTAAAAAAATGTGAGCCCCACACCCTCCCACTTAACTTTAACAAACCTACAATAGTAATTGGTTAGATTCAACACTTGAAGTAGTTGATGCTACAGCAATCTGAAACTATTTTGTATTCTTTAGTTTGCTTGCCAAGCTCATGTGTTCTAGACTTGTTATGTACTAGACTTGTACTAGTATGAGGCCATATGAACAACAAACAGATGGTTAAGCTCCTTGTCAAAGTCATATTTTAATTATTATTTATTCAGTAGCATTATTTTAGTTAGTCTGAGTAATGGATTGATCGTTTTCTATTTTACTCCATATTTATTTACTGTTTAATTTACGATTACATATCCCAAAAAATCTTTTTTTCCCGGCTTAACAAATGAAAATTTCTAAAATATTGTTCTTTTTTATAGCTCCTGCAATATTGGCAGCTGACACTTTCCAGATGTTAATGTAGGCCTAAACTGTTCTAGACCTAAACAGTGAAACGAAAGAGGAAGAAATGGCAGCTTAAGAACAGATCATAAGACTATTTTACAATTATACTGAAACTCATACAACTGAATAATTTAACATAGTTATAAATCTGATAAATATGAGAATTATTTGAATTGCCAAGATTTGGCACAAAAATAGAAGCTATTTAAAAAAAAAAAAAGATAATTCTAAACATAATCTACTAAGACTTACCATCTGTTGTACCAGTCTTTAATAAACTTATATGATCTTTTAAATGTGCTCGCATTTTATGTCGAGCGATTTCTTCAAATCTATACTCTTTGCATTCTTGTTGGCAACTTTCAGGACAGAAAGTACAAATAAATTTGTAAGTATTGCGAATTTCCTGACTGAGATCCTGAGCTAAAACATATTCCAATGAAGAAGAAGCACTTTCAAGAAGTTTGATGACATCATCGTATTGAAGCCACTCTTTTAGCATGAGACATTTCTAATTGGGCAAAAATAATAAATATAAAAAAAAAAAATAGCTAAACACAAAAATGAGATTTTAAGGTAATAAGAAACAATGCAAAAGTATTAAAACAATCACTTTATAAACTATAGGCCCAAACCTATGTTCTGTAAATTAAAACAATGGTATATTCTTTTGCTGTGTTCTTAACTGTAATAATGAGGTTAATTCATAGAACATAACTAAACATTATATGTCAACATGTTATGTACCAAATAGCCTGTTGACTCCAGTCGGCTCTTATCTCTGGATATACTTCCATAGTATTAGTGCAAACCAAAAGCCTCTGCAAGGCAGCATTTTTACTTTCTCATATATACAGAGTATAGAGAAAGTATTGTAATCGTGCAAAAATTGTTTTTTTGCAAATCTCGACGTTTTACACCTCCCTGAGTTGGAAAAACATAATTTTGCAATCTTGTGTGTGCGTATGTGTAAACACCATAACTTGAGTACCCTTACAGCTAGGTTGATGAAATTTCATATATACATATTATATCAAATTTGTAGATCCGTAACAACTTTTCAGCGATTTCCGATAACCGGAAGTGGAACTTTTTCTACTTTCAATTTTTCAAAGGCCTATAACTTGAGTACTATTTCAGATAGATAACTGAAATTTCACATCTAAGTAAAAGATATAATTCTCTGCCTTATATCAAATTTTGAGTAATTTCTGTTGACCGGAAGTAGTAATTTACGCTATTTACCATTTCTCAAAAAAAAAAAAAAACAAACAACAAAAAAAAAAACAAACAAAAAAAAAAACATCATGTGAATTTAAAAAGTACTAATAATATCCCGCACTATTATGCACATTTTGTTTGGCGTTTACTTGGAGTGCGATTCTTTTTTCTACGAGATTCTATTCTTTTATAAAAAGTTTAATTAAAAATCTATATACTACTAAAAGTCAAGTTTGTTTACATGTTTGAATATTTATTTGTTTGTTTGCCTGATTGACTATTGTGATATGTTCCACTCTATCTGGAAAGCTGTAAAATAGTATGCAGGTAGAGAATAATTTTTTAATGCAGACAAACTGTTGATCACAAATTTATTTAAAGACGTTAATTAATTTATTGATTTATTCATAGTTAAATTAACCGTATTTTTTTAAAAATGTTAATACTTTGAATAAACTTTGTGGGGATAGTGACGTCCCTTGATGTGTTTACATTTTTGGTACAATAAAAATGGCGGACCCCATCATAGACTTTGTGGCCCATTCAAAAGTTTAACGCGTTACAAAGCTAATTTTCTGCCGGCTATAACTTAAACAATACGTCCTTTTGCTGTATTTATTACGTTCCAACACTTATATCAATTTTCAACTGTCTTTTTCATTTAGTTTTACGATAAATTTCTCTAGATCTAAAGATCAGCTATCGAAGGAAATTTATGAATCTAGCCTAGATCTAGCCTAGATGTAGGTCACTAGATTCAATGTAAATTCTACATCTAGAATCTATTTCAGGCCTTAATTATTTTATATAAATCTTTGTTTGGCTTATTTAAGATAAAATTTAATTTGAAAGTTAGTACTACTAGACTTATTTTTAGATCTAGATCTAGAATCTATACGCGTAAATCAAGTTGCATAAGGAGACACATAGTATAGTATAAAAATTCACTTGTGACATCACGAGTAAATAGCTAAAATGGTAGCGTAGTCAGCTCTCATGCAGGAGGCACGGGTTCTAGACCAATATGTCAATGAAATTTTTTTTTTCAATTTTTTTTTAGATGTGAATGATAACGTTGCCTATCTGAACTTGGCAAGATACAGGGCAGGTGAAGTAGAGTTCATCTGTTTCTTTGTCCTAAGCATATGAAAGGATAGTGTGGTCAGATACATGCTCGGCTGGAATTGTTTTTTAAACGATAAAAACATGTTGTCTGAGACTTGGCAGGACACTGGGCAGGTGAAGTAGAGTTGAGTAGGTCACCTGTGACGTCAGTTTATGAAGGGATAGTCCGAAATCGGTGTTTTCGGTGTTTTTAAAAGATAAAAAACATATATTTGAATGTGGGGTCTGTTTTTTGTGACGATAAGTGACACTGCAGTAGCGTACCGAGGAGGGGGGGGGGGGGGGGACGGTAGGGGAGGGGAGGCGGGGGGTGGGGAGGGGAGGCGGGGGGTGGGGAGGCGGGGGTGGGGAGGTGGAGGGGGGAAGGGGGGGGGGACATATGTTGGGGCGCCAAAATGGTTTGGAAAAATAAATTGATAGGTTGAGGGGGGTTCAAATCGAAAGTTTGAGTGGGGGGGGGGGGGGGGGAATTGCACATCAAAAGTTTGAGGGGGGGGGGGTTCAAATCGAAAACTTTGTCCCCGGGCGCCGGGAAGGGTCGCTATGCCTCTGAGTGACAGACGTGATGTTTTTTGATGGATGACCCCCGAAACCCACAGTTATCCAACGGATGACGGGTATTCTAGTATTGTCTATATCCTGAATTGCCATCCCCCATAGTGTTATATCAGAATATTCGAGAAAGTTTAGGGGAGATCACTCCCGGTTTATTTGTTTTAAGATTTATTTTCTTGATGGGTTGCTGTTAACAGGTAACAAACAATATTTGCCAGTGGGTAAAAACTTTCAAGTCAGCAATCATCAACCTGATCACACCATCCCTATAATTGCAACTTAAAGTTTACACAGCATATTTCAAACTAAAGTCCTAATTGTAAAAAAAAACAAAAAAAAAAAAACCAGTACCAAGTTAATGTTTAATGAAATAACCCACCGTATTTGTTCGATAACACTGAAAAGCTATTCTTTCTAGATTTGTTCTTGTCATATGTGAGGTTTGAACGGATAAATAAATTCTTACAATCACAAAATATGAGGTAATGAATGTAAAATAAATTTAGGGGAAAAACTTACTGGAACTCTTGACATGTTGAACAATTAAAGGTTCACTCAATGAGAAAATCTGTAAATATTTAAACAGAATAATATCGGTCTACATTAAACTATGTATAATATTTTTTTTAAAATAATAAGCTTTCAAATGCACAGAAAATAAGTAAATACAACAAACATTTGAAAGTTATCAAGCCAGCACAAGGTTATGCAATCAGGTCAAACGACTGTATTTTATACATTTTGATCCAATTTTAATAATTTAACTAAATATTTTACATTTAAATGTTTTGTTAATTGTATTATTAATTAATATATTGCAAAACAAAATAAAAAAGACTAATTAAATTCACATCACTGATGACCCAGTGAATGCTCAAGAGACGCAACCATAGTATACATAATACAAGGGACATAACAATCACTAACAAGACATAACGTAACAGTTGCTTAGAGATGTTTGTATGTAGATACAAACTAGATCTAGAAGAAGAAGTTGATGATCGAAAATAATTTAAAAAAACAAACAAAAAAAAACCCCCAGAAATTTAGAAAATATATAGATTTTAGACTTAGATTTAAATATAGAGGATCTAGATCTAGGCTAGTCTAGTTCAAGTTGTTGGTGACGTCGCGAGGGTAAAACACCCTAATCTTTACCCAGCTGCGGCCACCCCAATTTCTCCTCTTAGATTGCTTTAATAGCCTTAACTATAGTATTTACAGGGTCTTACACATATGTAGAAGCTATTTATAGTTAACCTAGTTATAAAAAGCTTTGATAGGTTGGTTTTATTCATCTCATCCGGGACCTAGTGCTTTTCATAGGGGGAACTAGAATGGCCTATGACATCATACCTCGAAACTTAAAAACTCATCTTCCAAGAGGTAGGCCATGCCGTTCGGCTCACGGCTCCTGGGTTTGTTTGTTTGTATTATCTCACGGCGCAAGCTCTTGAAGCTATTTACTAAGATGGTGGCGCGGTTTTGTTTTCATTAAGAGGTAGAGGGATAAAACCAATGATTTTGAAGCCATTGTCAATTTAGTAATCGGAATTGCCTGTTCTATTTATGTTTGTCAATTAAGAATAGTAATGTGTACTTTTGACCTAATTTCTTTATTTATATCGCAAGCGGCTATTTAGTGAAAGTAGCTCTTTTTATTCTTATGTTAACGTGAACTTAAAATCACATAACTTCTAAACTACGCTTCTAATGTTAACCAGCGCATGATGCAGCAACGGTTCAGAGTCTTAGCTTTATATACATGACAACGTCTGGGAATAATTCCCAGGTCCGTAAGTGTGGTCACTATGCCAGAAATATCACCTCCCCCCCCCCCCCCCCCCCATAATGCCATTTTATTACAAACGTTTTGCCAAAAACAAAGCAAGGGAAAATGTGTGCTGCGCCAAAATCCAATTATTTGGCTAGATTTTAGTCATGTCGCGTCATATCTAAAATTGAATACATTGCGCTTTCCCCATTGATGATCATTTTTATAATTTTTTAAAGTAAAAATATGAATTATTAGTTAAGATTGCAGTTTTTGTAATATGGTATACTTACTCTGTAATCTCAAAAGCATGGCATGTTAATGATGTACAAACATTGTCATAAAACAAAAATATAAAGTTTGATTTTTTTTTTTACTACCACTACCCGCCACACCTAGGCCTATCTATACAATACCATACAATATTTAAAAAAAATTTTTTTATTGATTGTGTTAAATTTTAGCTATCTAAATTCATTTCTAAGATATTATAATATGCTTCTAAAAAGTTTTATTGAAAAATCTTTAAACATGATCGATAAATCCACCCGTGAAATCAAGTCGCAGTTCTAGTACTTACTCCTTCATAAGGTTATAATAGGCTGAACCTAACTTTGGAATTTTTTTTCAGTTATAATGACTTTGCACAGAAAGTTAATATATGCTACATTGACTTAGTTTACTTATTACTAGATCTAGTGTGCTAGCTATTATGACATTTTTTTTTTCTAAAAATTTTATGTTGTTGAGATTTTCATCAAAATGCCAACAGAAGCAGAAAACAAAAGAATTTGACCTGGATATATTTAGAAATGGACATACGTACAGTAGATATCGGTAGTTTTGAATAAAACATCTAAACAATTATTATACGAAGTGATAAACAGGGGGATGGCTGCAGCATGTTTAACCGCGTGCAGATCTTTACAATAGATCTAGATCTAGAACAGTTTTGAAGTGCATTTCTGTCGTTCAATAGTTTTCACTGTACTCCTAAGCAATGAACGGCCCAAAAATATACAAAGAACCATAAACTTGGCAAATGACTAATTTTTAAATACATTTAGAATCTAGATCTAAATTATATATATATATATATATATATATATATATATATATATATATATATATATAGGCTGCAGACTACAGATCCTGGGCCTGTTTTCTTGACCACGAATATCTCGCATGCGTTGTAGTACGCTTTAATAGAAACAATATGTAACATTTGAACTCACAATGACCCCAAATCCGTTTTCCCCACTTGCTGGGTTGGGAGAGCGGGGGGGGGGGGGGGGAGGATTACGATGACGGAATCTCGACAAGCTCATAGCAATGGTCTTGCTATGAAGTATGCTATACGCCTTCACTGTTCACATCTAAACCAATCTGACCTCACAGTGACCCTGGCCAAAGCGTGTCGGTATATTTCTCGCGCTGACGAGATAACGTGAGCGGGCGATCAATGAAGCAACGATGTTTATAATTGGCGTTTTTAAAAACATAAATCTAGAAAAAAAAATATAATCTATTTAAAAAAAAAACAATTTAAAAAAGACACTTATGCAAACAACTCTATGAAATGTTAAACTTAGATAAATACACTTTACTTCACGCAAAAAACAAGAGCTTTAATACTAATAGGTTCCGATTCCGTAACTGATCAAGAATCGGGAGGTACTGCGTTCTCCACTCGACCACGACGTCTTACGGTAATAATAATTATTTAAATATAGGGTATTTAGAAATAGCAACACAAGAACTAACGCTAGCTAATCCGCATAACTAATTACAATAAAAGACAACAAAATACAAGCAAATCCACAAGAAAAATCAAATAAACACAAAAGGTTTAATTTTAATACTGGTCGTACAAGTGCTTAACGACCTTAATGCCGGGTCTCAATAGCGGCCAAGGGCTATTAGGACCCGGGTCCGAATAGCCACTTCCTTTCTACAATGAACAATTAATCTGGAATCGTCATAAAACATACTACATTCTAGATTTAGAATAAATATTATTTTAAATATTAAGTATTATTAAGCTAGTGGATATCTAGATCTACATTGAGTAGGACTCAGTAGGCCTACATCACATTAGTAGTAAGTAGACCACATTGAAACCCCATTCCAAAGTTGAAGATCAGTCTAACATAAATCTAGATTCTAAGATCATCATCATAGATAGGTTCACCACTAGATCTAGCTAGATCTAGATCTAGCAACTAGACTAGTCTAGATTTAGAATCCAGATCTGAGATATCTTAGTTCAGATTTTAGATTCAGGATCCTATTCTACTAATTATAGATATCGAGTCTCTAGAAATAATCTCTCTAGTCTCTAGATTCTACTCTCAATCTAGACTCGAGATTTAGAATTTACCGACATATTCTAGATTAGATCTAGTTACTACAAATCTAGTTGCACTTCAAATGGTGCAAATAATCACAACCTAAGAGAGATTATTAATCTAAATATAGTCTAATTAATTTTAGTATAATCTAGATAATATTACTAAAATTAATTGGCAGTGTTACATTTTCAAGATTTGGCAGTGTGTCTTTTTGCTCTTTTCCGTTTCAACGGTTTTTCGTCTGCTAACCTCTAAAAGTAGTACGCAGGTAAACAATGCTTTGCACCGCCTTGCGTGGATGAACATACAAAAAATAGTCCACTAAGAAATATTTTAAAAAGTCGAATAGAAGTTTTAATGAGAGAGGACGTTATTGAAAAAATATATCTCTTAAATTAATATTTTTTATTTTCATTTTTGAAATAATGACAAAATTTAAAAAAAAAATTACTTAAAACATAAAAAAAAAAACAACAAACAAACTACATCTAGAATGTAGCAGTCAACGATATTAGTTGTGATTTTTACTTTGAGTTTAGTCTAGGTTAGTTTCGGAGTCAGAAAAGTTTGTTTTTTTAACCAGCTTCTGATCAGTCTTTCTTCCTTTCAGTATGTGTAATGTGCAGAGTTTCTTCCTGGCATCTCTTCGGGGGGGGGGGGGGGGGGCGAAGCCCCCCCCCCCCCCCCCGAATTTTTTTTTACCGCCCCCCGAACGAAATGAAATTTATATAATTAATATAGAAATATATACTTTTAACAGTGTCCGCCCCCCCCCCCCCCCCGAAGAAAGTCTACCGCCCCCCCCCCCCGAAAATTTCAAATGCCCCCCCCCCCGGAGAAAAAAGTCTGGAAGAAACGCTGGTAATGTGTGTGGTGGTGGGGGGGGGGGGGGGAAGAAACGTTTAAACTTTTTTTTATATAAATAATTTTTTTTTTCTAGATTTATGAAATGGTAGCTGCAGTGGAGCTTATGAAGGGAACGCTGTTTTAAAGACCTATTGATCTTGAGCTGCCTGCCACCAAATAGGGATCCGGATAAATTAAGGCCGACACGGACAAAAGGCCGACAGACCACAAGACCGACAGACGATAAGGCCGACAAACATAAAAAAAAATACTAATATCGCAAAATACGTGCTAATACATAGCTCCAATCTAGACAACCATCGAAATAAAGCATACAAAGAGGCGAAACGTTCAAGAGAAGAGACTAGTTGCTATCCTTATAAGGTGAACCATCGGGTCCACTTTCAACGACCCCCCCCCCCCCCATTGTGGACGTCCACAAAAATTTAGTAGACCTCTCAAAACAAGCTGCAAAATCACTGATTAATTAACATGTAATGTGTACATTGCTATGTTAATAACTGATAATGTTAAATAGGGATTTGATATTTTCGGTAACATCTATTACTAGGCCTAAATAATAATTGGGAGTTCAAACTTTTCCAAGATGTCCGTATGTCTACGGCGTGTAAATTTACTGTGGTTGTGTGAATGTGCTAAGACGATCTAAAATTGTTCTCAATACTCCACGATTTTGAAGGCTTTGTTACCCACTATTTTTCATAAAGAGTCAGATATTGCAGGCAGTCATACAATTTTTTTTCAATTGAAGATACTGTAGAACGAATTTTTTAATGTCATTTTGTAGCGACTATAGGTTAGGGTAGATTGACTAATCAACGTGACGTCATTGTATTACTTTTACCCAACTTTACGTTACACGTGTTTCCATAACGAACCGCTTCTCCCCCTTTCGCGTGTGTTTGCGCTGAACGTTAGCCATACACACCTGAAAAAGCGAGCACAGTATACACACGCTGATAATTGTAACGTGGTTGTTTTGTTTTGTTTTTACATGAAAAAAAATGACTAGATCTACATCATTTTAGGCTTTGACACAAAATAAAGATTGTAGGCCTACTATGATTTAGTTACAATTATTTGAAATGTTTAAAAACGAACTTGAAATACCAAGAATTGTTTTAAAAAATTGCCGTGGTCAACGACCCCCCCACGCTTGTAAAAAAAAATGAATGACCCCCAATTACGTATAAGTTTATAAAGTTTATTATAATTAAAGTTTTTTAAAAATAAATTAGGAGTCTTTTTCAAGGGAAATTGTTTCACGCATAAATCGGTAAATAGATAATGCGGAAGTCACGTGATAATTTGTTGATCAACATGGCGACTACTACAATAATAAACATCTGAGAATTTTATAAATATACATAGCAGGCCTATAATAACCTATTAATATGATTTGTAATGTATGAGCTGAAACTCTGTAAATTGAATTCAAACTACGCAAACTACATTTTCTCAATTGTAAGTTTGCGTGGACGTGTTTCTGTCTTAATTCTTGGTTCCAGCTCTGAAAATGCAGGAAACATGATATGTGCCGCAAAATGTCAATGTGCAAATTCATTGAAATTCGGGTAAAACCTTAGTTTAGCGTCGGTTATTATTCCGGAATCGTATAGCAGTAAAAAACAGTAAAACAATGCCAAAGTCCGTCACACACTTCCGGAATTCACCGGAAGTACTGTAAACCATACTTTATTTGGCGTCATATTTTATTTTTATACAGAATGTTTAAAATTTGGATAGATTTATTTTTGTAGGCCTAATCATTTTTACATTTTGTAATCATTTTTACTATTTTCGTAATCTAGATTTTTTTACTTGGCCTAGCAGCTAGATATCTAGCTAGATCTAGATCTAATTAATTAATGGTTGCAAATCCGCTGCAAGCCAAAAGCATTAAATTATTACATTTGACTTCATTATTTATATTTATAATAGGCTAATATTTGTTTTTTTTTTTTTATTTTTAGATCTACTAATTTAAATCTACTATTATATTTATTCTTGTTTCCTTTTGTCGATTAAACTTAAAAAATTAAAACAATTTAGGCCTACTACAATCGACTTTCAATTTATTTATATTTCAATGGTCAAATAAACCATGGTTTACCGTAACTCTAATTACCGAAACTCAACAAACATTACCCGATAATTTCCGACGCTAAACTAAGGTTTTACCGAAATTCGATCTTCGCCGTTGATAATCTTCTTACTCTTAACCCAATATTGCTTGGTGATATTTATTATAATATATATATATATATTGGTGCTTCAAGGGCAATATTTTTTTGCGGAATTAGTTTTCGACGATATTTTAAGCTGTGGCGAAGGTCGTGAAGTATGTAAATGACGAAGAATTCTACCTGGGTTTACATTAGGCTGTTCAAAGTTTCCGGGTTTGATGTTTTTGTGCCATCTCATGGCTCATGCGCTTACTAAAATGGCGATTAGTTTTGCTTTCGCTACGCGGTATGGGGATAAAACTAATGATTACGAAGCCATCTAGAATTTTAGATATCGGAATTATCTGTTTCTATTTAAGTCTGTTATTTATTTAAGCATTGTCAGATGTACTTTTGACCTAATTTCTTTGTTTGTCTCACAAGTGGCGCCTTAGTGATAGTAGATCTATATATTCTAGTCTTTCAAATTAAATAACTCTAAAATATCACTTCCATAATAAACCAGCCTACGTGAATGATAAACTTTAAAGCATTAATTTTACACACATTACAATTAACTGGTAATAATTTATGGTGTTTATGAGATATGTTTGGTGAAAATGATCACCCCTCAATAATGCCATTTTATTGTAATCTTTTTTGGTGAAAACGAGGTGTGGGAAAAAGTGTGCGCGCAAGAATCCAATCATTTGGCCAGATTTATGACTATTTTTTATGTCATACCTAAAAATAGAATGTTAACGCTTTTTTCATTGATGATCGTTTTTATTATTTTTTAAACTGACTTGGTATACTTACCCTTTATCAATTTTAAAAGCATAGAATGCTGATTGTGTACAAATATAGTCATAAAACACAGAAATATAAAGTTCCAATTGCAATGTGCCACACCCGGGTCACACCACCTCAAGAAAGAAGATGTTATTAAGCAGTATCTCACTTTACTACAGTAATTAAAATTAACAGATGAACCAAGCCGTGCTGTGTGAAAACACCTTGTCCATCACCCAGGTGTCAGGGTCATAGTGGGGCGCTCTTGGGAGGATGCCCTCGGTACAACTTGTCGTTTGATTCAAGTAACACCCCTGACCCCTGTGTAGTACCCCTGACCATCTGTGCATGACGCTCAATCATCTAACACCAGTGCCAAGAAAACTGTGAACTTAATTATACATCATAGCCCTAGTAGTGTAGGGCACTCTAAGCCGTAGGACGCTGTTGGTGCATTGTGGCATTGATTCAAGTGGTACCCGTGATCCCCAGGATTCCCAGTCAGCAGACCCACCTCCCATGTGCTAAGATAGTGGCTGTGAACTCCAATCAACTGACACCATGTACTAAGATAGTAGGTGGGAACTCCAATCAACTGACACCATGTACTAAGATAGCTGTGAACTCCAATCAACTGACACCATGTACTAAGATAGTAGCTGTGAACTCCAATCAACTGACACCATGTACTAAGATAGTTGCTGTGAACTCCAATCAACTGACACCATGTACTAAGATAGCTGTGAACTCCAATCAACTGACACCATGTACTAAGATAGTAGCTGTGAACTCCAATCAACTGACACCATGTACTAAGATAGTAGGTGGGAACTCCAATCAACTGACACCATGTATTAAGATAGCTGGGAACTCATGGTGCCAACCTCACACTATATAAGTTATATATGAAATTTTGTCTGCCTAAATGAAACAGTACTCAAGTAATTGTGTTCCCACAGTAATAAAGGGGAACAGGGCAATAAACCCCCCCCCCCCCCCTCAAATAGGACATTACCCCCGGTTCGGGGTTCGGCAAGGGTTTGAGTTTGGGCTAGGTCTGGGTTTAGATCTATGATTAGGGTTAGTGTTAGGGTCAGGCTTATGCTTAAATCAATGTCTAGAGTTGGGTTGGCTGGGTTTATTTTAGGGTGAGGTGAATTCTTAGGTTTTTCATCTTTGTCTTAAGGTTAGGATTAAGGTAATATATAGGTATAGAGTTGGAGTTAGAATCAGGATTCTATCTTGGTGGATGGGGGGGGGGGGGGTTGGGGTAATTCCTCTGGTAGTAACTGACAGAGGGGTAATTGCTCAGGGAGGGGGGGTAATGTCCTGTAGCCGTAATAAAGTACCATTTCCAGTTACCAGAAATCACTCAAAAGTTGATAGAAAACTACATTGATAATACTTATATATGAAATTTTGTCGACATAACTGAAACAGTACTTAAGTTATCGTATTCACAAAATGATTGACAGAATTGCAAAACTATGTTTTTCTGACTCAAAAAGGTGTGAAATGCCAAAATCTATTATTTTTTGTTGTTGTTGGCATGATTACCTACCCAATGCTCCATATACGTGAAAGTAAAAATGTATGTTTGGTTTTCCAGAGCCAGCAAGGCGGGAGGTAAACAATGTGTTTGACTAGCTTAAACTAGTCTTCTAACCAAGCATGTCAGTCTGGAAACGGTTGCAGCGTGTTGGTAAATCTGCCTCTAAGTTTCAGTTCACAGCATCCTACCATGAGTTGGCTGTTGAGTGCTCAAAAAAATGGTTAGTAATGCATGAATACATTTTCTTGTACAATCTTTACTTTTAGTTGACAATAAATGTTGCCTCAATGATAAAGTGGTGAGCAATAAATAAATTAATGGTCAATATGTTACCTAAGTTAATTCATATAATATGATTGTTTTCTAGGTCAGTAACTGTAACTTGAGTTAATATATATATAACATGATTGTTTTCTAGGCAGCCCAACAAGTTGTGTGTAGTCTGGACTAGGAGAAGCAGAAGGCGCTCCACACAGGTAGTGTCCATGTTCCTTACATTCCCTCCACACAGGTAGGCCATGAGTGCCCATGTTCCTTACATTCCCTCCACACAGGTAGGCCATGAGTGTCCATGTTCCTTACATTCCCTCCACACAGGTAGGCCATGAGTGCCCATGTTCCTTACATTCCCTCCTCACATGTAGGCCATGAGTGCTCATGTTCCTTACATTCCCTCCTCACAGGTAGGCCATGAGTGCCCATGTTCCTTAGATTCCCTCCACACAGGTAGGCCATGAGTGCCCATGTTCCTTACATTCCCTCCACACAGGTAGGCCATGAGTGCCCATGTTCCTTACATTCCCTCCACACAGGTAGGCCATGAGTGCCCAATGGTTCTTACATTTGACAGCATCAGTATGATTGCTATATGATTGATTGGCTGACTCAGTTTGATTGCTGGTTGATTAGCTTTGAAGAAAGCAAAGAGTTAAAATGTGTTGAAGAAGTTTTTCTTGTCAGCCCTACAAGTGGGAACCAACCATACAAAAATGTTTTTCTTGTCAGCCCTACAAGTGGGAACCAACCATACAAAAATGTTTTTCTTGTCAGCCCTACAAGTGGGAACCAACCATACAAAAATGTTTTTCTTGTCAGCCCTACAAGTGGGAACCAACCATACAAAAATGTTTTTCTTGTCAGCCCTACAAGTGGGAACCAACCATACAAAAATGTTTTTCTTGTCAGCCCTACAAGTGGGAACCAACCATACAAAAATGTTTTTCTTGTCAGCCCTACAAGTGGGAACCAACCATACAAAAATGTTTTTCTTGTCAGCCCTACAAGTGGGAACCAACCATACAAAACCCTTACTTGGGCCTGGTGACATGGGAGGTTCCAGAGAACATAGAGATCACCGTCACCTTGTTCAGAGACTCACGCCAGCACCAGTACGAGGACAAGGACTGGACATTCACTATTGAAGATGTAAGTCTTGACCCACACGCCATAAGGACTGGACATTCACTATTGAAGATGTAAGTCTTGACCCACACACCATAAGGACTGGACATTCACTATTGAAGATGTAAGTCTTGACCCACACACCATAAGGACTGGACATTCACTATTGAAGATGTAAGTCTTGACCCACACGCCATAAGGACTGGACATTCACTATTGAAGATGTAAGTCTTGACCCACACGCCATAAGGACTGGACATTCACTATTGAAGATGTAAGTCTTGACCCACACACCATAAGGACTGGACATTCACTATTGAAGATGTAAGTCTTGACCCACACACCATAAGGACTGGAATTCACTATTGAAGATGTAAGTCTTGACCCACACACCATAAGGACTGGACATTCACTATTGAAGATGTAAGTCTTGACCCACACACCATAAGGACTGGACATTCACTATTGAAGATGTAAGTCTTGACCCACACACCATAAGGACTGGACATTCACTATTGAAGATGTAAGTCTTGACCCACACGCCATAAGGACTGGACATTCACTATTGAAGATGTAAGTCTTGACCCACACACCATAAGGACTGGACATTCACTATTGAAGATGTAAGTCTTGACCCACACACCATAAGGACTGGACATTCACTATTGAAGATGTAAGTCTTGACCCACACACCATAAGGACTGGACATTCACTATTGAAGCACTGTTGTCAACAGAAACTTTGTATTAAATGACAGCAAGTTTTTTATTTTCAGCATTCTAAAGGCAGCCGCAAGGTTTTAGCATCAAGGAGCATCAACATGAAGGACTATGCTAGTCAGATCCCCACCCAGACCAGCCTGAAGCTCAAGCTGAAACCTGTCAGCAAGAAGGTGGTGGCAGCTGTCTTAGAGCTCACGCTGTCATGTGTCTTTCTGCGGGAGGGTAAAGCTACGTACGTATACATTGTCATGTGTCATGTAGGGGAGTAATCTATTGACTCATGACATAACCTGACCTCTACATTACATAAGCTGACCTCTACATGACATAACCTGACCTCTACATGACATAACCTGACGTCTACATGACATAAGCTGACATCTACATGACATAACCTGAACTCTACAGGGATGAAGACATGCAAAGTGTGGCTAGTCTAATGAGCATGGGGAAAACAGATATTGGCAATCTGGAGGACCTGGAAGAAGAAGATGAAAGTGGTCTCCCAGGTGATGTTAGCTTGTCCACGCGTCACCAGATTAATGACATCACCTTGCAGATGTCCAGGCTGGATGCACATTTTGGTAATCCCTTTGATGAGCAAGAGGAAGAGCATGATCACCTCAATCCATTTGGTATTGTGGCACTTTTGCTTATTTTTTTTTTGTTATTTTTTTTTTTTTGGCACTTCAGCTTTTTTTTTTAAAATTTTATTTTCTTTGGCACTTTTGCTTGTTTTTTTTTGTTGTTTTTTTTTCTTTGGCACTTTAGCTTGTTTTTGAAAATTAGTATAGTTGTGCCCATTGGCTTGTTTTAAAAAAAATTGTGGTGTTATGACACCTTTGCTTGGATTTTTAAAAAATTAGTAAAATAGTGAATTTTTCATTTTCTATACAAAATTTCTCCACTATTGTCTGGTCAAAAAATTGTGAGAACCCTTACGGCTTCTGTGAGGGTGGGGAAATGCAGCAGCACCAAATATGAGGGTGGTGTGAGGTGGGGAAATGCAGCAGCACCAAATATGAGGGTGGTGTGAGGTGGGGAAATGCAGCAGCACCAAATATGAGGGTGGTGTGAGGTGGGGAAATGCAGCAGCACCAAATATGAGGGTGGTGTGAGGTGGGGAAATGCAGCAGCACCAAATATGAGGGTGGTGTGAGGTGGGGAAATGCAGCAGCACCAAATATGAGGGTGGTGTGAGGTGGGGAAATGCAGCAGCACCAAATATGAGGGTGGTGTGAGGGTGGGGAAATGCAGCAGCACCAAATATGAGGGTGGTGTGAGGTGGGGAAATGCAGCACCACCAAATATGAGGGTGGTGTGAGGTGGGGAAATGCAGCACCACCAAATATGAGGGTGGTGTGAGGTGGGGAAATGCAGCAGCACCAAATATGAGGGTGGTGTGAGGTGGGGAAATGCAGCAGCACCAAATATGAGGGTGGTGTGAGGTGGGGAAATGCAGCAGCACCAAATATGAGGGTGGTGTGAGGTGGGGAAATGCAGCAGCACCAAATATGAGGGTGGTGTGAGGGTGGGGAAATGCAGCAGCACCAAATATGAGGGTGGTGTGAGGTGGGGAAATGCAGCAGCACCAAATATGAGGGTGGTGTGAGGGTGGGGAAATGCAGCAGCACCAAATATGAGGGTGGTGTGAGGTGGGGAAATGCAGCAGCACCAAATATGAGGGTGGTGTGAGGTGGGGAAATGCAGCAGCACCAAATATGAGGGTGGTGTGAGGGTGGGGAAATGCAGCAGCACCAAATATGAGGGTGGTGTGAGGTGGGGAAATGCAGCAGCACCAAATATGAGGGTGGTGTGAGGTGGGGAAATGCAGCAGCACCAAATATGAGGGTGGTGTGAGGTGGGGAAATGCAGCAGCACCAAATATGAGGGTGGTGTGAGGTGGGGAAATGCAGCAGCACCAAATATGAGGGTGGTGTGAGGTGGGGAAATGCAGCAGCACCAAATATGAGGGTGGTGTGAGGTGGGGAAATGCAGCAGCACCAAATATGAGGGTGGTGTGAGGTGGGGAAATGCAGCAGCACCAAATATGAGGGTGGTGTGAGGGTGGGGAAATGCAGCAGCACCAAATATGAGGGTGGTGTGAGGTGGGGAAATGCAGCAGCACCAAATATGAGGGTGGTGTGAGGTGGGGAAATGCAGCAGCACCAAATATGAGGGTGGTGTGAGGTGGGGAAATGCAGCAGCACCAAATATGAGGGTGGTGTGAGGTGGGGAAATGCAGCAGCACCAAATATGAGGGTGGTGTGAGGGTGGGGAAATGCAGCAGCACCAAATATGAGGGTGGTGTGAGGTGGGGAAATGCAGCACCACCAAATATGAGGGTGGTGTGAGGTGGGGAAATGCAGCAGCACCAAATATGAGGGTGGTGTGAGGTGGGGAAATGCAGCAGCACCAAATATGAGGGTGGTGTGAGGTGGGGAAATGCAGCAGCACCAAATATGAGGGTGGTGTGAGGTGGGGAAATGCAGCAGCACCAAATATGAGGGTGGTGTGAGGTGGGGAAATGCAGCAGCACCAAATATGAGGGTGGTGTGAGGTGGGGAAATGCAGCAGCACCAAATATGAGGGTGGTGTGAGGTGGGGAAATGCAGCAGCACCAAATATGAGGGTGGTGTGAGGTGGGGAAATGCAGCAGCACCAAATATGAGGGTGGTGTGGTGAAGATGAGGAGAAGATCCAACACACAGTCCAATTCAAGATGTTCAATAATTCTTTATTTATACAAATGAATGCTTCTACTTCTACCTAACTAGTCTATTCTATATACTATCTATTAACACTAGCTAACTACTTCTATCTAGCTGCACCCTCCCATGACCATCCCTAACACACAATCTACATCTAACTCTCTACTTAACTCTACATTTCTCTGACCGTTCCCTACTGTTACCTATCTCTAACTGTCCTGCTGATCCAACTACTGACCCACGCTTCAGTGGTCAGCTGACCGTCCCACGTGACCGGTCAGGTCCTGTGTTTCCATTGGACATCACAGCTTCTCTTATGGCTTTGGTCAAGCGTGGCTGTTGTTATCACAGTTATGGCTTCAGCTGAATATGGCTGCTCTTATGGCTTTGGCTGAGCATAGTAGTTCTTATGGCTTTGGCTGAGTATGGTAGCTTATGACTTTGGCTGCGCATTGTAGCTCTTATGGCTTTGGCTGAGCATAGTAGCTCTTATGACTTTGGCTGAGTATGGCTACTTTTATGGGTTTGGCTGAATTTGGCTGCTCTTATGGCTTTGGCTGATCATGGTAGCTCTTATGGCTTTGGATGAGTATGGCTACTTTTATGGGTTTGGCTGAATTTGGATGCTTTTATGATTTTGGCTGAATATGGCTGTTCTTATGGCTTTGGCTTACATTTCTTGCAAACATTTTATGGAAACACTATTTAAGCAGGTTGACACATTGAGCAGATTGTCATGTCACATGTCATAAGATTTTAGCCTCCCCCACCCCATGGTCTGACATGGTCACAGCTAGACATTCCTACTCCACAACACTTTCCTTGATAGGGCAGTTTGAGTTGTTTAAATAGTTGGAACTAAAAAAATAATCAACAATTTCTTGATAGGGCAGTTTGAGTTGTTTAAATAGTCGGAACTAAAAGTATAATCAACAATTTCTTGATAGGGCAGTTTGAGTTGTTTAAATAGTCGGAACTAAAAAAATAATCAACAATTTCTTGATAGGGCAGTTTGAGTTGTTTAAATAGTTGGAACTGAAAGTACAATCAACAATTTCTTTATAGGGTAGTTTGAGTTGTTTAAATAGTCGGAACTGAAAGTACAATCAACAATTTCTGTCTTAATTGACATACACTTTTTTCAAGACTTGAATTAAAACCACAAAGTTACTGCTCATGTTTAGTTTTTAACTTTACTTTTTAAAATGCCAAAGTATGTCGTCATACCCCCTCACCTTCCCTCTCATCACACGTAGCAAACATCTGAACCCTCCCCCAGTTCTAGGACTTAAGCATCATCTATGGGCAATCCCCTTGGGTAGGATTTTGTAGGATTTATTATAGCATACTCAGCCCAATTTATACATATTTTGTAGGATTTATTATAGCATACTCAGCCCAATTTATATGTATTTTGTAGGATTTATTATAGCATACTCAGCCCAATTTATACATATTTTGTAGGATTTAGCATATTCTGCCCAATTTAGATGTATTTTGTTTTTGCTGTTTTTCTTTGGTTACATTGTTTGTTTTCCCTGTTGATCAGCTGACGAGGATGATACCAACAAGCCAGCTGGGAACCCATTTGATGAGCAGGACGACGACATTGGTGCTGCCTTCCAGGCCTACAAGGAAACACAATCTCCACCAAAAGCTTCAGCTGAAGGGGTCCCTGTGATACTGGACATTAAATCCTCTACAGCACACAAACAGTCACCAGAAAAAGAGTCACCAAGAAAGGAGTCACCCGACAAAGAGTCACCAAGAAAGGAGTCACCTGATAAGGAGTCACCCGACAAAGTGTCGCCAAGAAAGGAGTCACCTGATAAGGAGTCACCAAGAAAGGAGTCGCCGCCTAAGCGTGCCAAGTCAAGCACCCTCCCTGTGATGTCCAAGCCTGCCCCCAGTGAAGGGAAAGAAAAGAAACTGAGCCTGAGACTGCCCAGCTCCCAGTCTCCAGCTGGACGACCCCTGTATGAGGGCACCCCCCCAACCATGAGACTGCCCAGCTCACAGTCTCCAGCAGGACGACCCCTGTATGAGGGCACCCCACCAACCACCCCAGATGAGGACAGGCCCCTGGTTGTCAGGGCCATAACTCCACCTGTTGAGGACAGGAGTGACAAGTCAGTGGCTTAGGTTTTATTTATGATGGTCTTACAGTAGCTTAGGTTTTATTTATGATGGTCTTACAGTAGGTTAGGTTTTATTTATGATGGTCTTACAGTAGCTTAGGTTTTATTTATGATAGTCTTACAGTAGCTTAGGTTTTATTTATGATGGTCTTACAGTAGCTTAGGTTTTATTTATGATGGTCTTACAGTAGCTTAGGTTTTATTTATGATGGTCTTACAGTAGCTTAGGTTTTATTTATGATGGTCTTACAGTAGCTTAGGTTTTATTTATGATGGTCTTACAGTAGCTTAGGTTTTATTTATGATGGTCTTACAGTAGCTTAGGTTTTATTCCCACGTTTTCTTTAACTTGCTTTCTCTGTGTCTTTCTGTGTTTCTGTGTTTGTTTGTCTTTCCAATCCAATCTTGCGATCGAAATTTCTGGCACTTCCCAGTTAGCTAGCGCGCTGAAATTTTCAGGGAAGCTTTGTTTTGGATGACAATTGAATATTCTATTGTTTTTATTACTAAATTAATCCATGGAAACATTTTATTGATCATTTTAGACCACTATATAATTGTACCAAAAAACGTCGGGAAAAAGGGACATTACCCAGTAACTGTAATTTGATGAAAACAAGGTTCGACACTCCCCCTCTTTTTGCTTACTGAGTAGTTGTCACGCTGTGTTTGTGTACAAACAACCATAACCTAACAACTGGTGGCCAGTATGGGGGAGACTATATGGTCGAGTGGTTGGGCACACGATTGCAATCCCACTCGACACGGGTTCAAATCTATGTGTTCTAGTCAGTAACGTATTCACACAACGTGTTTTTTTACGAGTTGTCTTTTTACGAGTTGTCTTTTTACGAGTTGTCTTCGTTTACCCAAAAAAAAAGTGAAAAGATAAAATCGATAGCAAGATTTTAATGCAAACAAACAGACAAAGACTAAAAAGTAGAAAATAATAATCATTAAAAAAGTTTTAAAAAACCCACGTTTTCCGATTGAACTAAAAAGTAGAAAATAAATACTGTACATCACAATAATGCAAGCGATCACTCTACTATAAGCGATCAAAAACGTGGGGCGCCGTGATTTTCTTACAGTTTCTAATACTGTTGACTCTCTACAAGCTCCCTAATAAAAGTCAATAGTATTATCTAATCAATAGTAATATAACTTTTACTTCGGCGCCCCACGTTTTTGATCGCTTATAGTAGAGTGATCGCTTGCATTATTGTGATGTACAGTATTTATTTTCTACTTTTTAGTTCAATCGGAAAACGTGGGTTTTTTAAAACTTTTTTAATGATTATTATTTATGATGGTCTTACAGTAGCTTAGGTTTTATTTATGATGGTCTTACAGTAGCTTAGGTTTTATTTATGATGGTCTTACAGTAGCTTAGGTTTTATTTATGATGGTCTTACAGTAGCTTAGGTTTTATTTATGATGGTCTTACAGTAGCTTAGGTTTTATTTATGATGGTCTGACAGTAGCTTAGGTTTTATTTATGATGGTCTTACAGTAGCTTAGGTTTTATTTATGATGGTCTTACAGTAGCTTAGGTTTTATTTATGATGGTCTTACAGTAGCTTAGGTTTTATTTATGATGGTCTTACAGTAGCTTAGGTTTTATTTATGATGGTCTTACAGTAGCTTAGGTTTTATTTGATTCATGCTCTGCTCTTTATGATGGATTTAATTTTAATTAAGTTTTGATTTATATTTGAAGGGAAAAAGCTTTATACAGTCCCAAGTCCCCAGTACTGGTAAGATTTCTGTGTTGGTGGGGGTGGGGACAAATGCTGTATGTTGTACTACTTCAGCTTGTGTCTGTCTTTACATGTGATGGTGGGGGTGGGGACAAATGCTGTATGTTGTACTACTTCAGCTTGTGTCTGTCTTTACATGTGTTGGTGGTCGACCTTTCGTTATCTGTTTATATGTGATATGATGTGGTTGACCTTTTGGTGTCTGTTTATATGTGATGTGATGTGGTCGACCTTTTGGTGTCTGTTTATATGTGATGTGGTGTGGTCGACCTTTTTGTGTCTGTTTATATGTGATGTGGTGTGGTTGACCTTTTGGTGTCTGTTTATATGTGATGTGGTGTGGTCGACCTTTTTGTGTCTGTTTATATGTGATGTGGTGTGGTCGACCTTTTTGTGTCTGTTTATATGTGATGTGGTGTGGTTGACTTTTTGGTGTTTGTTTATATGTGATGTGGTTGACCTTTTGGTGTCTGTTTATATGTGATGTCATGTGGTGTGGTTGACCTTTTGGTGTCTGTTTATTTATGATGTGGTTGACCTTTTGGTGTCTGTTTATATGTTCTGTGGTTGACCTTTTTGTGTCTGTTTATATGTGGTGTGGTCGACCTTTTTGTGTCTGTTTATATGTGATGTGGTGTGGTTGACCTTTTGGTGTCTGTTTATATGTGATGTGGTTGACCTTTTGGTGTCTGTTTATATATGATGTGGTGTAACCTGCGTGTAACCACTATGTGACTTTGTGCAGCCTGAATCTCCCACCAGTGCTGGTAACCCACATGATGACCTGCTGACCTGGTGCAGGCTGGTCACTGACGGCTACAGGGGGGTCAAGATCACCAATTTAACCACCTCATGGAGAAATGGGCTAGCTTTTTGTGCAATCATCCATCATTTCAGACCAGACCTCATGTAAGTCAAACTTAGCACATCTGTCTGTCGGCAACTCAAACGTACACAATCCTGGGTCAAACTGTCACATGTTATCAGATAGAGCCCACACAACTGTCACATGATAACCCCCCCACCTCCACCCCCCTCCCCCCCCCCCCCCGATCACTCTGATAATAAACCTTATCCTAACTAAGTCAGAGAGGGATACCATTGGAGATAAAGATTCTTGATCAGTCTCCATATACACTTTCTGTTTCTCTTATCCTATAGAATGCCTAGACAAAGTACACATTTTGTTTATTTCAAACACAGGTAATGGCACTAAGGGGGTAATGGCACAGGGGAGGTAATGGCACAGGGGGTGGGTAATGGCACAGGGGCAGGTAATGAAATGGGGGGGGGGAGTAATGAAATGGAGGAGGCAATGAAATTGGGGTAATGTCCCAGAGCCATGTAACAAAAATCGGTATAACACAATTGTATTTCTGTCCCCAATTGTATTTCTGTCCCCAGTATAAAACAATTGTATTTCTGTCCCCAGTATAAAACAATTGTATTTCTGTCCCCAGAATAAAACAATTGTATTTCTGTCCTCAGTATAAAACAATTGTATTTCTGTCCCCAGAATAAAACAATTGTATCTCTGTCCCCAGAATAAAACAATTGTATTTCTGTCCCCAGTATAAAACAATTGTATTTCTGTCCTCAGTATAAAACAATTGTATTTCTGTCCCCAGTATAAAACAATTGTATTTCTGTCCCCAGTATAAAACAATTGTATTTCTGTCCCCAGTATAAAACAATTGTATTTCTGTCCCCAGTTGTATTTCTGTCCCCAGAATTAAACAATTGTATTTCTGTCCCCAGAATAAAACAATTGTATTTCTGTCCTCAGTATAAAACAATTGTATTTCTGTCCTCAGTATAAAACAATTTTATTTCTGTCCCCAATTGTATTTCTGTCCCCAGTATAAAACAATTGTATTTCTGTCCTCAGTATAAAACAATTTTATTTCTGTCCCCAGTATAAAACAATTGTATTTCTGTCCCCAGTATAAAACAATTGTATTTCTGTCCCCAATTGTATTTCTGTCCCCAGAATAAAACAATTGTATTTCTGTCCTCAGTATAAAACAATTGTATTTCTGTCCCCAATTGTATTTCTGTCCCCAGAATAAAACAATTGTATTTCTGTCCCCAGTATAAAACAATTGTATTTCTGTCCCCAATTGTATTTCTGTCCCCAGAATAAAACAATTGTATTTCTGTCCAGAGGCGTAGCGACCCTTCCCGGCGCCCGGGGCGAACTTTCAATTTGGCGCCCCCCCCCCCCCGCTTATATATATATATATATATATATATATATATATATATATATATATATATATACATGTGTGTGTGTATAATTATGTGTGTGTGATAGTGTGTTTATATATAAGCTTGTGTGTGGGTAAGAGTGTATTTGTGTGTGTAAGCGTGTGTGTAAGCGTGTATGCTACAGTCCGGACAAGGTTTAATAATTACATTGTATGATTTCCATTCCTTAAAACTTTATGACAATTTAATTCCCATTAAGATGCGTTTAATTTTTTTTGCGAAAGATTAGTAATGTCAGTAAAAAAAAATAAGCCTGATCTGTGTTAGAAGGTAGTTTGTAGCTAACGCTAATATGTTTAGACCAGCCTTTTATGTTCTAGTTTTGGAACGATCTCTGTTGTGATATGGTACATAGTTGGATTCGAAGTTTGTTAGAGTAAGGACACACAAGTGACATACAAGAAGAAGTTATCAGAAATATTTATTGTTCACATTGGAATACGACATGGGTATTTCGTTGATTGGTTGATGGTATGACAAAACAAGCTAGAGAAAACAAACTGGAATCCAACGGATGTTAACAGCTCGTAGTCTTGGATTTCGCAGATTTGCCCTGCCTTCTCGCACACAGAGTTTCTTCCAGGCATCTTTTGGGGGGGGGGGCGAAGCCCCCCGAAATTTTTTTACCGCCCCCCCTCGAACGAAATGAAATTTATATAATTTATATATAGAAAATATATACGTTTAACAGTGTCCGCCCCCCCCCCCCCCCGAAGAAAGTCTACCGCCCCCCCCCCCCTCGAAAATTTCAAGTGCCCCCCCGGAGAAAAAAGTCTGGAAGAAACACTGCTCGCACAACGTCAACAACAAATGCAGAACTAATTGTATTGATTGAAGAAGCAGTAACAATCAATTTAATGATAGCCCATGACGTTCTGATTATAATCAGCAGCAATAAAACGCGTTTTAGCACTCTAAGAAAATGTGGAATTCAAATGCATTGTCAAAAAAATTCAATCAGGATCTATAACTAAATGTGGTCTCTTTTACTGTATGGCTTGGAGCTAGATTACAGAAAGTGGAGAATGAAATAAGAGCATGGAAAAAAGTGGTGGTTAGTGGCTTAGGGATTCAAGAATCCGTGATATTTAGTTCTCTTTAATATAGTTCAGTGATCCAGGTAAGATGTAATGCAATCAATCAAAAGTATCGGATCTCTCACGTTGAAGTTGAGAGAATCGTAAGAATCTTACAAAGAACTAGTCGCGTCTTTTTTTAAAACAAAACTGGCTATTGAAATTGTACATTACGCGTTAATACACTTGGTTTCTTTACTAAGTGTTAAGAGAGTTATCTACTCACCAATCCAGTACAAATACTTGCGATTTTTGTTAGCGAAAAAAGCGCCCCCCACACACACTCATCACAACCATCTTGGACAAAGTTTGTAGAGCGGTTTTTAACGTAACTAACTTTTTTTTAAAATGTTACACAATTATACAATGCACAGTACAATTCGTTTCTTTCTGAGAGCTAAAGGTTGTTTACTCAGAATCCTGTGTAATTTTGCTATTTTATTTAGCCTAAAAGCGCCCCCCTGCACCATCTTGATAAGTCACTAACGTATTTTACAGTTCAACAATCGTACAATACGTTTTAATACAATTGGTTTCTTTTAATAGCGGTAACGTTTATCGACTCAACAATCTAGTGTAAATTCTTCCGTTTTAAGTCTCGAAAAAGCGCCCCCCCCCCCCCATCTAAGAAAAGCTTCAAAGCGGTTTTGCCGGTCACTGTTTCTTAAGAGTATATGTTTTACATTAAGAAATCAAGGTAGAAAACAGTTAAATCAGTATGTAAAGGCGTGTAGCCATTACATTTCTTAACTTAGACAGTTTATAATTCAAAACTGCAGCATAAAATCAGCTTTAAAATTTTTTTCCCACCCCTTTTGGCGCCCCCATAGGGTCGGCGCCCGGGGCGGCCGCCCCCCCCGCCCCCCCCTAGCTACGCCTCTGTTTCTGTCCTCAGTATAAAACAATTGTATTTCTGTCCCAAATTGTATTTCTGTCCCCAGAATAAAACAATTGTATTTCTGTCCTCAGTATAAAACAATTGTATTTCTGTCCCCAGTATAAAACAATTGTATTTCTGTCCACAGTATAAAACAATTGTATTTCTGTCCTCAGTATAAAACAATTGTATTTCTGTCCCCAGAATAAAACAATTGTATTTCTGTCCTCAGTATAAAACAATTGTATTTCTGTCCCCAATTGTATTTCTGTCCCCAGAATAAAACAATTGTATTTCTGTCCCCAATTGTATTTCCGTCCCCAGAATAAAACAATTGTATTTCTGTCCCCAGAATAAAACAATTGTATTTCTGTCCTCAGTATAAAACAATTGTATTTCTGTCCCCAGTATAAAACAATTGTATTTCTATCCTCAGTATAAAACAATTGTATTTCTGTCCCCAGAATAAAACAATTGTATTTCTGTCCTCAGTATAAAACAATTGTATTTCTGTCCCCAGAATAAAACAATTGTATTTCTGTCCTCAGTATAAAACAATTGTATTTCTGTCCCCAGTATAAAACAATTGTATTTCTGTCCCCAGTATAAAACAATTGTATTTCTGTCCTCAGTATAAAACAATTGTATTTCTGTCCTCAGTATAAAACAATTGTATTTCTGTCCCCAGAATAAAACAATTGTATTTCTGTCCCCAGTATAAAACAATTGTATTTCTGTCCCCAGAGACTTCCATAAACTCAACCCACATGATATTAAGGGCAACAATAAAATGGTGAGTCATGATATTAAGGGCAACAATAAAATGGTGAGTCATGATATTAAGGGCAACAATAAAATGGTGAGTCATGATATTAAGGGCAACAATAAAATGGTGAGTCAATCAATGCTATTTTAGGATGTAGCCATACAGAACTAGGTCAGCCTGTGACCATACAGAACTAGGTCAGCCTGTAGCCATACATAACTAGGTCAGCCTGTGGTCATACAGACACTAGGTCAGCCTGTGGCCATACAGACACTAGGTCAGCCTGTGGCCATACAGACACTAGGTCAGCCTGTGGCCATACAGAACTAGGTCAGCCTGTGGCCATACAGAACTAGGTCAGCCTGTGGCCATACAGAACTAGGTCAGCCTGTGGCCATACAGAACTAGATCAGCCTGTAGCCATACAGAACTAGATCAGCCTGTGGCCATACAGAACTAGGTCAGCCTGTAGCCATACAGAACTAGGTCAGCCTGTGGCCATACAGACACTAGGTCAGCCTGTGGCCATACAGAAACTAGGTCAGCCTGTGGCCATACAGACACTAGGTCAGCCTGTGGCCATACAGACACTAGGTCAGCCTGTGGTCATACAGACACTAGGTCAGCCTGTGGCCATACAGACACTAGGTCAGCCTGTGGCCATACAGAAACTAGGTCAGCCTGTGGCCATATAGACACTAGGTCAGCCTGTGGCCATACAGACACTAGGTCAGCCTGTGGCCATATAGACACTAGGTCAGCCTGTGGCCATATAGACACTAGGTCAGCCTGTGGCCATATAGACACTAGGTCAGCCTGTGACCAGGTGACCAAGCTAGTCTCCTAAGATTCAAACAACACAAAATTCTAAATTTTTTAAATGAATGTGTGAAGTAGTAGCAGAGTGGAGGGTCTATGACAAATTGTTTGCCTGCTGTTCATTGTAACTTGACAAACTGTTTGCCTGCTGTTCATTGTAACTTGACAAACTGTTTGCCTGCTGTTCATTGTAACTTGACAAATTGTTTGCCTGTAGGCCTTTGATTGTAACTAATACCACTACAAACTGTTTGCCTGTAGGCCTTTGATTGTAACTAATACCACTACAAACTGTTTGCCTGTAGGCCTTTGATTGTAATAATACCACTACAAACTGTTTGCCTGTAGGCCTTTGATTGTAATAATACCACTACAAACTGTTTGCCTGTAGGCCTTTGATTGTAATAATACCACTACAAACTGTTTGCCTGTAGGCCTTTGATTGTAACTAATACCACTACAAACTGTTTGCCTGTAGGCCTTTGATTGTAATAATACCACTACAAACTGTTTGCCTGTAGGCCTTTGATTGTAATAATACCACTACAAACTGTTTGCCTGTAGGCCTTTGATTGTAATAATACCACTACAAACTGTTTGCCTGTAGGCCTTTGATTGTAATAATACCACTACAAACTGTTTGCCTGTAGGCCTTTGATTGTAATAATACCACTACAAACTGTTTGCCTGTAGGCCTTTGATTGTAATAATACCACTACAAACTGTTTGCCTGTAGGCCTTTGATTGTAATAATACCACTACAAACTGTTTGCCTGTAGGCCTTTGATTGTAATAATACCACTACAAACTGTTTGCCTGTAGGCCTTTGATTGTAATAATACCACTACAAACTGTTTGCCTGTAGGCCTTTGATTGTAATAATACCACTACAAACTGTTTGCCTGTAGGCCTTTGATTCAGCTGCCAAGCTGGGTATTCCCAAAGTGCTGGAGCCAGCTGATATGGTGCTACTTGCTGTGCCAGACAAGCTCTGTGTGATGACTTACCTGCATCAGCTCAGGTCCTACTTCACTGGGCAGACATTGGAGCTTCAGCAGATTGGCCCCAGCTCCAGCCAGAGCACCTACACTCTAGGTAAGTGAGCACCTACACTCTAGGTAAGTGAGCACCTACACTCTAGGTAAGTGAGCACCTACACTCTAGGTAAGTGAGCACCTACACTCTAGGTAAGTGAGCACCTACACTCTAGGTAAGTGAGCACCTACACTCTAGGTAAGTGAGCACCTACACTCTAGGTAAGTGAGCACCTACACTCTAGGTAAGTGAGCACCTACACTCTAGGTAAGTGAGCACCTACACTCTAGGTAAGTGAGCACCTACACTCTAGGTAAGTGAGCACCCTAGGTAAGTGAGCACCTACACTCTAGGTAAGTGAGCACCTACACTCTAGGTAAGTGAGCACCTACACTCTAGGTAAGTGAGCACCTACACTCTAGGTAAGTGAGCACCTACACTCTAGGTAAGTGAGCACCTACACTCTAGGTAAGTGAGTACCTACACTCTAGGTAAGTGAGCACCTACACTCTAGGTAAGTGAGCACCTACACTCTAGGTAAGTGAGCACCTACACCCTAGGCAAGTATTAGCTCCAGTCAGAGAACCTACACTCTAGGCAAGTATTAGCTCTAGTCTGTCCATTGTGTTGTCATACACTCTAGACCATGGGTTCCCAACCCCGTACCCGCGGGCGCCATGGCGCCCGCCGAACGATTCCTATGTGCCCGCCTCTCACTATTCGACAGAGACAGATTTTTTTTCATAAACATTATTGAAAGGTTGAAGGGGGTGGAAATCGAAAGTTTGAGGGGGGGGGGTGCAAATCGAAAGTTTGAGGGGGGGGGGTGCAAATCGAAAGTTTGAGGGGGGGGTGCAAATCGAACATTTGAGGTGGGGGGTGCAAAAATCGAAAGTTTGAGGGGGGGTGTGCAAATCGAAAGTTTGAGGGGGGGGGGGGGGTGCAAATCGAAAGTTTTGTCCCTACGCCTCTGGAAGGAGTTTGTCGATTTAAATTAGGTGGTGCCCGCCACCCTACCGATATTTTAGAATGTGCTCTAGAGTAAAAAAAGGTTGGGAACCCCTGCTCTAGACTAGTCAATTATAAGCTCTTGTCAGATCTCACTTGATATAGCTTGTGACATTTCTTTTCTTTTTTCTGCTCAGGTGAACATGATGAGGAGGATGAACAAAGAGTTTCCATGGAGATGTATGGGCGTAGTTCACCTAGCAGGAACCTTTCTACCTCATCCTCTTCTTCTTTTTCATCCAAACTCAAGAAATCCATTTCTTCAGACGAGTCGTCTTTATCACAGACACCAACCCAGCCTAGTCCTTCGCCTCAGGGACAACCTCACCAGCCGGAGGTGACCCACCCTCCTCACACCAGTCATCTGATGTCCCCTCACACCCAGACAACCCAGTTGTCCAACCCTCCTGTCCAGGGTCAGCAAGAAGTGCCCAGCAAGAAAGTCCGGGCTCCAGACATTCCTGCAGCAGTGCCACAGATAGGAAATGGAGCTCATTATGAAAAGAAAAAAAGACGAGCTCCCAGCCCGCCTGTGCAACACCAGTCTTTGAACCCATTTGGTGATGAAGCTGAGAGTCCTACGGTCAGTTCTCAGATTTTAACTGCAGAAGCATTCACCATACCAACCAATCACCACACCAACCAATCACCACACCAACCAATCACCACATTAAACAATCACCACACCAACCAATCACAACCATTGTGTTGACAACAAATCACAACCATTGTGTTGACAACAAATCACAACCATTGTGTTGACAACAAATCACAACCATTGTGTTGACAACAAATCACAACCATTGTGTTGACAACACAACCATTGTGTTGACAACAAATCACAACCATTGTGTTGACAACAAATCACAACCATTGTGTTGACAACACAACCATTGTGTTGACAACAAATCACAACCATTGTGTTGACAACACAACCATTGTGTTGACAACAAATCACAACCATTGTGTTGACAACAAATCACAACCATTGTATTGACAGGCCACACATTCTGAACTGAAAGAACGAGCCAGAAAGTTGCTGGAGAAGGCACAGAGAGAAATGGCAAGTAGTGCTCCAGCCGAGGGCCAGGTAACTCACCTTATGACTTACACATGTGCGCTAGGCCAGGTAACTCACCTTATGACTTAAGATGGTTGTCCCTATTGTTGGTTATACAGCTCGTTGTCCCTATGGTTGGTTGTACAGATATTTATGATTTATTAACATGGATTTCTATAGTGTACATATGTACATCAAATATTGTAACTTTATTGTTCAAAGGATGATGAAAAACAAAAAAGATTGCGTGAGCAAGCAAAGAAATTAATAGCAGAAACAAGAGCCAATGAAAATTTGCCAGAGCAGCCTAAGATTCAGCCAATCTCTTCCAAACCCACAGGTGAGAAGGTGCCAGGTTCTAGTCTTGTGGCACACTGGACCCACTGAACACCCTAGCTAGTTTGTACACACACTAATCTACTGGACCCACTGAACACCCTAGCTAGTTTGTACACACACTAATCTACTGGACCCACTGAACACCCTAGCTAGTTTGTACACACACTAATCTACTGGACCCACTGAACACCCTAGCTAGTTTGTACACACACTAATCTACTGGATCCACTGAACACCCTAGCTAGTTTGTACACACACTACTGGACCCACTGAACACCCTAGCTAGTTTGTACACACACTAATCTACTGGACCCACTGAACACCCTAGCTAGTTTGTACACACACTAATCTACTGGACCCACTGAACACCCTAGCTAGTTTGTACACACAGGCTGAGAGTGGGTGTAGCAGTGGATGTGCTAGTGGGGGTAGCAGTGGATGTGCTAGTGGGGGTAGCAGTGGATGTGCTAGTGGGGGTAGCAGTGGATGTGCTAGTGGGGGTAGCAGTGGATGTGCTAGTGGGGGTAGCAGTGGATGTGCTAGTGGGGGTAGCAGTGGATGTGCTAGTGGGGGTAGCAGTGGATGTGCTAGTGGGGGTAGCAGTGGATGTGCTAGTGGGGGTAGCAGTGGATGTGCTAGTGGGGGTAGCAGTGGATGTGCTAGTGGGTGTAGCAGTGGATGTGCTAGTGGGGGTAGCAGTGGATGTGCTAGTGGGGGTAGCAGTGGATGTGCTAGTGGGTGTAGCAGTGGATGTGCTAGTGGGTGTAGCAGTGGATGTGCTAGTGGGGGTAGCAGTGGATGTGCTAGTGGGGGTAGCAGTGGATGTGCTAGTGGGTGTAGCAGTGGATGTGCTAGTGGGGGTAGCAGTGGATGTGCTAATGGGGGTAGCAGTGGATGTGCTAGTGGGGGTAGCAGTGGATGTGCTAATGGGGGTAGCAGTGGATGTGCTAGTGGGTGTTACAAGGAAGTTGGGGCTCTTTCTGTCACATGAACATGTGCATGATCCCACACAATTTTACTGATCACAATTGTTTGTTATTATTAGTAGCTTCAATGCAATGGTTTATGATGGCATCCAGTCAGTGGTGGCTGGTTACAGCTGTGAGAGTTTTCCCTCCCCTTTTTACAATCTTTTATTTAATTTGCTTCCCCTGTCTGTCTTTCTGTCTCTGTCATTATGCATCGAAATGGGCGAACAAAATTTTGATCACTTCTGACTGACCTATTCATTTCAAACTTGGTAAATGGGTCAAGTCCTGATGACAGTGCACATCAAATTTGACTGAATTGGATTCCTAATACATTTTGTATCAATTAATTAAAATTTCCTTTGTAACCTACTGTGCTAATATACAAGCATTTTTCATGTTTTTTGGTGCTCACTAGTTTTTATTCAGACAACTGTATTGTATTAAATATTTTAAAGTACTGAAAAAAATAAAGTGGTAGTGATCTCCCCTGAACTTTCTCAAAAAAATATTATATAACACTATGGGGGATGGCAACTTAGGATATAGACATGATTTTTAATGTATTTTTAATTACTTAAACTTTTTAAAATATAATAGAATCTCATAGAAAAAAGAATTGCCCACAAAGTGGACAGCAAACAATGTGTGTATAATAAGGCAGAGAATTAGATCTTTTACTCATATTTAAAATTTTGTTTATCTGTCTCAAATAGTACTGAAGTTATAGGCTTTTGAAAAAAAAAGTTCCATTGCCAGTCACCGGAAATCACAGAAAAGTTTATACAAATTTGATATAATATAGATCTATATGAAATTCCATCAACCTAGCTGTAATGGTACTCAAGTTATCGTGTTCACACACACACACACACACACACACACACACACACACACACACACATACATACACACAGGCATACGGACACACCTATCACCATTGTTTGCAGTCAGTCAGCAGTTGTGTCATTAGTTAGCTAGTCCTATGTAGTTTAGATATTGGTTGAAGATTTTGTCTTTTATTTGTGGCATGTCAGTGTCCGTGAAGACTGTGAAGATTGGAGCCAGGTTACCTGTCTCAGGTATGTGGGCATACACCTCCCTATTTACCTGTCCCAGGTATGTGGGCATACACCTCCCTATTTACCTGTCCCAGGTATGTGGGCATACACCTCCCTATTTACCTGTCTCTGTTATGTGGGCATACACCTCCCTATTTACCTGTCCCAGGTATGTGGGCATACACCTCCCTATTTACCTGTCCCAGGTATGTGGGCATACACCTCCCTATTTACCTGTCCCAGGTATGTGGGCATACACCTCCCTATTTACCTGTCCCAGGTATGTGGGCATACACCTCCCTATTTACCTGTCCCAGGTATGTGGGCATACACCTCCTTATTTACCTGTCCCAGGTATGTGGGCATACACCTCCCTATTTACCTGTCCCAGGTATGTGGGCATACACCTCCCTATTTACCTGTCTCAGGTATGTGGGCATACACCTCCCTATTTACCTGTCCCAGGTATGTGGGCATACACCTCCCTATTTACCTGTCCCAGGTATGTGGGCATACACCTCCCTATTTACCTGTCCCAGGTATGTGGGCTTACACCTCCCTATTTATCTGTCCCAGGTATGTGGGCATACACCTCCCTATTTACCTGTCTCAGGTATGTGGGCATACACCTCCCTATTTACCTGTCCCAGGTATGTGGGCATACACCTCCCTATTTACCTGTCCCAGGTATGTGGGCATACACCTCCCTATTTACCTGTCCCAGGTATGTGGGCATACACCTCCCTATTTACCTGTCTCAGGTATGTGGGCATACACCTCCCTATTTACCTGTCCCAGGTATGTGGGCATACACCTCCCTATTTACCTGTCCCAGGTATGTGGGCATACACCTCCCTATTTACCTGTCCCAGGTATGTGGGCTTACACCTCCCTATTTACCTGTCCCAGGTATGTGGGCATACACCTCCCTATTTACCTGTCCCAGGTATGTGGGCATACACCTCCCTATTTACCTGTCCCAGGTATGTGGGCTTACACCTCCCTATTTACCTGTCCCAGGTATGTGGGCATACACCTCCCTATTTACCTGTCCCAGGTATGTGGGCATACACCTCCCTATTTACCTGTCTCTGTTATGTGGGCATACACCTCCCTATTTACCTGTCCCAGGTATGTGGGCATACACCTCCCTATTTACCTGTCCCAGGTATGTGGGCATACACCTCCCTATTTACCTGTCCCAGGTATGTGGGCATACACCTCCCTATTTACCTGTCCCAGGTATGTGGGCATACACCTCCCTATTTACCTGTCTCAGGTATGTGGGCATACACCTCCCTATTTACCTGTCCCAGGTATGTGGGCATACACCTCCCTATTTACCTGTCCCAGGTATGTGGGCTTACACCTCCCTATTTACCTGTCCCAGGTATGTGGGCATACACCTCCCTATTTACCTGTCCCAGGTATGTGGGCATACACCTCCCTATTTACCTGTCTCAGGTATGTGGGCATACACCTCCCTATTTACCTGTCCCAGGTATGTGGGCATACACCTCCCTATTTACCTGTCCCAGGTATGTGGGCTTACACCTCCCTATTTACCTGTCCCAGGTATGTGGGCATACACCTCCCTATTTACCTGTCCCAGGTATGTGGGCATACACCTCCCTATTTACCTGTCTCTGTTATGTGGGCATACACCTCCCTATTTACCTGTCCCAGGTATGTGGGCATACACCTCCCTATTTACCTGTCCCAGGTATGTGGGCATACACCTCCCTATTTACCTGTCCCAGGTATGTGGGCATACACCTCCCTATTTACCTGTCCCAGGTATGTGGGCATACACCTCCCTATTTACCTGTCTCAGGTATGTGGGCATACACCTCCCTATTTACCTGTCCCAGGTATGTGGGCATACACCTCCCTATTTACCTGTCCCAGGTATGTGGGCTTACACCTCCCTATTTACCTGTCCCAGGTATGTGGGCATACACCTCCCTATTTACCTGTCCCAGGTATGTGGGCATACACCTCCCTATTTACCTGTCTCAGGTATGTGGGCATACACCTCCCTATTTACCTGTCCCAGGTATGTGGGCATACACCTCCCTATTTACCTGTCCCAGGTATGTGGGCTTACACCTCCCTATTTACCTGTCCCAGGTATGTGGGCATACACCTCCCTATTTACCTGTCCCAGGTATGTGGGCATACACCTCCCTATTTACCTGTCTCTGTTATGTGGGCATACACCTCCCTATTTACCTGTCCCAGGTATGTGGGCATACACCTCCCTATTTACCTGTCCCAGGTATGTGGGCATACACCTCCCTATTTACCTGTCCCAGGTATGTGGGCATACACCTCCCTATTTACCTGTCCCAGGTATGTGGGCATACACCTCCCTATTTACCTGTCTCAGGTATGTGGGCATACACCTCCCTATTTACCTGTCCCAGGTATGTGGGCATACACCTCCCTATTTACCTGTCCCAGGTATGTGGGCTTACACCTCCCTATTTACCTGTCCCAGGTATGTGGGCTTACACCTCCCTATTTACCTGTCCCAGGTATGTGGGCATACACCTCCCTATTTACCTGTCTCAGGTATGTGGGCATACACCTCCCTATTTACCTGTCCCAGGTATGTGGGCATACACCTCCCTATTTACCTGTCCCAGGTATGTGGGCTTACACCTCCCTATTTACCTGTCCCAGGTATGTGGGCATACACCTCCCTATTTACCTGTCCCAGGTATGTGGGCATACACCTCCCTATTTACCTGTCTCAGGTATGTGGGCATACACCTCCCTATTTACCTGTCCCAGGTATGTGGGCATACACCTCCCTATTTACCTGTCCCAGGTATGTGGGCATACACCTCCCTATTTACCTGTCCCAGGTATGTGGGCATACACCTCCCTATTTACCTGTCCCAGGTATGTGGGCTTACACCTCCCTATTTACCTGTCCCAGGTATGTGGGCATACACCTCCCTATTTACCTGTCCCAGGTATGTGGGCATACACCTCCCTATTTATTTCTACTGGTGCTGGTTGATGCTATCTCAGCTGGCTGGTGCATGTTGTCTGCATTTCTTGACAACTTGAAGCTACAACTTGAAGCTATGCTTTAAGACATAAGCTGGCTGCTGCTACTGTCCTAGTCAGTTTATGCTAAATATAACATTTTAATAAATTAAACACATAATGGTCAGACCATAAGATTTTTAAAAAGTAAATGCACAATGGCCAGACATACTATTTTTACAAGCTTTTACATAGTTTACAATGTCTGTGTCTTGTAACTCAATTTTGACCCACTTCGAATGCAGCATTTTATACAAACTTTCCATACAGTCATCTCCAGTGACAATGCAAGAATATATAAATTTTCAATTTAATTAGATGTTTAATTAGTCATTTAATTTGATTGAAAGATTAATAAATTCAACAATAAAAGGGGAAATACCAAGTAAAAACTAGCCTTTATAATAACATCTAAAAATGTAAGATTTTTTATGAGCCACCAAAGCTGTATTAAAGAAAACAATTTTCTTTTCTTATTTTCAGTGCATTAAATTTTATCAAAAGCTTGTTATTAAAATGGTTTTTTTTTTTTTTTTTTTTATTAAAGGCAAAGTAGTCCTTACCATCCTATTCTATTTACATATCATATAGCAAGGTGGTCAGTCCTTACCATCCTATTCTAGTTACATATAGCAAGTTGGTCAGTCCTTACCATCCTAGTTCTAGTAAGATATTGCTTCCCTAGAATCGATATAGTAAGATGATGAGTCCTTACATTCCTAGTTATGGCAGTATGTAGTAAGATGATGAGTCCTTACATTCCTAGTTATGGCAGTATGTAGTAAGATGATGAGTCCTTACATCCCTAGTTATGGCAGTATATAGTAAGATGATGAGTCCTTACATTCCTAGTTATGGCAGTATGTAGTAAGATGATGAGTCCTTACATCCCTAGTTATGGCAGTATGTAGTAAGATGATGAGTCCTTACATCCCTAGTTATGGCAGTATGTAGTAAGATGATGAGTCCTTACATTCCTAGTTATGGCAGTATGTAGTAAGATGATGAGTCCTTACATCCCTAGTTATGGCAGTATGTAGTAAGATGATGAGTCCTTACATCCCTAGTTATGGCAGTATGTAGTAAGATGATGAGTCCTTACATCCCTAGTTATGGCAGTATGTAGTAAGATGATGAGTCCTTACATCCCTAGTTATGGCAGTATGTAGTAAGATGATGAGTCCTTACATCCCTAGTTATGGCAGTATGTAGTAAGATGATGAGTCCTTACATCCCTAGTTATGGCAGTATATAGTAAGATGATGAGTCCTTACATCCCTAGTTATGGCAGTATGTAGTAAGATGATGAGTCCTTACATCCCTAGTTATGGCAGTATGTAGTAAGATGATGAGTCCTTACATCCCTAGTTATGGCAGTATGTAGTAAGATGATGAGTCCTTACATCCCTAGTTATGGCAGTATGTAGTAAGATGATGAGTCCTTACATCCCTAGTTATGGCAGTATGTAGTAAGATGATGAGTCCTTACATTCCTAGTTATGGCAGTATGTAGTAAGATGATGAGTCCTTACATCCCTAGTTATGGCAGTATGTAGTAAGATGATGAGTCCTTACATCCCTAGTTATGGCAGTATGTAGTAAGATGATGAGTCCTTACATTCCTAGTTATGGCAGTATGTAGTAAGATGATGAGTCCTTACATCCCTAGTTATGGCAGTATGTAGTAAGATGATGAGTCCTTACATCCCTAGTTATGGCAGTATGTAGTAAGATGATGAGTCCTTACATCCCTAGTTATGGCAGTATGTAGTAAGATGATGAGTCCTTACATCCCTAGTTATGGCAGTATGTAGTAAGATGATGAGTCCTTACATCCCTAGTTATGGCAGTATGTAGTAAGATGATGAGTCCTTACATCCCTAGTTATGGCAGTATGTAGTATAGCAGCTATTGCATCAGTCAGCTTGTGATAGAAATGAGCCATATCATTTTGATTACACTAATAAACTTCTTGCATGACTTCAAAGCTCGTTATGATAAGAGCATGTTTCAATTTACTGCATGTTTTTTTTAAAAACTTTGTTAACTATAACAAAATACCAAAACATCATTATAGAATTTAAACTTTGTTAACTATAACAAAATACCAAAACATCATTTAAAGGATTTAAACTTTGTTAAATATAACAAAATACCAAAACATCATTATAGGATTCAGATAATAAAGAATACTTAAGTATTGATTAAAATTTAGTTTAATTAATGCATGATATATACTTGAAGTAAAAAAATGTAAACTTGTAGTATTGGTGCTTACCTGATTGTTACACTTTTTAAACCTTTGTTTTAGAAGTTTTCACTCTCTTGGTTATGATTTCAGATTTCAATATTGTCATTGTATGGGTACTAATATCACATGCCATGTTTAGTAATATTTTTGTCTCGTGTATGAATGCTCAGATTTCCAGACCAGCCTGAAAAGTGGGAAACAGGGAGAACAACCCCAGCTGAAAAAGTTGTCTTTAGCCACTCCAAAGTTGTCTAACTTGCCTCCAGTTATTGTTCAGGAGAAAGAAGCCATTGGGGATGGTTGGTCCTAATTTATTTTATGTTAAAAACACACACATGTCCACTTGCCAAACACACACATGTCCACTTGCCAAACACACACATGTCCACTTGCCAAACACACACATGTCCACTTGCCAAACATACACATGTCCACTTGCCAAACACACACATGTCCACTTGCCAAACACACACATGTCCACTTGCCAGTGTGACCTACTTAGGTCTGGTAATGTTTATTTTTACATTTGTTATAATACCATATATGGTCTGTGGTGCAATGACCGGTTTTTTCCGCTGTCTTACTAAGAGAGTCTTAGACTCAGAAATTTTCCATCAAGATATGATTGATTGATTCAGACCAGATGACCACCCCAACCAATGGCCTTATGATTTGAAGGTGACCTTCCATGTTGCCTAAGTCTATAAATAGACTGTGCACAGGCGTCTCGGGGCAGTTCATTGACCAGACGTCGTTGAGAGACATAAGCCCTGTGTGTTGCCGTGTAGTACTAAGTTGTTTAAGTAGCATATTTTTATATTACTTGTGGTTAAGTAATTCTTTATGCTTATAGCAGCGTTGTGTAAACTGTGGTGATTTTTCTGAAGTGTTAAAAGCTGTGATAGTGTATCATATTATTTCCCACAAATTGTAAGTTGGGTTTTGTTCATTCTGTAAATCTATTTTATTCCTGTATAAATCTAGTGTTCTGCCACGACTTTGTACACTCATTACAAGTTATAAGCAGATTAAATGTATTGTTGGCATCAGTAGTTTCTCTAGTGTTTCCCCTAGACATCAATTACGAGTCCTAGCGAACTAGTGTGTTAACTTTCTTTTATTTAGGCTTGTCGCCATCTGTGTATAATCAGTTAAACGAATCCGGGAGCGTTCGCCAACTATCTGGCTGATAGATTGGTGTCCGTTACACCAGACACACACATGTCCACTTGCCAAACACACACATGTCCACTTGCCAAACACACATGTCCACTTGCCAAACACACACATGTCCACTTGCCAAACACACACATGTCCACTTGCCAAACATACACATGTCCACTTGCCAAACACACACATGTCCACTTGCCAGACACACACATGTCCACTTGCCAAACACACACATGTCCACTTGCCAAACACACACATGTCCACTTGCCAAACACACACATGTCCACTTGCCAAACACACACATGTCCACTTGCCAAACACACACATGTCCACTTGCCAAACACACACATGTCCACTTGCCAAACACACACATGTCCACTTGCCAAACATACACATGTCCACTTGCCAAACACACACATGTCCACTTGCCAAACATACACTGCCCACAGAACACATAGATGTAGTTTGATGTCTTAGATAAAGGTGATGACACATATTTAGTGAGAGAAAATATTGAGGGTTGGTTTTTGAATGAGTTTTTTTATTTTCCAGTTGACAGTCTAGCAAGTGATGAGGATATTGACTTAGAGCTACCAGATGAGGTAAGTTCTTGTGGTAGTTCCATCAAGTACTGGAGTGGCAGGGTGCTTGTCTTGGTGTAGATTAAAAACTTGATTATACTGCCACTTGCTGGGGTTGGCAGGACAGTCATGATGGCAGATGTTGAGAAGATTCTTGTACTCTATGTACCATTTGTGCCTGTCCTTAAAGACTACTAACTTATGGAGGGGGATTATAAAATTGGTGTGGTGGACCACATACTGCCTAATTGGTGTGATGGACCACATACTGCCTAATTGGTGTGGTGGACCACATACTGCCTAATTGGTGTGGTGGACCACATACTGCCTAATTGGTGTGGTGGACCACATACTGCCTAATTGGTGTGATGGACCACATACTGCCTAATTGGTGTGGTGGACCACATACTGCCTAATTGGTGTGGTGGACCACATACTGCCTAATTGGTGTGGTGGACCACATACTGCCTAATTGGTGTGGTGGACCACATACTGCCTAATAGGTGTGGTGGACCACATACTGCCTAATTGGTGTGATGGACCACATACTGCCTAATTGGTGTGGTGGACCACATACTGCCTAATTGGTGTGATGGACCACATACTGCCTAATTGGTGTGGTGGACCACATACTGCCTAATTGGTGTGGTGGACCACATACTGCCTAATTGGTGTGGTGGACCACATACTGCCTAATTGGTGTGGTGGACCACATTCTGCCTAATTGGTGTGATGGACCACATACTGCCTAATTGGTGTGGTGGACCACATACTGCCTAATTGGTGTGGTGGACCACATACTGCCTAATTGGTGTGATGGACCACATACTGCCTAATAGGTGTGGTGGACCACATACTGCCTAATTGGTGTAATGGACCACATACTGCCTAATTGGTGTGATGGACCACATACTGCCTAATTGGTGTGATGGACCACATACTGCCTAATTGGTGTGATGGACCACATACTGCCTAATTGGTGTGATGGACCACATACTGCCTGATTGGTGTGAGGGACATAGAGACATTCTGCATCAAACTAATAGCAATAGGCTCAACTTGACATTCCATCAAAAATAACTGCATACACTTCCCCCAACCCTTTGATAAACACAACATCCCTAATCTCCCAAACACACAAGTCAACATTTGATGGAAAATGTTTTGATCTCAAGTGGCCCTAATTAAATCTAAAATAAATGTACATCGCCCTAATTAAATCTAAAATAAATGTACATGGCCCTAATTAAATCTAAAATAAATGTACTTAGACATGGCCCTAATTAAATCTAAAATAAATGTACTTAGACATGGCCCTAATTAAATCTAAAATAAATGTACTTAGACATGGCCCTAATTAAATCTAAAATAAATGTACTTAGACATGGCCCTAATTAAATCTAAAATAAATGTACTTAGACATGGCCCTAATAAAACCTAAAATAAATCTACATGGCCCTAATTAAATCTAAAATAAATGTACATGGCCCTAATTAAATCTAAAATAAATGTACTTAGACATGGCCCTAATTAAATCTAAAATAAATGTACTTAGACATGGCCCTAATTTAATCTAAAATAAATGTACTTAGACATGGCCCTAATTTAATCTAAAATAAATGTACTTAGACATGGCCCTAATTAAATCTAAAATAAATGTACTTAGACATGGCCCTAATTAAATCTAAAATAAATGTACTTAGACATGGCCCTAATAAAACCTAAAATAAATCTACATGGCCCTAATTAAATCTAAAATAAATGTACATGGCCCTAATTAAATCTAAAATAAATGTACTTAGACATGGCCCTAATTAAATCTAAAATAAATGTACTTAGACATGGCCCTAATTTAATCTAAAATAAATGTACTTAGACATGGCCCTAATTTAATCTAAAATAAATGTACTTAGACATGGCCCTAATTAAATCTAAAATAAATGTACTTAGACATGGCCCCAATTAAATCTAAAATAAATGTACTTAGACATGGCCCCAATTAAATCTAAAATAAATGTACATGGCCCTAATTAAATCTAAAATAAATGTACTTAGACATGGCCCTAATTAAATCTAAAATAAATGTACATGGCCCTAATTAAATCTAAAATAAATGTACTTAGACATGGCCCCAATTAAATCTAAAATAAATGTACTTAGACATGGCCCTAATTAAATCTAAAATAAATGTACATGGCCCTAATTAAATCTAAAATAAATGTACTTAGACATGGCCCTAATTAAATCTAAAATAAATGTACATGGCCCTAATTAAATCTAAAATAAATGTACTTAGACATGTACATGTTGTTTGACTTTGTGTTCATGTTTTAAAATGTGATGAGTTTGTGTTCATGTTTTAAAATGTAATGAGTTTAATTGTGTTCATGTTTTAAAATGTAATGAGTTTAATTGTGTTCATGTTTTAAAATGTAATGAGTTTAATTGTGTTAATGTTTTAAAATGTAATGAGTTTGTGTCCATGTTTGAACTCACCATGCAGACATTGAATGCAGCTTTTCCCCCTATTTTGATCTCATTTGTTTATTCACAGCCAAGAGTCTTAGAACTGGTAACTAGCCCAGCTGATACCCTTTTCCCACTTTTCATCAAATTTTTTTCATTGCTTTAACTTTGGCCTTTAATATTTATAATTCTCTGCCTATTGGGAAATACCTGAAGACAACATTGGCTGATAGAGAATGTTCAATCTATTCAGTTGTAGAATTGGAGAAAGCTTTCAAATATTACCTGACCTTGCTAATATTACTTGACCTTGCTAATATTACCTGATCTTGCTAATGTCACCTGACCTTTGCCCCTACTGTGTGTTATACTACCTGACTTACAAACAGTGTTTCTTCCAGACTTTTTCATCTGGGGGGGGGGGGGGTACTTGAAATTTTGGGGGGGGGGCGGTAGACTTTCTTCGGGGGGGGGGGGGGGGGCGGACACTGTTAAAAGTATATATTTTCCCCCGAAGAGATGCCTGGAAGAAACTCTGCTTACAAAAGCTCTCCACCTACAGTCAATACACCATTAAATGTGTTCCCAAATCTATTGAACCAAAAGCTACAGTTGACTCAAGTTTGACTAGAACTGAAACAGTTGACTCAAGTTTGACTAGAACTGACACAGTTGACTCAAGTTTGACTAGAACTGAAACAGTTGACTCAAGTTGACTAGAACTGAAACAGTTGACTCAAGTTTGAATAGAACTGAAACAGTTGACTCAAGTTGACTAGAACTGAAACAGTTGACTCAAGTTTGACTAGAACTGAAACAGTTGACTCAAGTTTGACTAGAACTGAAACAGTTGACTCAAGTTTGACTAGAACTGAAACAGTTGACTCAAGTTTGACTAGAACTGAAACAGTTGACTCCACATTGCTAATTTATTTTCTGAAGATGCTGTCATTTAGTCCTTCTAACAATTATTGATTGAAATAATGAATAACTGTCATTCAATTCATTGTGGCAAGAGTTTTGTTACATCTGCCCTACATATTTCTTGACATTAATTTCCTGAATTTCAATGAATTTGCTGAAATATTAGAAAGTATAGAAGACATTATAGCTGTTAGACATGACTGTATTAATGATTAGTTTGACACAGATGGAGCCCAAATGTTTAATGCCGCCTGTTTGTGTGTGTTGAGCAGAACTTACAAGACACCAACCAGTATGTTGTTTAATGCTGCCTGTTTGTGTGTGTTGAGCAGAACTTACAAGACACCAACCAGTATGTTGTTTAATGCTGCCTGTTTGTGTGTGTTGAGCAGAACTTACAAGACACCAACCAGTATGTTGTTTAATGCTGCCTGTTTGTGTGTGTTGAGCAGAACTTACAAGACACCAACCAGTATGTTGTTTAATGCTGCCTGTTTGTGTGTGTTGAGCAGAACTTACAAGACACCAACCAGTATGTTGTTTAATGCTGCCTGTTTGTGTGTGTTGAGCAGAACTTACAAGACACCAACCAGTATGTTGTTTAATGCTGCCTGTTTGTGTGTGTTGAGCAGAACTTACAAGACACCAACCAGTATGTTGTTTAATGCTGCCTGTTTGTGTGTGTTGAGCAGAACTTACAAGACACCAACCAGTATGTTGTTTAATGCTGCCTGTTTGTGTGTGTTGAGCAGAACTTACAAGACACCAACCAGTATGTTGTTTAATGCTGCCTGTTTGTGTGTGTTGAGCAGAACTTACAAGACACCAACCAGTATGTTGTTTAATGCTGCCTGTTTGTGTGTGTTGAGCAGAACTTACAAGACACCAACCAGTATGTTGTTTAATGCTGCCTGTTTGTGTGTGTTGAGCAGAACTTACAAGACACCAACCAGTATGTTGTTTAATGCTGCCTGTTTGTGTGTGTTGAGCAGAACTTACAAGACACCAACCAGTATGTTGTTTAATGCTGCCTGTTTGTGTGTGTTGAGCAGAACTTACAAGACACCAACCAGTATGTGAAGAGTGAGCTGGACTCCCTGGAGCACGAACAGCTGCAGATTGATGCTGAGGCTTCACAGCTAGAGATGAGGTTAAGGAAAGTTATGGAGAAAGGTTGGTTTTGTCATCAGTTCTTGGTCTGTCATCTGTCTTGTAACCAGTTGTTGGTCTGTCATCTGTCATGTTGTGATCAGTTGTTGGTCTGTCATCTGTCTTGTGATCAGTTGTTGGTCTGTCATCTGTCTTGTGATCAGTTGTTGGTCTGTCATCTGTCTTGTGATCAGTTGCTGGTCTGTGTTGTACACTGTCTGCACCACTTTGTATTTTGTCTGCACCACTTTACATTTTGTCTGCACCACTTTACATTTTGTCTGCACCACTTTACATTTAGTCTGCACCACTTTACATTTTGTCTGCACCACTGTACATTTTGTCTGCACCACTTTACATTTTGTCTGCACCACTGTACATTTTGTCTGCACCACTTTACATTTTGTCTGCACCACTTTACATTTTGTCTGCACCACTTTACATTTTGTCTGCACCACTTTACATTTTGTCTGCACCACTTTACATTTTGTCTGCACCACTGTACATTTTGTCTGCACCACTTTACATTTTGTCTGCACCACTTTACATTTTGTCTGCACCACTTTACATTTTGTCTGCACCACTTTACATTTTGTCTGCACCACTGTACATTTTGTCTGCACCACTTTACATTTTGTCTGCACCACTGTACATTTTGTCTGCACCACTTTACATTTTGTCTGCACCACTTTACATTTTGTCTGCACCACTTTACATTTTGTCTGCACCACTTTACATTTTGTCTGCACCACTTTACATTTTGTCTGCACCACTTTACATTTAGTCTGCACCACTTTACATTTTGTCTGCACCACTGTACATTTTGTCTGCACCACTTTACATTTTGTCTGCACCACTGTACATTTTGTCTGCACCACTTTACATTTTGTCTGCACCACTTTACATTTTGTCTGCACCACTTTACATTTTGTCTGCACCACTTTACATTTTGTCTGCACCACTTTACATTTTGTCTGCACCACTTTACATTTAGTCTGCACCACTTTACATTTTGTCTGCACCACTTTACATTTTGTCTGCACCACTTTACATTTTGTCTGCACCACTTTACATTTTGTCTGCACCACTTTACATTTTGTCTGCACCACTTTACATTTTGTCTGCACCACTTTACATTTTGTCTGCACCACTTTACATTTTGTCTGCACCACTTTACATTTTGTTTGTACTAGTACAGATCTTTCTATAGAATGACAAATTATTTTATCCCATGTCTAGAAAAGGGTCTAACAATTCAGATCATACATCCAACTTGCTTTTTGTTGAACGTCTGTATTTTATTTACACTTTGCTGGTAACGTCGTTTTTAAAATATTGCAGCTTTTAAAAAAAAGCCTTTACATACCCTTTAAGCATTTTTAAACTTTTGAACTTTTTAAAAGAAAAATTATGTTTGGAGAAAGTTTTGAAAAATTGACACACTAATGTACACAAATAAAATCTGAAGTCTTTTGAGTAAGTGAACAGTGATTCGACCAGGGATCAGCATTTACTGGTTAATATTTCTTGTTTCCATGAAATATCAGGTACATAGATTCAGTAAAATATATGTAGAAAACTTTAAATATTTGGTAAAAACAAGTTTCAATCAGTTTCTTTAAATAGCTAAAAACCTGAAATATCAGGTAACACCTATTTCTATTAGATATCAGATAAAAAACACATTTTTAAAATTAAATATCAGATAAAAACATGTCTCAATTAAAAATCAAGTAAGACATTACATATTAGGTAAAACAAATCTCAATTAAATATCAAGTAAGACATTCAATATCAGGTAAAAACATACAGAGATCCTGTTGCAAAAAAAAATGTGCCAAAAAGTTTGATTGGAGCAAAGTTAATATTTGTATGTGGAAATTTGGCTATGCCCCCTGTGAGTGCACTTTTCATCAAATTTCCTTTTAGTATAGTTTGTGAATGAGATTCCTCAAACAGGTAGATGTACTTTCCATTTGTTCCAGGTAAAAACAAGGCGTTGGAAGAAAAACTGATGCAGGAGTGGTTTCAGCTGGTCAACAAGAAAAATGCTCTGATCAGGCGACAGATGCAGCTCAATATACTGTAAGTAGCTTGTAGCAGTAACTTGCATGCCCTGAAGCACTCTTGTGGTAGCCACTGGTAGCCATTGTTGTGGTAGCCACTGTTGTGGTAGCCATTGTTGTGGTAGCCACTGGTAGCCACTGTTGTAGCAGTCATTGTTGTGGTAGCCATTGTTGTGGTAGCCATTGTTGTGGTAGCCACTGTTGTGGTAGCCACTGGTAGCCACTGGTAGCCACTGTTGTGGTAGCCACTGGTAGCCACTGGTAGCCATTGTTGTGGTAGCCACTGTTGTGGTAGCCACTGTTGTGGTAGCCACTGTTGTGGTAGCCACTGTTGTGGTAGCCACTTGTAGCCACTGGTAGCCATTGTTGTGGTAGCCACTGTTGTGGTAGCCACTGGTAGCCACTGGTAGCCATTGTTGTGGTAGCCATTGTTGTGGTAGCCACTGGTAGCCATTGTTGTGGTAGCCACTGGTAGCCATTGTTGTGGTAGCCACTCTTGTGGTAGCCACTCTTGTGGTAGCCACTGTTGTGGTAGCCATTGTTGTGGTAGCCATTGTTGTGGTAGCCACTGGTAGCCACTGTTGTGGTAGCCACTCTTGTGGTAGCCACTCTTGTGGTAGCCACTGTTATGGTAGCCACTGTTGTGGTAGCCACTCTTGTGGTAGCCACTGTTGTGGTAGCCATTGTTGTGGTAGCCATTGTTGTGGTAGCCATTGTTGTGGTAGCCACTCTTGTGGTAGCCACTGTTGTGGTAGCCATTGTTGTGGTAGCCATTGTTGTGGTAGCCACTGTTGTGGTAGCCACTGGTAGCCATTGTTGTGGTAGCCACTCTTGTGGTAGCCACTCTTGTGGTAGCCACTGTTGTGGTAGCCACTGTTGTGGTAGCCACTGGTAGCCATTGTTGTGGTAGCCACTGTTGTGGTAGCCACTGTTGTGGTAGCTATTCTCCAGTTTTGTATAGCATTTCTTGGCTACTGCAAAAAAAAAAATTTAAAAAAATTGTATTTAAAGGGAAGTAATATAAAGTAAATAGAATTTCACTTATTTTTTATGTTTGCCTCCCTTGGTTCATTGCCATCCTAAATGTATAAAAGCCCAAATGCACACATCTCTCTCCCTGTCTTTCTCTCTCCCTCTCTTTCTCTCTCCCTCTCTTTCTCTCTCCCTCTCTTTCTCTTTCTTCTCTCTCACTCTTTCTCTCTCCCACTCTTTCTTTTTCTCTCTGTCAACATTTTCCCAAAGCTATGAGATCACTTTCTTCAGCAGTATGTTGTGTTAAACATATAGATACTTTTGTTGAGAAAACTTTGCTGATTATACGAAACGTATAAACTTAATTCTATTTGAAGATAGAAATGAAAGACATACTGGATGTAGAAACAAACCTTTAATTATTCAAGCGCCTTTTGGCCATTTCCCATCTGAAAATATATTTCTCAGAATGGTATAGAAGTTTAAAAATATTATCTTCTCTTTTTGTGCCTTAGACATAGGCGGCAGATGAAGTAGAGTTTTATGTTTTAAGGACCACAGCACACATAGGAAAGTGTGGTCAGTAGTTTGACCAGTCGCCTTGGTTTCCCTAACATGAGCCTCGTACCCATTAGAGCTGGGTGGACTCTGGGACATTCTACAGGCTTGATCCCTGGATCTAAATTAGAGACTTTTGGGTTAGTGGTCGTAAGGTATATCATCCAAATATGTCATTAGAGAATTTTGGGTTAGTAGTCGTAAGGTATATCATCCCAATATGACATTAGAGAATTTTGGGTTAGTAGTTGTAAGGTATATCATCCAAATATGTCATTAGAGAATTTTGGGTTAGTAGTTGTAAGGTATATCATCCCAATATGACATTAGAGAATTTTGGGTTAGTAGTCGTAAGGTATATCATCCACATATGTCATTCACGATTCAAAATATACTTTAAAAAAGTTTGAGAAAAAATATAATGTGAAATGATCAGAAAACCAGGGATCTCTATTTGCCAGGTTGTATATTTTCACATTTGCCTAATGTTTGCCAGGTTGTATATTTTCACATTTGCCTAATGTTTGCCAGGTTGTATACCTTACTTCATCATACTTCATATTGTTTAGGTATCATTTCATGCCTATCAACAGTTTCTCTTATAATGACTTATGGCTGTTACTGAACTGTAGTGACCACCTCTTCCCAAAAACTGGAGAACGAGCCCATGTTTAGACTACATGACCTGACCCATGGCAATGTTTTGTCTAGATCTATATGCTACAATATCTCTAACTGAACACTCAAATCACTCATCAATAGAATAAAAATTGGTTACATTGGCCATCATATTCTCTTGCTTGGCCATCTGTTACTTCTGGCCATCATTTACTTCTGGTTATTAGTTAACTCCTGGCCATCATTTACGTCTAGCCGTCCTTTACGGCTGGCCATTATTTACGTCTGGCCATTATTTACGTCTAGCCGTCCTTTACGGCTGGCCATCATTTACGGCTGGCCATCATTTACGGCTGGCCATTATTTACGTCTAGCCGTCCTTTACGGCTGGCCATCATTTACGGCTAGCCATCATTTACGTCTAGCCGTCCTTTACGGCTGGCCATCATTTACATCTAGCCGTCCTTTACTGCTGGCCATCATTTACGTCTGGCCATCATTTACGGCTGGCCATCAGCTCCCTGGCCCACCAAAAAAAAATCCCAATCCTTGAAATCCCAATCCTTGAAATCCCAATCCTCTTTCCCCTGTAGAAAATAGGGCAGGAGATTTGAGCAATTTTCTGTCACGTGACACTGGCCACGCAGACACTGCACAGGGGAGTTAATCCTTGTTTCCAAATCCCCATTTTGGTTATGGGCCCTGTGTGCCAAGAGCAGAGCTTTGCCACCCTCCCCATTTCCCAGTAATCCCATGTGATGGTTTGCTAAGAAAATTGGTCTCTGTCATTAAAAGGAGTTCATTTAGTGGTAGGGAGATTCCTATTGAAACAGTTCCGTCTTTCTATTGACCTGACCCGTGGTGGAACCCGCACTGTACCCTCTACGGCAGGGGGCCGTTTAGAGTGGGACGTGCATTAGAAGAGATAAGTCGACTGTACCCGCTACGGCAGCGTTTAGAGTGGGACGTGCATTAGAAGAGATAAGTCGACTGTACCCGCTACGGCAGCGTTTAGAGTGGGACGTGCATTAGAAGAGATAAGTCGACTGTACCCTCTACGGCAGCGTTTAGAGTGGGACGTGTATTAGAAGAGATAAGTCGACTGTACCCTCTACGGCAGCGTTTAGAGTGGGACGTGTATTAGAAGAGATAAGTCGACTGTACCCTCTACGGCAGCGGTTAGAGTGGGACGTGTATTAGAAGAGATAAGTCGACTGTACCCTCTACGGCAGCGTTTAGAGTGGGACGTGTATTAGAAGAGATAAGTCGACTGTACCCGCTACGGCAGCGGGCCGTTTAGAGTGGGACGTGCATTAGAAAAGTCGAGTGTAAGCTCATGCCGTGATCACTGGACACTTGGAACATGGGCTCGGTTGGCTGACTCTCACTTCACTCTAAGGAATGTCTCACTCTCTAGACACGTGGATCTGTAGGCTTACAGGAAACATGGGACCACAAGAACATGGGACCACAAGAACATGGGACCACAAGAACATGGGACCGCAAGAACTAGAACATGTGACCACAAGAACATGGGCTCGGTTGGATGACTCTCACTTCACTCTAAGGAATGTCTCGCTCTCTAGACACGTGGATCTGTAGGCTTACAGGAAACATGGGACCACAAGAACATGGGACCACAAGAACATGGGACCACAAGAACATGGGACCGCAAGAACTAGAACATGTGACCACAAGAACATGGGCTCGGTTGGATGACTCTCACTTCACTCTAAGGAATGTCTCGCTCTCTAGACACGTGGATCTGTAGGCTTACAGGAAACATGGGACCACAAGAACATGGGACCACAAGAACATGGGACCACAAGAACATGGGACCGCAAGAACTAGAACATGTGACCACAAGAACATGGGCTCGGTTGGATGACTCTCACTTCACTCTAAGGAATGTCTCGCTCTCTAGACACGTGGATCTGTAGGCTTACAGGAAACATGGGACCACAAGAACATGGGACCACAAGAACATGGGACCACAAGAACATGGGACCGCAAGAACTAGAACATGTGACCACAAGAACATGGGCTCGGTTGGATGACTCTCACTTCACTCTAAGGAATGTCTCGCTCTCTAGACACGTGGATCTGTAGGCTTACAGGAAACATGGGACCACAAGAACATGGGACCACAAGAACATGGGACCACAAGAACATGGGACCGCAAGAACTAGAACATGTGACCACAAGAACATGGGCTCGGTTGGATGACTCTCACTTCACTCTAAGGAATGTCTCGCTCTCTAGACACGTGGATCTGTAGGCTTACAGGAAACATGGGACCACAAGAACATGGGACCACAAGAACATGGGACCACAAGAACATGGGACCGCAAGAACTAGAACATGTGACCACAAGAACATGGGCTCGGTTGGATGACTCTCACTTCACTCTAAGGAATGTCTCACTCTCTAGACACATGGATCTGTAGGCTTACAGGAAACATGGGACCACAAGAACATGGGACCGCAAGAACTAGAACATGTGACCACAAGAACTAGAACATGGGACCACAAGAACTAGAACATGGTACCACAAGAACTAGAACATGTGACCACAAGAACTAGAACATGGGACCACAAGAACTAGAACATGGGACCACAAGAACATGGGACCACAAGAACTTGGGACCACAAGAACATGGGACCACAAGAACTAGAACATGGGAACCACAACAACTAGAACATGGGACCACAAGAACTTGGGACCACAAGAACATGGGACCACAAGAACTAGAACATGGGACCACAAGAACTAGAACATGGGACCACAAGAACTAGAACATGGGACCACAAGAACATGGGACCACAAGAACATGGGACCACAAGAACATGGGACCACAAGAACATGGGACC